CGGGACAAACATACCATGCCTACAAATAACTGACTGCATCGCCAAGTACTTATGTACCAAAAGGGGCAGCAGGCTCACCAAAACTTCGACTACTATGGTGAGGGGCGTCTCCAAGGATTCTGGCCCCAGTCTCTCTGAGCACAAGGAAAGATAAGAAATACTGCTCTCGAAGGGGAAACTGAGTCCCAGGCAGGGCCATCCGCCACTGGGCAGGTGGGTCCTCCGCTCCACATCCCAGAAGGTTAGGGTCTCCTCTTCTCTACCCACCCGAGACCTGACCCCGACTCACCGAACTCGCAAGGGCCATCGCGCGCCTTGTGCAAATGACCGAAGTGCGTGCGGGGAGTGTGCCGGGCGCGCAAGCGCAGCGCGCAGACGCTGGGGTACGAGCGGCCGTCGGACCCGCAGACGGCGCCGCGCTGCGCGCACACGCAGAGCCCGGTGCCCTCGGGCGCCGCCCCCGCGGCCTGGCTCACGCACACCAGGCCGGGGCCACAGCGCGCGCCGGCGCGACCCCCGCAGCTCGCACCCTCCGCTCCCAGGCAGCGCACGCAGCAGCCGCACTCGTCGCGCGCCGAGATCCCGGGCTCCGGGCAGCGCGCGGGCGCCGGGCAGCGCTCGGGCCGGCACGGACCACACTCGGGGCGCCGTCCGCCCGCGTCGCGGAGCCCGAGGCTCGAGGTCAGCGGCGGCAGCAGCAGAAACAGCAGCGGCAAGAGCAGCGACAGGCGCGGCATGGCTTGCTCCGGGACAGCGGCGGCGCCTTTGCTTTGCGCTCTGCTCGGCGCCTGCCGCGCAGCCACCGCTCCCTCCCCGCGGCCGCTGATTGGCCGGGCCTGCACCGCGGGGCGCCCGCAGACCGCTGCCCCGGCCCGGGACGGGACAAGGGCGGTGCCTGAGGCCGGGGGCTCCGAGCTGGAGGGACGCCCCGAGAGCAGCTCTCTGACCTCCGTCCGATTGGACTCTTGCGGAAACCGAGACCCAGTGGGGGCGGAAACTTGCTTGAGGTCGCTGTGGTAGAGTCAGGATTGGATAACCGTACGGTCTCCGGATCCAAGGCTGGCTGCAGATAGTAAGCCCGTAAATCCTCACAGAAGGATGCGTTATTTAATTTTATTTTATTTTGCATTCAGTAGTTTTCAAAGGTTTATTTTATAAAGAGAATATATGGTTTAAAATGTCATATTTTACGTATACATGTAAGGATGAAAAGAGGGTTTCCCTACCAGCTTGTATCCCAATCCTCCAGCTAGGCTTCCAGAGGCCACTCTTACTATCGAGTTTTTGTGTATTTTTTTTCAGAAATGTTCTCTATGCCTATAAAAGCACATGTGCCTATAAAAGCCCCTTACTTTAAAACACACACACAGTTTCTCTCTCACACAGTAGTGTGGCATACACCTTAGTCTGCACTTGGTTTTTCCACTTAGAATATTTCACAGTTTCCCCAACTCTTGTCATCTCTGAAACTGGGTTTCTCCTACAATTAATGGGCCTGTAGTTCATTGGCTCTGTGAGTGTGTTTCTTAATGCTGCATAAAGTCATGGTGCATCCCCGTTCACAGTGACTTTGCTGTGATGAGATACGGTGACATATTCTAGAGTTCATATAGAGTGGCCTTTGCACAATGTTTAGTTGCAGTTATTTAACCAGTTGTTTTCCATCCTTTTGTTGATATGAATAATGCTCTGATGAAGTCTTGGTGCACAAGGGTCAGTGTGCACCATCTGTGGCTTAGTGGGGAATGCCTGTTGGAAAGATGCAGATTCTTACAGTCAGTTATTCATGCCGCGCCGCTGCGCCTTCTCTGGGTCAGGCTCTGTGCACCCATCCTGCCCAAGTCCTGGCAGGGGACCCGGACAAGAAACCTAAGAGTCATGGCTGCTGGGATTTGTTGTGTTGGCAGGTAAAGGCATGGGATGGAGGGAGGGACTCGCTGACCAGGTTTTTTTGGGGAGACTTTTCCTGCCTTCACTGGCCACCCCTCATTTGCCTTGTGCTCTATTGTTTTTTCTTTGCTGAACTCCTAGAGATGGAGAAAGCCTCTTGCCGCCTGGGAAGACCAGCTACAGCATTTTTGTGCGGGGTTCATTTTGCTTTTCAAGCCCAGTTCCTTCCCAGTTTGCAGGCTTCTGGGAGATGTTCTTATCCCCAGAAAGGAGCCTCTTCTGAGGCTACTTTATGTGGTGGTCAGAGGAGGTCGTCTGCCTGGTCCACGCCAGGCCTTACCTTACAATCAGCCACACAGAGCAGGGGTGGTCGGGCACCGTGCAGGGGTGTTAGGAAGGAATAAATATAACAGTGATGGTAATGCACTCAGCACAGCTCTCAGTACTTATTAAAGATGATGACTTTCAACCGGGAGGCTGCTATCTTTACCGGGAGTGGCCTTTTAAAGTGCTCTCACCCCTTCACCCCTCTGTGGGCTTCTATGAATGTCTCCTAAAAAGATGATCACTGAGTGTGAAGATTTTGTCCTAGAGTTGGTCACTACAGCAAAAAATTGTAAACCACCTAAATGCCCACTGAGAGCATTCATAAATAAATTATGATACATCTAACAATAGAGGATTATGTAGGCATTAAAAATGAGAAAGAGGATACGGGTTAATAGAAATGAAAACATGTTTATAATATGGTGTTTAGTAAAATAGCAATTATGAAATGCACATCTAGTGTAATAGGATATTTGTAAATATGTGCATATGTAAACATGCAAAAATTTAAGATTGTGTAATGATGTGAAGGAAACACTTTAAAAAAATGAGAGAGAGATGCTATTCCATTCTGTTGCCCAGGTTGGAGTGCAGTGGCATGATCACAGCTCACTGCAGCCTCAAACTCCTGAGCCTCAAGCCATCCTCCCCTACCCCCCAACCTCCTGAGTAGCTAGAACTACAGGTGAGCACCTCCACTCCTGGCTAATTTAAACAATTTTTTTTCTTTTTTTAGAGATTGAGGTCTGTTAAATGAACAAAGCAGGATTTGCAAACAAAAGAGATCAGCAAACTCCGTGCTGCTTTTCAGGGACAACCTTCCTGATAAGTTCAAATTTTCTAATGGTTCATAGTTGTCCAAAGAGAGATTAGGCTGCTCCAGAGGTAGTGAGGTCCTTCTCAAAGAAGCAGTTTAAGAAAGGATCTTGGCAAGGAGCATGGAGGGGGTCAGAGAATTGGGGTCAGGGGAGTTGATCTTTACCTCAAACTAAGCCGCCATTCCCGAAGTAGAGTGCCTGACCCTGAGACTTGGACTGTTCGAAACATGGTCATGATTGAGAACTGAATGTGTACAGAGATGATGTGCCTGCTTTTTATGCAGACATTAAAGGAGCGATAAGTGAACAGTGTCATTATAATGAAATTAATGTGTGCTTAATGCAGGTTAGGATACACAATCTCACAGAGGTACATTTACATGTGATCTACATTCCTTTTAATGTTAGGGAGAGCATTATGTATGCATAATGACTCTTTGAGAATTGAATCAGAAGACTCATTTTCTGACACTCAACCTGTGGCATCAAAGCCCCTGTATCTGGGTGGAGAAAACATTCCGAGGCTTTGAAGGTGATCAGTTGTGTCTATTTCCTTTTAAAATTGCCCACAAGCCCGTAGCCCAGCAGATGCATTAGCTCTTTTCCATTTGTCTGGTTCCCAGAGTACCAGTTAACACTGTGGGCCACACCTGTGGGCCCCCTAAGACAATGGGAGAAAGTAGGGACAAATTCTCCAGTTGGGAAGGGGGTTGAGGTGCCTCTGTTGTCTGGCAGGTGGAGAGATCCCACACATGCTGGTGAGTAATCAAGCAACAAGGATGGGTGTGATTTTCTCCTCTTCAGCTTCCAGACTGAACACAAACACAGCACAGGGGAGACTAGCCAATGCCCCATCCAGAGCAAATGTATGCCCACCCAGCAGCTGCTGAAGTGGACATGAATGTCCCATCCATTCATTCCTTTCTTGAAGGTAGAGATAAGTGGCAGACGTTCTCTGTCCTTGGGGAGCTTCCAGCACAGAGGAAGAGAACAGGAGCTCAGGTGAGCAAAGGCTACTCCATAAATAGGCCAGGGATTTGAACCTCAAGCTTTAACAGTCAGGGGAATCATAGATGGTCTTCCTTCCAGCTAAAGGAAGGTGAAAACCCTGTCTCCAAACCTCTGGCTGGCCATTACAGAGCAGAAGGTGAGGTGGGTTTCTAGAGGGAAATTCCCTAAACGACAGGTGGGATTTGTAGGGAGACAGATTTCACTTCAATACGGTGTGCAAGGGGATGTAGCAAGATGTAGAGCCCTGCAAAGATGGGAATTCAGATACTGAGCAGCCAAAAAAGAATGATAGAGGATTTGCTGTCGTGCTGTAAACCATTATATAACCTGGACAAATTAAAGAAAACAGCTGTGGGCAGGCACTGGACAGTGTTCTAATACAGGGCTGTGATCCTTGAGAGGGGCAGGGGGCACACAATGTGAGCCCCACATCTACCCAGGCTTTCTCCCTGAGGACACTTTCCAGGCCACTGTGCAGGGAGGTGGAGGCCAAGTGGTTCATAGAGGTCTCACTGGACCGAAGAGGCAGACATCAGAATTCAGGACTAAGGCAGAGATTTGGGGATCTAGGACAGAAAATGAGGAACCGCAGAGATGGAATCCCAGAAGTCTTAGACATTCGGGTGACCCTGTACCGCACAAGTGCAGGACAAGACTTGAGGGCCTGGCAGAGAGTAGCTGCTGCGAGGTGAGAGCTGAGCAGAGATTTGGGGCTCACACAGTGCTGATGACATTTTGGAGTTGCACAGACCTGTAGAGGTCTGAGTTTGAGCTCCAAGGACCCCACCTTTATGCGTCTAAGTTTTAGTAATTCCAACCGTTCCCATTGTTCTCCTAGCCTTAATGGTGGTAGCTCCTTCACAGTTGCTACCTCTAAGTTACCTAGTTAATAATTCTTTATCTTCTTTTTTTTTTTTTTTTTTTTTTTTGAGATAGAGTCTGGCTCTGTCACCCAGGCTGGAGTACAGTAGCACGATCTTGGTTCACTGTAACTTCTGTCTCCTGGAGTCAAACCATCCTCCTGCCTCAGCCTTCTGAGTAGCTAGAACTACAGGCATACACCACTATGCCTAGCTGATTTTTGTATTTGTTTTTAGAGACAGGGTTTTGCCATATTGTCCAGCCTGGTCTTGATCTCCTGGACTCAAGTGATTTGCCCACCTCAGCCTCTCAAAGTGCTCAGATTACAGGCATGAGCCGCCATGCCCAGCCAATAATTCTTTGTATTAAATTCCATTTGTAGGCTAGGCACAGTGACTTATTCCTGTAATCCCTGCACCTTGGGAAGCCAAGGTGGAAGGATTGTGCCAGGAGTTCGACAGCCTGGGCAACATAGTAAGACCTCTTTTCCACTAGCAAAAACATAAAAAGTTTGCTAGGCAAGGTGGTACACACCTATAGTCCCAGCTACTCAGGAGGCTGAGGTGGGCGGGTCACTTGAGCCTTGGAGTTCAAGGCTGTAGTGAGCTATGACTAGGCCACTGCTCTCCAGTGTAGGAAACAGAGCTGTTGCCTGCCTGAAAAAGAAAAGAAAAAAAGAGAGATGAATTCCATTTGTCATCTGCCTAGGCCTGAGTGATCTAGCTACTAGAACCAGGAGTGGTCCTAGGAAACAACTGTCAAAGATGGGTCAAAATCAGAGAACTAGAAAGCTTAACTACAGATAAGCTTCAAATGTAATATAAATTATTTACTTAAATGATAAATAAGAAATGTATTTCTTGCAGCTACAGGGTCAATTTGGAATAATTATAAGTTGAATTCACAGCCTTGCCAGTCTCTTATGTGGAAGTTAGGGAATAAGAACCTGAAACTTGGAACTGGGAAATCTGGGTGGACTCAGATGAAGCTGAGAATCCTGAACCCTTGAGTTATTCTTTGCTACCTTTGCCAATGGAAGCAGCTTGCCTGTCATGTCTAAGAAGATCCACTTTCCCTCGCTTAAGGACCCTGTGTTAAGATTGCCACCAAAAGAATGGCAAGAGTTTGCTACATTACATTGTAGAAACCCGGAGAATATGTGCATGAATAGATTCTTAGGGTGTTAGACCAAGGAAGACAGAATAGAACTTAGCATTAGGTCAAATTTATTGATTCAGGTGCACTGATCAGAGATTCTGGATTCAATGTGTTGATTTGTGCAGGGGTAAGGGGCTCTATTGTTTACTTAGCTGCTTGAGTGGACCTGGGACTTGATGGTGACCTATATTTAAAGATATTGAGATGCCAGAACATTCTTGGTATGTTGTAGGGGATGGTATAAAAAGGCTTAGGGGGATGTTGGAATAGATTTGTTATGGACAAATCACATACCCACCCACTACATTCTCCAAGGGGGCCCAGAGGACATTCCTTTCACTATGACATTGGGAAATTCATTACTGAGGGGACCACTACTATCCTTGAAGACTCAGTGGTGGCTCTCCTCTTTTGGCCACATATGAAGATAAAGAGATGTCACCACAGAGATGGGCTCCTTGATCCACTGGGGATAATGAGATCCAAGAATAGCAGAGGCCAAGTGGTAGCATCCAACTGCCAAAGGCAGAGCAGGGCACATACACTGTAACGGACAGTAGGATGGTGGGCATCACAGTGTTTTGACTCACAGGAATCTTGGCATTGGCTAGTTGTCACAGTGCCTGTAGGACTGAAAGAGATGGGAATGCTACTAAAAGGCTGTGTGCTCCATATAACAGGGAAAACTCTATATCTGGCTTCCAGAAGCTGATTTGAGTCACCACAGTAAAGAGCCAGAACTTCTTTTCCCATTTTTAGACCTAGGATTAACCCAGAGACTCTTCTTTGAAAAGATGGCTGGGTCCCCTTAAAGAAAGACTCTTTACAAATGTATTCTGTAAACCATCCTGTAAGCCCTCCCTAGAAGGACCTCTGACTGTTACTAGAGTGAACCACCATAGCCCACAGTCAAAGTCAGGGCAGACAGCGCTTAGGGCCCAAGTTCAGATCACAGAGCACGCAGCCTGTGGTTACTTCCCCGCTTCCTAAATAGAATAGATGCACTTGGCAACCAGCAAAATCCCAGCGTCAGCTCCACAACACAAAGTGGAAGCCTCTGGAATTTCCTTTTCAACCAGGAGGGTAAAATATCTGCTGCCAGTTTTCTCACAAATAATTGAAAGATTATTCATCTTGCAAATGCGAGGATTCACTTTCTTCGAAGGCAGCACAGCCTAGTCTCACAGGAGGAAAGCAGTTGGCCCCTTTTATATGCCCTTGGCCCTATTCCTTTCAAAATAATAATGTACCATTATTGTGCTAAGCAGCATTTGCTGGCTTCCTGATCCAGATCAACATGAAATTATGCAGCAAGTCCTTATTTAACACCGTGGATAGGTTCTTGGAAATTGACTTTAAGTGCGAAAACATATAACAAAACCAATTTTACATAGGCTAATTGATATAGACAAGAGGTAAGCTCCTATGGTGTATTTCTGGTTACAAAAACATTACCAACCTTCTAAATAAAGACCCCCAAACATTCTATTCATAAACGTTAAAATACATGTGAACTATAGGTACATTTAAGAAAGATTAATAATGAGATAATGATTTACTCAGGGTTGTGAGGGGCTGAACCCTATCTCAGCAGCTCAGAGCATGAGGTGGGAACTGACCCTGACCATCTCAGGGCGCACTCACACACACCCACAGTCACCCACACTGGGACCATGCAGACATGCCATTTCCCCTCACCGGTGCACATCTTCACGCATCTTCTGGTTTCTGGAGGAAACCAGAGTACCCGGAGAAAACCCACGCAGATGTCAGGAGAATGTGCAAACTCCACACAGACAGTGGTCCTGGCTGGAGGTGATTTCTTTTTTTCTCATCAGTGTTATAAGAAAAATCACATCGAACTTGACAGCTTTATTCAAGGACTTGCTGTGGCTTCCCCCCTCCCTTATTCGCAAATGTCTCCTCTAGTGGGGAGGGGAGCAGTTCTCAGTTCATCTTGCCACGTTACATCTCTAATCTGTAGATTCACTGATGCATTGACTCATTCGTTCCTCATCCGGCAAGCTCTCTGTATACTTGGCTCACTGTATACTTGGCCTGTGCTGGACACTGAGTAGTAGTTGAGGAAGCCATGCATTATGTGCTCAAGACGGTGGCCCAGGGAGGGCGGATAGGGAAGCAATTTCAATGCAATAAATTTTACTGTTGAAGAATATTCAGGGAAAAGAGAGTCAAGGAAAGCTTCTGTACAAAGTACTTTCTAAACTAAATCTCAGAGAGCCAGTAGGTGTTGGCCTGGAAGGACGACAGAGCTGCCACATGGAGGAAACAGTGTGTGGGAAGGCATGAGGACCAGAGAGAGCACAGCACAGTCAGGAGCAGGAGCAAGCTCAGCACAGCTGCAGTGCTGTGTGGGGAGTGGAGACGCGGGAGGGGGAGCCTGAGAGGTCTGTAAGGGCCAGACCACCAGTCTTTCCTGGCCAGCTGAGAAGCTTGGAAATAGTGCAACCCAGGCTTGGCCACCGTAGAGCAGGCCTGTATTGCTTTCTGACAGAAGGACACTTTACAGGTGGAAGGGAAGGGGACAGCACATACCCACCAGGGGCCAGAGGATGAGCTTTTTGGAAAGTCCTTCTGGTTCTCCTTTTCTCGTCTCACAGGTTGGAGTGCAGTGGTGCAATTATAGCTCACTGTAACCTTGAATTCTGGACTCAAGCAGTCCTTCCCTCCTTGGCCTCCCAAAGTGCTGGGATTACAGGCTTGAGCCACTGCACCTGGCCCTTCCTGGGGCTTCTATCCAAATACAAGGTTTGTGCTGGGACCACCTGTAGGAAACTGCCACCTTGTGGGTAATGCAGGAATTACAGCTCTAAAATGTTCCTTATTTCTCAATTCAATACATATTTCCTAGTAATTACAAGCCAAAGTGCTGGGATAAGTAGCCATCTATCATGTGGAGAGAATAGAAATGCATGCAGAAGTCACTGAATGTTCAGAGGTATGCCTGAAGTAATGGGTTGGTGAGGGAGGTCATGGAAAGCTTCAGAGATGACACCTGCATTGGGTCAGGTAAAAAAAAGGGGTCTTTAGAGGCCATCTTCACTTTCCATCCTGCAGCACAGAATAGGAAGGGACTCACTCAAGGTCGCACAGCTCTTCACGGCAGACCTGGGGCAAGCACCCAAGTTTCTGGGTATCTCAGCCCAGAGCTCTTTCTTGTACATGGTTGGCCTTCAGTTTAAATGGATCCCACTCCTGGTGCTCTAGAAATGGCCTTAGCAGAATCTGATCTTCTGCTCCTGCTTGTTTGTAGGCCTCGTCATGGTAATTTGTCACAGCCAGCTTTCTGGTGCAGTGATCTGCATTCTGTCTGTGTGAAATTGCAAAAAGCTGAAACTCTCCCTAGGGTGGATACTGTACTGAAGCCAGGATCTTGTCCTCCCTGGGAAGAAGAAACAAGGTGTGTCCCAAGAGCATTTATCCTCAGGGACTAGCATAGTCCTTGGTACATACATAGGTACTTTGTAAATATTTGTGATATGAATGAATGAGTGAAGACAGGGGAGGTGGATAGGCCTGAGAGGTCAGTCTCAGCTCTCCTGTGGGCTTATCCAGAATTGAGTCTCTTCTAGAATAGTCTGGAAAGATTAGCTGGGGACAGATCACAAAGGTCACTTGAATGCCCAGCTAAAAAGATTCGCTTTTTTTCTACTAGCAGAGGGAAAGCAAACCTGTTTGAGAACAGGGAAGGAGCAGGATCAGCATATAGGTTGGTTTCATTCCTCATCAAAGAGAGAAAAGTAGTCCCAAGTCAAAAGTCATGTCTCTCCCAGAAAGCCATTGATATTACTTTGTGAACCCCAAAATATTGAAGACAGGTTTCAATCAATTTAGAAAGTTAATTTTTCCAGGGTCAAGGACATGCCTATGTCATAGCCTCAGGAGATCCTGGTGACATGTGCCCAAGATGGCCGGGCACAGGTTGGTTTTATGCATTTAGGGAGAGATGAGAGATCAATCAATACATGTAAGATGTACATTGGTTCAGTCTGGTATGGTGAGACAATCGAAGTAGGGGCTTCCAGGTCATAGGTAGATAAGAGACAAATGGTTGCAATCTGCTGAGTCTCTGATTAGCCTTTCCCTGAATGCACAGTTTACATGTGAGAGGAGGGTAGAGGAATTGTCGCTTATCCCTTAGTCTGGCTCAGTGAATCTGCATCTTTACATAAACAGTAGGGCAGAGGGAGCAATCAGATGTGCATTTGTCTCAGGGGAGCAAAGGGGTAACTTTGAGTCCTGCCTGTCCTTTGTCCTGCACCTGTGAAGACAAGCCGTCAATTTACATAGCCAAGGTGAAATTCAACAGAACTGTTTTAGGATAAAGACCTACCTTGAGGCCCACGAAGAATTTCCTTGTGGGCAAATTATGAGGAAAGTATATAGTTTTTTTTTTAAATTAAAGCTTTGTAGCGATTTTATTTCAAAATAAAATGGCAAGTGGGTTTGCCTGACTTAGTTCCAGCTTGACTCTTCCCTTTAGCTTAGTGAGGGTCCAAGAATTATTTTCCTTTCAAAACTTAATGAAGAAATTGCACTAGGTCTTCGAGATATCTGAGTTCTTTTGTTTCTAAATTTAATCATTAAACCATATCTCTGGAGAATAACTAGAGGCTGTCCTGTGATAAGCTCACAGCACGCAGGAAACAAGCACAAACTTTGTGATACACCGTTGAATGTCCTTCTGCAACATCACCCAGGCTGTGAACCTGGCTACATCCTGGGCCTCAGTACAGTCACTCTTCCTAACTTGGGTCTGGTGTAGTCGGTAATCTATTTCCTCACTCTCTGCCAACTGCAGCACCATTGCATAACTCCTGGAAAGAAGCCTCTGGTGGAGGACTCCGTTCTATACAATGTTTTTATCGATAACCTAGATGAACTCAGAGAGAGTATTCAAATGCTCCCAAAGAAATTAATATACATTGGATAGGAAAAGCACTGTTCAAAAAGTCTTGTGTAGCTTAGCATGGTGAAGAGAAATCACATGTTGAAATGTTCTGGAGATAAATGTGGCGTTCTATGTTTGAAACTGATGCAACAGTGAGAAAGCCCGAGAGAGGGCAAATGAAATCTATCATGCTAGTTTCAAAACGGTCCAAGTACGGAGCATGGCAGCCCCTCAGAAGTGAGTCCTTACTACTATGAACCAAATTTTCCTGAATTTAAGCATTTTAAAACCCATGTCGTTGCTTTTCTTCCCACTTTAAGGTGGCTGCCTTCCTGATGTCCCCAGAGCAGTAGGTGATAATGCAATAATGACTCTTCCTTAATGGTATGAAGAGAGGAATTGTAAAATTATGAGAAAAATTGCCATGATCATCCAATAATTTAAAATATCAGTGGAACCAGGAAGCACACCTTGGATGGGCACTCCTGGAAGAGATAGGCACTCTCCATGTGCCTAGAAGGAGACCTTTGCAATTCTTTTCTATGAATCATGTGACAAAGATGCACCAAGAACTGCTTCTCCCAGTGAAGGAGACAGATTTCCTGGTTTCAGAGGAAATACATTTACAGTGTTTCTTTGCTTTTAGACATCCAGCCCAAGAGGTATATTGTACTCAATCTTCGTATTTTTCTTTCCCTTTTGTTTTTCTTTCTTCGTTTTTGTTTTGAGAATAAGTATGTATGGGGCCTTCCCTGTATCCCAGACATTATGTTGAATCAGATCTAGCTGTGGCTTCCTTCTGTGGCTTCTGGCCCAGAAGGGGACTGTGACTTTGTGATTGTGTGCTCAGTACAAGGCACATAATCAGCTCCCAATGATAGCCAGTGTTCACTGAGTGCTTAGGCACCATGCTAAGTATTTTGTCTATTAGCTCATTTCAGCCCCACTGTCCATAAAGTAGGTATAGCTTATCTTAGGTAAAACTGAGGCTTAGAGAGGTTAACAATGAAACTTGCCTGAAGTTACACAGCTGACAAATGATGGAGTTGGCCCTCAAATCCACACTTGGAACCACCACACCTGACTACATCTCCAGAAGTATGTGTTAAATGAACAAATAAACGCTTGACATGAGAAGGATGTAGGCCAAGCTACAAGAGAAGATTGCATCACAGTGATCAGAGGATATTTCATGGCAGATTCTGCTTGAGGCAGGACTTAATGAAAAAGAGGAATTTGGATCAGTAGAGGTAAGAGGAGCCGTTCCAGGCAGGAGTGAAGAGGTCAGGGTTGGCAAACACAGATGACCTTTTTCAGTTATGGTGTCTGTTCACTGCCTCCATGACCCTCTCCCACTCCACCACGGCTGATTTGATCAGGGGTGTTATGGACTGAACTATGTCTCTCTCCCAAATTCCTATGTTGAAGCCCTAACTCCCAGTACCTTGGAATGTAACTGTATTTGGAGATGGGACATTTAAAGAGGTAATCACATCAAAATGAAGCTTTATCCTTAAAATAAAGGATGGTACACATGGTGCTTGTGAGTCCTCTACATTCTGTGCTGTGTCTGTAAGGGTAACACCAGCTGCTATAACAAATAAGCCCCACACTTCACCAGCTTATTATGAAAGAACTTTGCTTCTTGCTCATGCATTAGTCTGTGAGAAGACAGCCGGTGTAGAGGACGGTTTTCTCTGTGTGGTAATTCATGGACCCAGGTGCCTTCCATCCTGTGATTTCATATCCTTTAGAGCCTTAGAGTCCAACCAGCAGATGGGGAAGAGGAAGGTGGGAAAGACACACTTGTTCCTTGGTCATCTTGGCCTAGAAGTGACACATATCACTTCCACTCCATGGGTGAGACCTGGTTTGTGTCTCTCCCTAGATGTCAGTGGGGCTGGAGAGTATGGCTTGGGATGAAAAGATCCTTACTTTATAGAAAGGGAGCAGGAACACCTGGTGGAAAGCTAGCGGGTCCTCCCACATGGTTGAAATTTAGTTCTGAGCTTGTCTCCAGCCTCTTCTCCCTGCAAACAGCTGCCTTGTTTCCAAGATAATCTGGAAGCCAGTGGTCCTAGTTTATTGCCTGTAATAATTTTTACAGCTAACCAAAGGGGCCATGGCTGCTGGGCAAAGCTCTGACAGTTCAGGGGAATGGTGTCCACAGCAGGGGCTTGAAAGGGCCAGCAAGAGCCCAGGAGAAAGGAAACAGGAGCATGACTCCTGAATTTGCAGCACGAGAAGGGGAGGAAGAGCTGAGCGGTCAGCAGTGTTCTGGAATGAGGAAGTGGGCTGTCTGCTTGCTTTCATTTCTTAGGTAAATATTTGTGGGAAGTTTGCCTATTCTCTGAGTTTTTCAGTGCTGTGACAAGAACTGGGCAGAGCATCAGCTCATCAGAAGCAGTGGCGTCCAAGAGCCCGAAGGAACCCAGAGAACAATTGCGAGAAGCCTCCTCTGCCAGCGGGTTGCCCACCGCGGCTGCACGAGGTACCTCCCCTCCAAGATGCTTCCCAAAACCACCAGGTGAGCTTTAAGGGGCAGATCTGAGGCAAGCCATGCTGGATAGCTGTGTGTTCCCAGCAACTGTCTTCTTTGATGCTGGTGATTAATGAAAACTGGGAGAAAGGCACGTTTTAGCTAATTCGCGGACAGCCTGGCACCGAGGAAATAACATAGATCGGTTACTTAGTCAGTGAATAGATTTTTGTTCATCTTCAGTTCAGAGACAGAGTGGAGTGGGCAGAGCCCAGGTGTGTTGTTAGGGGGCCTGGGTTCAAATCGTGATTTCCTCATTTCTGAATCAGGTGTGATACCTTCGCCTTCCCTAAACCACAGCTTTGTGAAGATCCTGGGAGAACAAGAATGTGAAAGGATTAGAGATTTGTAAAGTCCTGGCCCTGAAGGCAGGAATTAAGAATTCTTATTCTAACCTTCAGACGTTTTAGATCCAAGAACTGAAAGCCTACTCCAAAATATAACACAAAATCAACCATCAGCTTCTGGTTTCACAGTATCTGTTTAGAACTGTGGAGGACCAAAGAGGGAAATGAGCCATGAAAACACCAACGGGAATAACAGGAGTTACTTGGAAAAGGAGACACCTGGAATCCCACCCACGGGAAGAGGGAGGGAGCCTGAGCGCAGTGGATGGAAAAGACCAGAAACAGGGAATAAACCAGAGGGATGCCTTGTAGGACCAGTGGACAGGGAGCACTGGGGGCAGCCGGAGGTGGGCAAGGCCTGGAACTGGAAGGTCTGAGAGCATTATTCCTTTCCCCTTTCTCCAGCTGGCCCCTTGGGCTGGGAGAAGAGAAGGGCCAGGAGGAGGATTTTTAGGAAGATCCCTCTGGTAACAGGGTAGAAAATGGGTGAGAGGGAAGAGCCCGGGCAGGAGGCTACTGAGAGAGTCCAGATAAAGAGGACAGTGGCCTCGACAGAGGTGGTGGCTGTGGGGGTGGAGAGACATGTCTCAATTTGGCGGGGATTGGAAAGGAAGGAGTGGAGGATGACTCTGGGTCCCTGACTTGTATGAATGGGTTGGGGGTGGTGCCACTCCTGAGATGAGGATGCCAGGGGAGGAACAGGAAGGTGGGATGTTCAGATGGGACATGTGAGACTGGGGTAACCATGGGACCTCCAGAGATGGATAACCAGGAGGCTGACAATTGGCCCTGTGGTCTGGAATTAGACGGACAGTCCAGCATGGACTCAGAGAACTTGGCGTACCCTTTGGTGCCAGCTGTGTCCCATGGATCCTTGACTTTCTTTTGAAGTCAGCACCATGCCCTTGAGAGCCTCTATCCATCCCTCCCAGGGCCTTCTCTCCATTATGGTCCTCTTCCTGGGTATGGTTTAGCTGGTCAGGGTCCTTCTCACAGGGCAGGGTTCAGTCTAAGCATGTAGTTCAGATTTGTTTACCAGTGAGGGGTTGGGGAGGGGTGTCACTGTCCCCTCCAAGGACCCCAGACGTGAACCCTTTATCAATGTCTTAATGTCATTGTAGTGGCTGAATATGTTTCTCATTTGGAAAATATAAGAAGGGTTCAAACTCCAGCTCTGCTACCCTCTAGCTAAGTCACTTTGGGTTTTTACTTAACCTCTCGAAAGCCTCTGTTTTCTCATTCATGAAATGGGAATACTAGTATATGTTACACAGGACATTAAGGGTTAAGTGAGACAATAACTATAAGAACCATAGCCAAATGCCCAGCACATGGCACACATTCAATAAGCAATGACCATTATTATTGTTGTTATTTTTATTAAGTGAAAAGAAATGAAAATGAGTGTGGCTTCATTGGACAGTTAAAAGAGGAAGGGGGTAGAAAAGAAAAGATTTTGTCTTCTTCAACTAACTTTTTTTCATGGGAGTTCATTTTTGAAAAGAATTCTGCTTTCTCCATGGAATTCTTAAAGTGTACAAGTGATCTGGCACAGAAGTTGGTTCTCAAAGCTTCACTCGCCTCTGCTATTCTCTCGTCTTGATTCTGAGAGAGCCCAGACTGCCCTGACCCTAGGAGCTGAAAATTACATTGAAATCAGAATTTGGCAGGCAGAGAGTTCTTTTACGATCATCCAGATTGTTAGAGTTCAATGTCTGGCTCACCCACTTGCTAGCTGTGTAAATTTGGACAACATTCTGGATCTTTTGCTGTCTCAATTTTCTCAGCTGTGAAATGGAGTGATAATATGCCTTTCCCATAAGGCTATTGTGAGGATGAACTGAAGTAGTAAATATACTAAATGTTTAAAACATAGCCTGGCACATAGTAGACCCTTGAGGGATGTTAAACTTTCCATCTACCCATTTAGGAAACATCAGTGAGTGCCAACTGTTGGGCAGAGGTATGGGCAGGAGCTGGTACAAGGAGTTGAATGAGAAGGGCCTCTGCCCTCGAGGAGCTGCCCATCCAGTGGCAGAGACAGACCTATGAAAAATTAGTTCCAAACAGTGGACTGGTGGCTGTGACACTGGGCCATGTTCCAAGCAGTCCATCCTGTCAATTCAGAAGTGAGCAAACTGAGACCCATGGGTCCCCTGAGCCTAAGGAGCCACAGTGCTTAGCAGCAGAGCTGGGATGGACTCAAAGCAGATTTTCCTGGCTGGGCCTCTTCACATGAGGGCTTCAAAGGAGGCCGGTGGCTCAGGAGGGCACCTGGGCCATGCTGGGCAAAGGTGCTGGCCTCTGGGTTAATCTTCCTGCAGTAGGGAAGGGTAAGACTGGTCATGGGGCCAGGCGTGGGCAGCTGCTCTGGCTACTGGTTAACCAGGTGGCAGATACTCTGGGGACAGAGGAGAAGACAGGTTCCAGGCTCTGAAGAGGTAGAAATGCAACCAGTGACAACCCCTTTCAGTTCTGCAAAAGGGAAAATACCTTTCTTTTGTCAGAGCTGTCCAAAAGCAGGGAAAAAATTGAGAAAAGAAGCACTACTCTTTGGGCATGAGGCTGGGCCGGGCACTCGACTCTCATTGTATCCCATCCACACTGTCCCCTGGAAGGCAGACGTTGGATCCATTTTCAGGACAGGAAGAGTAAGACCCAGAGAGGGGTGCAGCTTGCCCACAGTCACACAGCCTGAGCATGGTGGAGCTGGGGCTCACTCTCATGGTCTTCCTGGCTCCAAAGCCCACGCATTTTCACAGAGCCTGGCTGACTCAGCAGGATAGCAGAGTCAGCCTGGGAGGTACAGTGTTCCCACCCTTGAAAGTGCCCAAATGGAGCTTCAGGGCTGCCCTGTGGTGACAACAAGGTTAAATATTATCTTGTGGGAGAGTGGCGGAGAGTTCAGACGCATTCACACTTTGCATGGGTGAATTCCAGTCTGTGATTCCATGGATGAGGGGCCAGGAAATAGCTTAGCCACATGCAGGCCAAGTACATACAGTGCAGTGTGTGTGTCTCCCTGGCTCCCTCCCTCCCTCACTTCCTCTTTCCTTCCTTCCTTCCTTCCTTCCTTCCTTCCTTCCTGGGCTCTCTATTCTGTGCCATTGTTCTGTGAGTCTGTTTTTATGCCAACACCAGGCTGTTTTGGTTACTATAGCTTTGTATTAATAGCATATTTGAAAGTCAAATAGTGTGATGCCTCCAGGTTTACTCAAGATAGCTTTGGCTATTGGGAAATTTCTGTGATCCCATATACATTTTAGAACTGTTTTTTATATTTTGGTGAAGAATATTATTGGTGTTTTGATAGGGATTGCGTTAAATCTGTAGATTGCCTTGGGTATTTTATGAATATTTTAACAATACTAATTCTTCCAATCTCTGAACATGGAACATTTTTGTATTTATTTGTGTCCTCTTTAATTTCTTTTATCAATGTTTTATAGTTTCCAGTGTAGAGATCTTATACCTCCTTGGTTTGGTTTATTCCAATGTTTGTTTGTTCGTTTTTCTCTCTCTGTCTCTTTTTTTCATTTTCCCTCCCCTCCCCTCCCTTTCCCTCCCTTCCCTTCCTTTCTTGTATAGCAATGATATTTATTTTTGTATTTGGATTTTTCATCCTGCTACTTTATTGAATTCATTTATTGGTTCTAATAGTTTTTTTTGTGAGGTCCTTGAGATTTTCTAGATATAAGATTATGTCATCTGCAAATAGGAGCAGTTTGACTTCCTCCTTTCCAATATGAATGCCTTTTATTTTTCCTCTTGCTTAATTGTCTGGTCAGGACTTCCAGTACTGTGTTGAATAGAAGTGGTGAAAGTGGGCACCCTTGTCTTATTCCTGATCTTAGAGGAAAAGCTTTCAGCTTTTCCCCATTCAGCAGGTTAGCTCTGGGCTTGTCATACATGGCCTTTGTTGAATTGAGGTACATATATTCTATGCCTAATTTGTTGAGAGTTTCTATTTTGAAGGGATATTGAATTTTGTCAAATGCTTTTTCAGCATTTAATTAAGTGATCGTATGGTTTTTGTCTTTCTTTCTGTTAATGTGATGTTTCACATGTATTGAAATGCATTTGTTGAACCATCTTTGCATGCCTGGGATAAATCTCACTTGATCATAATGAATGATATTTTTAATGTGCTGTTGTATTTGGTTTTCTAGTACCTTGTTAAGAATTTTTACATCTATGTTGGGATATTGGCCGATAGTTTTGTCTTTTTGTGTGCCCTGGAATCACTATAATGCTGGCCTTGTAAAATACATTTAGAACTATTCCCCTTCCCTCAATTTTCTGGAATAATTTGGGAAGAATTGATATTAGCTTTTCTTTAAATATCTGATAGAATTTAACAGTGAAGCCATTGGGTCAAGGGCCTTTCTGTGATACAAGACTTTTTATTACTGATTCAATTTTCTCACTTGCTTTTCCTCTGTTCAGGTTTTCTGTTTCTTCATAATTTAACCTTGGGGTGTTATATGTGTCCATTTATCCTTTTCTTTCATGTTTTCAAATTTGTTGGCGTATAGCTGTTATTCATGAGGCTGTTACGATCCTTTGTGTTTCTGTAGTATCAGTTGTAATATCCCCCTTTTCATCTCTGACTTTATTTGCATCTTCTCTCTTTATTGTTAGTCTAGCTAAAGATATGTTTATTTTATCTTTTCAGAAAAAAAGATTTTTGCTAATTTTTAAAATTTGCTTTTGTTTTTGTTTTTGTTTTTTGGCTGGGCTCACACCTGCAATATCATCACTTTGGGAAGCTGAGGAGGGTGGGTCACCAGATCAGGAGTTCGAGACCAGCCTGGGCAACATGGTGAAACTCCATCTCTACCAAAAATATGAAATTTAGCTGGGCATGGTGGTGGAAACCTGTAATTCCAGCTACTGGGGAGGCTGAGGCATGAGGATTGCTTGAACCCAGGAGATGGAGGTTGCAGTGAGCTGAGATCATGTCACTGCACTCCAGCCTGGGTGACAGAGCAAGACTCCATCTCAAATAAAAGATTTTTAAAAATTAAAAATTGCTTTACTTGGCCTTGTTTCATTTATTTCTGCCCTCAACTTTATTCCTTATTTCCACCAATTTGGGATTTGGTTTGTCAATGCTTTTCTAGTTTTTTGAAGTATGTCATTAGGTTATTAGAAATCTTTCTTCCTTTTGGATGTAGGTATTTACAGCTGTCCACTTCCCCTTAGAGCTGCTTTTGCTGTGTCCCATTGGCTTTGGTACAGTGTGTTTCCACTCTTATTTTTCCTTAGTAAATTAAAAAATTGCCTCTTTAATTTCTTCACTGACCTAGTAGTTATTTGGGAACATGGTGTTTAATTTCCATAAATTTGTACTTCTGTTACAGTGTTCCTTCTGTTATTGATTTCTAGTTTTTATATCATTGTGGTCAAGAAAAAAATACTTGAAATGATTTCAATCATCTTTCATTTGTTAAGACTTTTTTTGTGGCCTAATACATGATCTATCCTGGAGAATGTTCCATGTGCAGTTTAGAAGAATGTGTATTCTGAAGTGTTGCATGGAATGTTCTGTACATGTCTGTTAAGTCCATTTGGTCTATGTGCAGTTTAAGCCTGATGTTTCTTGTTTCTTGTTTTTTTCTTTGTTTGTTGTTGTTTTTTGTTTGTTTCTTTGTTTTATAGAGACAGGTCTCTCTCTGTTGTCCAGGCTGAAGTATAATGATATGATCATAGGTCACTGTAACCCGAAGCTCCTGGGCACAAGTGATCTTCCTGCCTCAGCTTCCTGAGTAGCTGAAACTGTAAGCATGTGCCACCAAGTTCAGCTAATAATTTTTGTAGAGAAGGTGTCTTTCAGTGCTTCCCAGATTTATCTTGAACTCCTGGCCTCAAATGATCCTCCTGCCTGGGACTACCAAAGCACTGGGATTACAGGCATAAGTCTCCATGCCTGGCCTAAGTCTAATATTTCTTTCTTGATTTTCTGTCTAGATGTCTGTCTTTTGTTGAAAGGGGGATGCTGAAGTACCCTACTGTTACTGTATTACAATCTGTCTCTCCTTTTAGATCTAACAATATTCATTTATATTATATTAGGGTGATTCATGATATATAATTCATAATATAATATAATCATCATATATTAGGATGCTTCAGTGTTGAGTGTATATTTACAGTTGTTAGTCTACTTGTTGGACTGATTTCTTTATTGTTAGGTAATGATCTCCTTTGTTACTTTTTGTAGTTTTTAACTTAAAGTCTATTTATCTGATAAAATAGATAAAATATGTATCTCCTTTATCCTTTATCAGGAGTATGAGTACTCCTGCTCACTTTCGGTATCTGTTTGCATGAAATATCTTTTTCCATTCCTTTACTTTCAGTCTGTGCTTGTCTATCAGTGAGGCTAGTCTCTTGTAGGCAGCATCTAGTGGGTCTTGTTTTTAAATACATTCAGGAGCTTACTTTAAATTGGATAATTTAATCCATTTATATTCACAATTATTATTGATAAGTGAGGATGTACTCCTGCCATTTGGTTGTTTTCTGGCTGTTTTGTAGATTCTTTTTTCCTCTCTTACTGTTTACCTTTGGTTCAGTGGTTTTCTGTGGTATTATGCTCTATTTATTCTCTTTTTCTTGTTGGTGTCTCTGTTGTAATTTCTTTTTCTCCCCATAGTTACTGTGGGCTAACACAGAGTCTTGCAGTTATAACAGACTGTTTTAAGCAGATAATAATTTAAAGTTTGGTTGCATAAAAATGCACCATACTATTTCTCTCCCTCCGCAATTTATATTTTCATTGCTTTAATTTACATCTTTATCTATTGCATGTTCCTTAGCCACTAATTGTAGCTCTTATTGACCGTTTTGACTTTTACTTTTCATACTAAAGAAATGAAAGATTTACATAGCACCATTACAACACTGGGGTAGTATCAGTTTGATTACGAATATACCTCTACTGGTTATTTATTTTTTAGCTTCCAGTTGTAGCAATCCTTTAAGAATTTCTTGTAAGACTGGTCTAGTGGTAATAGATTCTCCCAGTTTTTGCTTATCTGGAAAGGTCTTTATTTCTCTTTCATTTCTGAAGAATGATATTCTTGCTAGATATAGTAATCTTGGGTAACAGGGTTTTTGTTTTTGTTTTCAGCAATTTGACTATGTCATTCTCTTCTCTCCTTGCTTGCAGGGTTTCTGTTGAGAAATCTGCAGAGACTCTAATGGAGATTCCCTTTCATGTGACTTGATGCTTTTGTCTTATAGCTTTTTTCTCTCTTCGTCTTTGATTTTTGACCATTTCATTACAATGTATCCCAGAGAGAATGTTTTTGGGTTGAATCTAATTGGGGATCTTTGTGCTTCCTGTATCTAGATGTCTGTCTCTCCCAAAACTTGTAAACTTTTCAGCTATTAATTTGTCAAATAGGTTTTCTGTGCCTTTGTTTATCTCTGATCCCTCTGGCATTTCTATAGTACATATATTTGATTGTTTAATGATGTCCCTTAAGTCTCATAGACTTTCTTCATTCCTTTTTTTGAGGTTCATAAATTTATACATTTTTTACTTACAAATGTTCATCTGACCAAAATTCGGCATAACCTTTATGGAACACTTAATGATTGTTTTGTATTTAAAATAACATTTCATTCAAACTGTATATAATTCAGTAAAATTTGTATGCAGCAAGCAATGCTTAAAACCTGGAAAATCTGTAGAAAAGAGATTTAGACACAAAATAAGAAAAGAAAAGTCTGAGATATCTCTCACACACACGTACATGTACACACACACACACACACACACACACCCCTCTATGTGTTCACACAGACATACTCATTTTCACACACAAAGTGGCTACAGCATAGACAAAAGATTGTAGGTCCAAAGGAAAATGATTGATTGTTCTAATAAAGAGTCCATGTAGCTCAAAAAGTAATCTTCTGAGGAAATTACTGCCTCAAAAAATGTTCTTATGGTAAATTTGAGATCTAAGCCTACAAAATTACTTTTGCAAAATAGCTCCTGCAGTCCAACATGACTTGTGCAAATAGAAGGGATCAGATAAAGCTACTTTCTGTACTTTCTTAAACAAGGATGCAGGATACTTGCTAGTGCCTAAGGGCACTCCCATCATGGCAGGTACTGCTGCAGTGCCATCTTTGCCTTGTCACAAAGGTTTGAATCTCGTGGCTAACTCAGTTTGTGTAGAGTATCTATGATGCCTATGTCTCATAATTTATCCTGACATTCTTGTGAACATTCTTCTTCATTCCATATGAGGTTTGATATACAAAACATAGCTGGAAGCTTCAGTTTGATATGTGACTGGTCCATGTAATATTTGATTTTTTGAAGGATATCATCATTGGTCATAATCAGTTCTTTTGCTGTTGTCTCATCTGCTGTGTTGACTAAGATGCACAGTATCTACTCTTTGACCTTAAAGTTATGTTCCCCTTCCAGAACAAGGTGACAGCTTGCCTAGTTTACTTTCCATGAGTACTCATTACTTTATCTGGATGAGGCCAGGTCAAGAGGAGATTTTTAGGAAGTCCCAGTGTCTTCATCAGCACATTCAATTCTGAATCTGATAACATCCAGAATATCTGTTCAGTATTCAAGCTTTGTAAAATGTTTGCTTTTACTTTTTGTTCAACATGAAATGCCATATTCATTAAAGTCCAAATTCAATTCACTTGTAAAGCAGGACTTTTACTCTGGGTTAATCCACAAAGTAGCTCTACAACTCCTGATTTTAAAATTGGCTCTTCTTGGAGAAAATTCAAGAAGATTACATATTGTGGACAATGCTACCACTAAGATTTCATCTGGTGCATTTTGTAAAACCTTCATTAAATGTTTTCAGACAATGTGATCCTAGAAACTGTTTTGAACCTGCTGCACAGATCTCGATAAAGGGTGCAAACATCTGTCAGCAGCTAACCGCACCTTGACACTAGACTCAGACAAGCCAGCCACAATTCAGCCCATCATATTTTTCAGTCTCAATGCTCTTCTTCTGAATGTCTTCATCATTTGCTCCAAGAGAGTCATAGAGCTTGAATGCAGCCTGGTAGATTCCATGCTCATGTTTTAAATCATGATCAAGCCTTTTAATATCAGTGATGGCACTCAGTGTGTTGGGATACTGGAAATAGTCAGCAAACATGGCAATGAGGTGAGCAGTTATGCTGACAATTCTCTGTAGTTCAATATCTGGTTCAGTCAGAAAGGCAAGTGTCTCAGCTTCTTTAGCTCTCTCCTCTAGTAATCTCTTCTTACTGCACAAACAAGGCAATGTCTTTAATACAGTTGTTATCTGTCTGAATTGTTCCAGCTGTATGCATGTAAGTTAAACATTTTGCTGATGTAAGCTGTATCTCAATATACTTAGCCCTCTGTAACATCTTAACAAAAATCTGTGATAACAATTCTGCATCAACCAAAACATTTACCAGGATGTAGGATGCTGCTGGTAAAACTGAGAAACAGTTCAGTGCTTGCATTTGAACTTTGTAGAACAGTGAGGTTAGTAGCTGAGCAGTGTTCTGAACTACGCCATGGCTAAATAAAATCGTTTGATGATCTGGCCCTTTACAGAAGTGTGAGACAATCCAACAGATGTACTCCTGGGTATAGTGGAACCTGCTAAGCAGTGCCATGAGGTGCAGTGTCACTGTGGCATCTGTATACAGTAGCTCCTTTGGAGTGACAAGTCTGGAGAAAATGGTATGCAGGCATTGGAGACAAGCTTCAGTGAACTTCAGGTCTGGGGACAGTAGTTCTTGCAGTAAGGCTGGGATTATACGAGTCACTAGAGACTTGACATTGTTTTCAGTACCCAGAGCAAGACTTCCCAGCACCACTGCACATTCAGTTTTCAGCTCTGCGCTTGAGGTTTCTTGCTGAAGTAAATACAACAATCTTGGAACAGCTCTGAAAACAGTGAGACTGTTTTCTGCTTGCTTCAAATTACAGAATTTTTTATGTCTCATTTTAGAGTCAGGCACCTCAAATTTATTGCAAAACCCATCAAAGTTATCTTCCAGAAACTTTCATTCATGGTCCAAAAGGAAGCTAATACGGATTGGGGTCTCCAACAAGCACACAATCTCGAGCCTTCCCACCTGGCTGCTCTCATTCTTTTTTATTCTCATTTTCTTTTCTGCCTAGGTTATTTCAAAAGATCTGTCTTAAAGTTCCAGAATTCTTTTTCATCCTTCCTCTTATTCTTATTCTTCTTCTCTTCCTCTTCCTCCTTCTCTTTCAACTTCTTCTTCTTGACAAGGTCTCACTCTGTCACCAAGGCTGGAGTGCAGTGGTATAATCATAACTTACTGCAGTTTGAACTCCTGGGCTCAAACAATCCTCCTGCCTCAGCTTGTAAATAGCTAGAACTACAGGCATAAGCCACCATGCCTGGTGAGACAATGTCTTAAGCACTATGGATAGATAAGCAGCTGTTAAGCAGTACATCTTTATATAAAGAAAAAGAAAATAGAATGCCTCTAATTCTACCACCCAGAGATGACCACTTTTAACAACTCAGGATTATGTTGATTCATAGTCTCAGTGTAGAAACTGGCTGATCAGTGAGGGTGGGAGGACACTTGAACAGGGACGTCCTGCTTTATTGCCCTCTCTATGACACCACAATTCATCACCCTGTGGTCCACTGCCAGCCTATTCTGTTTCCATTTCTTGTACTGTGGGTATTGAGCACATCCTGAGTGCTTCTACAGCCTGTGGCCATGTTGGCTGTTGCCTTTACTCTGATTTAGTCCCAGTTGCTCTCCATCTTTCGAGGTCTTCTCGTAGTTTCCATGTCCCTGATATAGCCCCTTCTTGTTTTCTAGTATGGTTATTCATTTTTTTTCTCTCTCTCTTTCCTCTCTTCCTTCCTTCCTTCCATCCACCCATCCATCCATCCATCCACCAGTTTAAGGGTTTTCTATGGGTTGGGGAGACTGGTTTATATGCTCTGTTTACCTTCCTAAAAGTTTACAGTTATATCACATATCTGACAGCTTGAGTCTCACTCACCCCCACCCCATCACTTATCAGTGAGATAAGTGAGACTCGCTTATCAGATATTTCAGATCCATGGTTAGACATAACTGTGGAGCACTGGCATTTTAAAGACTTACTGGGTAATATGCCATGCTTATGGAATCCCCAGAGGAGTCCTCTTTTCTGAGATTTCTGAGAGAACAGTAGTGCTGGCTAGGGAAGGAAGGTCAGCAGATGGCTGGAGGATGCTGCTGGAGTTGGGAAGAGCATGACAAAAGATGTGGACATATATGATAGAATGTGCTGTGGTGGCCTTGTGGAAATCAGAGCAGAAAGAACAGAGTGTTGTGGGAGTCCCAGAAAGGAGGCATCTCTTTGAAGAGAAGCCATAACACTGCTGCCATGTGCTTTAGCCATGAGACAGTGCTAGTCCTGTCCCACAGATGGTGGGGGCTGGAGAGAACAGTGTCTGCAGCCTGTAGTCCAGGAGTCTCTCTCTTGCGCCAACAGCCCAGCATTGGCTCAGGAGTGAGCTGATGCTTCTTGACCTTGACAATGCTAATTTCTTGTGAAGTGAAGGATTAGTCTCAGGGTCCCCCACTCACACAGGACCCTTCCAAGGCTCTGGGAGAGTGGGAAGAACCCTGATAAAGTGTCTATATGGTTATATGTCTCCCTTAAATTATGAAAAAGTAAGATATTTTGTAGTATTACTTTAAAAGGATGTCCTAATTATATAAGCTTTGAGCCCCATAGAACTGGTTTCTGCCCCTAAATGAAGGACTTAATTCCAGTTAGCAGAGACATTGGATAAATAATCAAGCTGGAGAAAAAAATATGAAAGACTATTCCACTTAGGGAAGACACACTACAGGTAAGCATCCTTGGCTCTGAGAAAGTGAAGTTTAGAAAGATCAGATGATCTTAGTGGGCTACAAGACAAACGTCTTGACACTGATGTTCAAGGCTAAAGGGTGAGTGATGACAGCAATGCCTGATGATATGAATGTGATTTTTTTTTTTTTGGCCATTTTGCAGGACCGGGCAGTTAAATGGCACCTGCACCAGCTCAGTGGACATGGAGCTCTTCCTCCATTACTCCCTCATCCCATCAGTAAGTAAAGGCAGGGGAAGGGTGAGGAGGGCAGGAAAGGGCAGCTGGGCCACTACCAAACACAGACTCCCAAACAGACCTGAAAAGGTCAGGGGAGAGAGATCAGCTGAGTTTCCTTCCAAAATTTCTTACATTATATACCAAAAATATGGCAGTAGAAGGCTTTTAAGGGCCCAAGAATCAAGCATATGGGCTTTTAGGGAAGTCAAACAGGCTTTTCTAATGAAGTAATGACAGTGCTAAGGTCAGTTGGAAGATGTAGTTAAGTATATTGCAGATAGGGGAGAGCTCATGCAAAGGCTCTGTGGAGGGAGGGAGAAGACAGAGTGGGAAGAGCTGAGAAGTTTAGCCATGGCCGGACTGGAGAATTGAAGTGGAGAGGTCTGGGGAGGTGGGCAGGGCAGGGCAGGTAGAGCCCTATGGGGCTCTGTGTTAAGTTTTGCCTTCATTCTAAGTACAACGGGAAGTAATGGAAGTGTTTCCATGAAGATGATATGACCAGATTTATGCTTTTAAACGATCTCTCTGGTTACAATGTGGTGATTGAGTTGGAAGTGGGCAAGACGAGGCAGGAAGACCAATTGAGAGACTGTTGCAGGGATCCAGATGAGACATGGTTTTATCTCATCCTAGAACATGATGTCAACTCCAGAAGTTCAGGAGATAAGAACAACAGGACTTGCAATGGACTGGGTAGGAAGGTTAGGGAGAGGAGGAGGTTGAAGATGACTTGGGTTTCTAACTTATACAACTGAAAAGATGATGGCAGCTGCCATTCACTCATTAAGGAAAAATTAGAAGAGATCTAGGTTTGAAGTATATATAAGACAGCTCATGCCTGTAATCCTAGCACTTTGGGAGGTCAAAGCAGGCAGATCACTTGTATCCAGGAGTTTGAGAACAGGATGGGGAACATGACAAAACCTCATCTCTACCAAAAATACAAAAATTATCTGGGGGCGGTGGCCCAGCCACTCAGGAGGCTGAGGTAGGAGGATCAGCTGAGCATGGGAGTTTGAGGCTGCAGTCAGCCATAATTGTGGTATTGCACTCTAGCCTGGGTGACAGAGTGAGACACTGTCTCAAAACAAGAGACATATTGAAGTTTTTGATAAAAGCTTTGAGCTTTCAATACATTAAAAAGAAGTATCAACTGTGTAGTTGGTTATGTAGTTTTGGAGTTCATGTACAAGGTCAGGGCTGGAGATTCATATTTAAGTCTTCTGTGTATTGATGGTCATTAAAACATGGAGGTGAGGCTAGGCACAATGGCTCACACCTCTAATCCTAGTGCTTTGGGAGGCCAGGGTGGGAGGATCACTTGAGGCCAGGACTTTTGAGACCAGCCTGGGCAACATAAATGAGATCATTAAGGAAGAGAAGATCAGGTAAGAAGATGAGTAGCCCTTGGACTGAGCTATAAGGAACTCTGCATCTAGGGCTGGGGTAAAGAACTATCCAGCAGAGGATACTGAGGAATAATGGGGAAAAATCAGGAAAGCATGTTTGATGAAGGCCTAGGGAAGAGAGTACTCAAAGAGGAGGGAATGGTCAACACTCTAGAATGCTGCTGAGAGATCATGCTAGATTTGGCCTTCAAGTATACATGGGACCAAGCCACAAAACAATCAAGTGACTTTAGCCATAGCTTTCTCAGCAGAGTGATGGGGGTAGAAGCCAGGTCAGGGGATTCAGGAGCCAGTGAGAGGTAAAGGAATGGAGACACAAATGTAGAAAATTCTCAAGAAATTTCTGATAAAGGCAGGAGAGAGAGAGAGCATCAAGTTTGTGAGACATGACTGAATCCATAGGAAAGCGGCAGAGAAGGCTTTGCAACCTGGCAGTTAGTACTGCCTTTTGACAGATGAGGAAACCGAGGTACAGGAAAGTTAAATCTCCCTCTCAACCAGGATGTGAAAGAGACCAGATTTGAACCTACACCTTTTCAGGGCAAGAGAAGGGAACGCTTAGTACAGAACATTCTGATAGCTCAAGGGTGCATGCAGTCAGCCCTCTGACTCTGGAGTTTGAGGTGTCACTAACGTTCTGTGCACTCTGCTGACCGACACATTTGCTTTCAGGGAGGGCTTAGAGGCCACACTGAGGATGAACATGCCCACTAACTCTCTCATCTTCTCTTCTTACAGCTCTTCATCATTTTGATCTTGTCCTTCCTCCAAAGACGAGAGCATCGTAGACAGAGAGATGATACCTCTTACCTTCTGGGGAACCGCTTTGGAATCATCATGTGAGTTGAGTCAACCCCTGCAGCTTGGGGTACCTTGTGGTGGAGCCAATACCAATTATGAGGTCAGGTAGCTCTTAGGACTCTTCCTCCACCTCTACTTCCCTCTGCACAGCGCTGCCCCTCCGTGCCCCAACCCAACCAAAGCTCTTACAGTTTAGAATTGGTTTCCAAGCCATTGTGGCTCTCAGTACCCAGGGCTGCTCAAATATGCTTAAAATGTCTCACGGAGACCCAGCTCACTATAGAAAAGATCTTCCCACACTTGAGACTACAGCTGCCTCAGGAGGCAGGAGGGAGAGAGCTCCGTGACTGGAGACAGCAAAGCTTCCTGTTAGGATGGCACCATGGGTCATCCACGAGAGCTTTTAGAGCTTTTCTAGCTCTGCCACTTTGAGTCTCTGCAGCTTGTGTCACATTTTTGCTTGAGTTCTGATTGCTCCTATCTCTGTTTCATCACTTCTTACCATCTTCATCATCATGCAGTTAACATTATTGCATACTATCTGTAACCCAAGCACTGAACCATTTGCTTTGCCTACGTTATTTTGACGAATCCTCTTGACAATCTAGCATGGTAGAAGTTGTTATCCTTGTGCAATGGATGAGAAAACTCATGCTCAGAGAGGTTAAATGACCAGTCCACAGCAACATAGCTAACAAGTAACAAGAGCTTTAGCCCAGATCAGCTTTATATTCTCTCGAATCCCCCAGTGTTATAACCTCAACAGGCTCAAGCTATGGACCTGCTGAGGTCTCAGCCAAGGACTCTAGAGAAGAGAGAGAAACACAGATGTCAGAACTGAGGCAAGGGGGGACCTAAGCTGCAGGTGAGAGACGCATTCTGGATACCACTCACTGGGCCAGTCCGTACTTTTCAAGCTGCCAGGCCTGAGACCCATTGATTGAGTCACAGAAAAAAAACTGAAGCTGGTGGATAAAGACGTTCAGTTCTGTCCTGGGCGTTTAGCATGTAGGGGCTGGCACAGGACTTTATAAGAAGTAGGAGGTCCGTAGCAATTACATTCAACTGCTTTGAATTACATTGATAATGACACAATTGACTTGCTCCCTGGCTACTTTCCCACCTAAACCGCTGCTTATCTGATAATTTTGGCCCACCATCTTTTCCAAGCAATGACCCCTCACACGTGTGGCACTCTGCAGCTGATAAAGCAGTTCATCATTTGCTGTCCACAATGACTGTGATACGGATAGAGTAGGGGATTCTATCTCAGTTTTAAAGATGAGGAAACTGTCTCACACAGCTCTTAAGTACTACAGATGGAATCTTGATAAGAATTCAATTCAATTCAATAAAATGTATGTCCACAAACCTGCACTAAGTACCTACTCTTTCCAAGGTCCTGTGCTCGGTCCCCACCCAGAGGAGTTTATAGTTTACTAAACAAGCGGAGAGCTAAGGTTATAGGGAAGCAGAGATTCTAAGTCAGAGAGGAAATGATATGACAGAGCTAGACCCTATCTCAAAAGGGTCTCATGTGGTGGCGCCTACCTGTAGTTCCAGGTACTCAAGAGACTAAGGTGGGAGGATCACTTGAGCTCAGGAGGTTGAGGGTGCAGTGAGCCAAAATTACACCATTATACTCCAGCCTGGGTGACAGAGGTGTGCTGAACAGGGACATGAACTTAATGTTGAGGGGACACAGACAGGGCAGCCTCACTGGAGGTGGGTGATCAGGGAGGCTTCCTAGAAGGCGTGCTCCTGCTGAGCCTTAAAGGTGAAGATGAGTGAACCAATGAGACTTCTGCCTGCCATCCCTGGCTCTCCCTTCCCTCCTGAGTTTTCATTAAGACCCACTTTAAATGGCCCTTTTCATTCAAAGAGCCTTTTTTCTTCTCCCAAATGCAACTGCTTCCTCTGACCTATACAAGCTGTCTTGGTTAGAAGAAACAGGTATTCACACAAGCTTGTTTACATTAAAGGAAGAAAAAAAATTTTTTTTGAGAGAGTCTGGCACTGTCACCCAGTCTGGAGCATAATGATACAGTTTTGGCTCACTGCAGCCTCAACCTTCTGGGCTCAAGTGATCCTCCCAGCTTAGCCTCCCAAGTATCTGGGACTACAGGTGGGTGCCACCACACCTGGCTAATTTTTGTGTGTTTGTAGAAACATGGTTTCATCAAGTTGCCCAGGCTGGTCTCCAGCTCCTGGGTTCAAGCTGTTCACTTGCCTTGGCTTCCCAAAGTGCTAGCCACTGCATCTGGCAAGAAAGGATTTTTTTTTTTTTAAACAAATTTAGAGGTCTCACATAAACCTACAGAACAGGCCTCATGGAAACTGGATCTCTTGAGATGGGAATCTGTGGGAGATTGATTGTCTTCTCTCTCTCTCTGCTCCTCTGTGTCACTGGTGCCTCCTCAGCACCGTTCTGCCATTTTCCTCGCTGACTTAGAATCTCTGCTTCCCTATAGCCTTGGCTCTCCTCTGGCGTTGACTCTGATGCCAACTTCTTAGGACTTTCCAGACAAGGACTTTAACAGCTAACTCATTCCTGTCCTTAGGGTCACAGATTCAAAAGGTAACACCAGACATCTGATCAGCCCATCCAAAGACAGGCCCATAGTCCAGCCAGCCGCGGCTAGGAAGGCATGATTATTTAGGGGAGGCAAAAGTTTATCTCTACCTTCTTAGTTTTTTCAGCTGGGCCTGAGAATTGTAATGTAAGTTTTATGTGATCCAGGAGCCCTTATAAGGAAATGAAGACCCAAATACACAGTTAGAGTTGAATATGTACACATGGAATTGGACAAAGAATAGTTAAGTTGTAAAAAAGTAACTAAATTGTGCAGGGAGACTAGAAGACAAGAGTTATTTAAATAAGGTCTGTGCCAAATTCTCTTGGTCTCAACTTCCTGTCCCTGATGATAAGAATGTTATTTTCCTTCTGTAAAGGGAGAGCATTTTTTTACATAGAAATTTCATCTCCTGTTTTTAAGAAATAGCATGAAGGTCGGAGTGATCTTCTTGTACCTGCTGTTTTTTAAGTGTGTTTAACTGAGAACAGTCGATATGCCAGAGTGGCATATTTTAGGGTGGCCTATTACTTCTTCAAGCATAGACATAGCAAATGACACCTGTACCTAGACCCTCATCAGGGATATTGAAAGGACGAATTCTCATAGAATATGGCTGGAAGAGGGCAGGCTTCCCCTAATCTGTCTCGGACACATACTCCTTGTTTTGGTCCTTGAGTCATTCTGTCTGTGTCTCTTATAGATGAAACTTGTCCCATTTTGCCTTCATGGCTTCTGGTGTCCTTGCTTGTATCCCCTGCTAGTCCTGGAGCTCCTCCAGAGCAAGAGTTTTGTCCTCCTCACTTCAGTACCCTGAATCCATGCTTAGCCCTAGGTCTGGCACAGAGGGCCCTGTGAAATGTCAGTTGCAATGAGCAGCTATTCAATAATCCCTCCTCAGGGTGGGATCTATTCAATAATCCCTCCTCAGGGTGGGATCGCTACTTTGGTGATGATTTGTGGGAATGTTCTCAGAGCCACCTTCTGGCCTCACACACTGTTTCTGTTGTTTGCAGGCCTCTGGACTTTGTGGGCACTTTCAGTAACCGATGGTCCTATGGAATCGCCTTTGGGGCCACAGCTAATAAGGTCATGTTTTTGTTCTCAGAAGGCTACCAGCCCCTGCAGATCCCACAGTGGGCCCAAGGTACTAGAACTGCCTCATACCTGCTAGAAACTGCATCATGGGAATTCTTGCTCTCAGAGACCACGTGGCCTGTGCTCTCTGGGATCAGGGCATAAACTCATAAACGATCATGTTCTTGCCAGCCTGTCACTTGCCCAAGGTCAATGCCTAGCCCACAAATCTTCAAAGCTTCTTTGTGGGGATCTGCCCAGTTAGATTCAGAGGTCCTTTAGACATGATGTACCAAGTCTCACGAAGCAGGTTCTTCCTCACCTACTTGCCAAAAGCTCTCCTGTGTCATAGCCATGGCAGCCTACTTGATATTGATTAGCCCTATTCCTCCTCAAAGATCAATGCTTATGTTTTTGGCCATTAGTCTGAGGCCTCATCCTTTCCTGTGCCTCATGCTTCATCTGAAGGAGTAACTCTAAGCTATACGTTCACTTTTCCCTTATACAATCATTCTAAAACCTCTCTGATCAATATAGTTCCCTCTCATGGGCTCCAAGCCTAAATCAAATGCCTACTAACAGGTCATTAGTCTTTAAGAAGATGCAAATTAAAACCAAAATGATGTATCATTACACACCTCTTAGAAGTACACAATTTGAGAAGTTTTGCAAATGTTTACATTAATGAAACCATTACCATCAGGTTAAGGAATCCCAGAGATTTCCTTGTTCCCCTTTGTAATCTCCTCTTTCCTCCCCTCTTCTGTCACTGCCCTCATTTACAAGCAACAAGTAATCTACTAAGTTTGCATTTTCCAGAATTTTATATAAATGGAATCATGCAGAATGTACTTTTTTTGGAGTCTAGCTTCTTTCAGTCAGCATAGCTATTTTGAGATTCATACATATGTAACATGTGTTACTAGCTTATCCTTTTCCTTGCTGAGTAGTATTCCACTATATAGATCAACTACAGTTTGTTTATCCCTTCACCTCTTGAGTAATATCTGATTTATTTCTACTTTTGGCCATTGTAAATAAAACTGCTGTGAACGTTTGTGTACAAGTCTTTTCATGTACCCACGCTTCAATTTTCCTTGGGTAAATACCTATGAGTAGAATGGCTGGATTACACAGATCAGATAGTAGATCATACTTTTAAAGACACCGTCAAACTGCTTTTTAAAGTGATTGTACCACTTTAGATTATCCCCATCAGTATGAGAGTTCCAGTTTCTCCAACACTGGTACAGTCCATTTTTTAAATTTTGGTGGTTCTAAGAAGTGTGTTGTGGTTTCTTATGGTGGTTTTAATTTGGATTTTTATAATGACTAATGCTGTTGAGCATATTTTCATGTGCATATTTGCTATTCCTGTACCTGCTTTGATGAAACATCTATTCAAATCATTTGTCTATTGTCAAAAATTGGGATTTTTTGCTTGCTTTTTAGTGAGTTTTCAGAGTTTTAAAAATATATTTTGGTTTTAAGACCATTACTGTACACATGTATGAATTGCAAATATTTTCTCCTAATCTGTAGCTCAAATTTTCATCCTCCTAGCAAACTGTTTTGAGGAGCTGACATTAATTTTGATGAAATCCAATTGACTCTTCTTTTTTCTTTTATGGATCATGCTTATGGTGTCATATAAGAATCTTTTCCTAAAATAAGGTCATGTAGATTTTTCTCCTCTGTTTTTTTCCCCCAGAGTTTTATAGCCTCAAATTTTGCTTTGAGGCCTGCAATATATTTTGAGCTTTTTTTTTTTTTTTTTTTTTTGCATATAGTATATAGTAGGAGGTGTGGATTCTTTTATGCCTTTGGACTGCTGAATAAAAAGTATTCTAGCACTGTTTGCTGTAAAATCCCATCCTTTGTCCATTGACATGCCTTTGTACCTTTGTTGAAAAGCAATTGACCACATATGTGTGGGTCTATTCTAAGACCCTCTATTTTCTCCTATTTATCTATTTGTCTATCTTTGCACCAATTTCATACTGTCTTGATTATTTTAGATTTATGATAAATATTGAAATCAGGTGGTATTAGTCCTTCAGATTTGTTTTTTTCAAAGTTGTTTTTGCTATTCTAGGTTCTTTGCATTTCTACATGAATTTTAGAATAAATTTGTCAATATATACAAATAATGCTGAAATTGAGATCATCTCATTTGTACATTTTTAGATCCATTTTAGGAAAATGGTCATTTTAATGATAGTCTTCTGACCCATAAACACAATATATCTCTCCTTTTATTTAGAGTTTATTAATTTCTTTCAGCAATGTTTTGTGTTTTCAGTGAATAGACCTTTTGTCAGATTTATGTTTTATATTTTTTATTGTTTCTTACTAATAAATAGAAATACCATTGATTTTTGTATGTTGATTTTATATCCTGCAGACTTGCTAAACTCACTTATTAGTTCCAGTAGCTTTTTCTATAGATTGTATAGTATTTTCTACATACTACATCATATCATCTATGAATAAAGGCAGTAGTTTTATTTTTTCTTTTCCAATCTAGAGGTCTCTTATTTTATTGTTATTGTTTTTCCTAATTGCAGAGGGTAAAACTTCCAAATAATGCCCAGTACAAGTAATCAGACCAAGCATCCTTCTCTTGCTCTTCATATTAGGGGAAAATCTTGTTTTTTTAAAGCACTGATTTTGAAGAATTATATTATGATGTGTCTAATTTTCTTGATGTTTCTCATGCTTGGGGTTTGTTGATCTCTGCATTAAGATTTTCCTCAAATTTAGAAAAGTTTTGGGCATGGTGAGGTGGCTCACGCCTATAATCCCAGCACTTTGGGAGGCTGAGGCAGGAGGATTCTTGGGCCCAGGAGTTTAAGACCAGCCTGGGCAACATAGTAAGACCCCACCTCTACAAAAATAAAAATAAAATTAGCTGGGCATGGTGTCATAGGCCTGTATTCCCAGCTACTTGGAAAGCTAAGGCAGGAGGATCACCTGAGCCTGGGTGGTTGAAGCTACAGTGAACCATGACTGTGCCACGCATTCCAGCCTGGGCCACATAGCAAGACCCTGTCTGTCACAAAAAAAAAAAGGAAGGAAGAAAGGCCAGGCACAGTGGCTCAAGCTTGTAATCCCAGCACTTTGGGAGGCTGAGGTAGGTGGATCACTTGGGGTCAGGAGTTTGAGACCAGCCTGGCCAACATGGTGAAATGCCATCTCTACCAAAAATAGAAAAAATTAGCAAGCTGTGGTGGCATGTACCTGTAGTTCTAGCTTCTCGGAAGGCTGAAGAGGAGAATCACTTGAACCCAGTTGCAGTCAGCCCAGCCCATGCTACTGGTGACAAAGCAAGACTCTGTCTCAAAAAAAAAAAAAAAAAAAATAAGGAAGGGAGGAAGGGAGGCTGGGACGGAGGGAGGGAGAGACGGAAAAAAGAGTAATTTTGGCCATTAATTCTTTTTTTTCTCTTTTTTTTATTGTCCTTTAAGTTCTGGGGTACATGTGCAGATCTTGCAGAATTGTTAAATATAGGTATACACGTGCCATGGTCATTTGCTGCCTCCATCCCTCTGTTACCTACGCTAGGTATTTCTCCTAATGTTATCCTTCCCCAACCTCCCCACCCCTTGTTATCCCTCCGCTAGTCTCCCATCCCCCAATAGACCCCAGTGTGTGATGTTCCCCTCCCTATGTCCATGTGTGCTCATTGTTCAACACTCACTTAAGAGTGAGAATATGTGGTGTTTGGTTTTCTGTTCTTGTGTCAGTTTGCTGAGAATGATGGTTTCTAGATTCATCCAGGTCCCTGCAAAGGACATGAACTCATCCTTTTTTATGGCTGCATAGTATTTCATGGTGTATATGTGCCACATTTTCTTTATCCAGTCTATCATTGATGGGCATTTCGGTTGGTTCAAAGTATTTGGTATTGTAAACAGTGCCACAATGAACATGCATGTGCATGTGTCTTTATAATAGAATGATTTATAATCCTTTGGGTATATACCCAGTAATGGGATTGCTGGGTCAAATGGTATTTCTGTTTCTAGATACTTGAGGAATCACCATACTGTCTTCCACAATGGTTGAACTAATTTACACTCCCACCAACAGTGTAAAAGTGTTCATATTTCTCCACATCCTCTCCAGCATTGGTTGTCTCCAGATTTTTTAATGATCGCCATTCCAACTGGCATGAGATGGTATCTCAATGTGGTTTGGATTTGCACTTCTCTAATGACCAGTGATGATGAATACTTTTTTCTATGTTTGTTGGCCACATAAATGTCTTCTTTTGAAAAGTGCCTGTTCATATCCTTCACCCACTTTTTGATGGGGTTTGTTTTTTTATTGTAAATTTGTTTTAGTTCTTTGTAGATTCTGGATATTAGCCCTTTGTCAGATGGGTAGCTTGCAAAAATTTTTTCCCATTCTGTTGGTTGCCGGTTCACTCTAATGATTGTTTCTTTGCTGTACAGAAACTCCTAAGTTTAATTAGATCCCATTTGTCTATTTTGGCTTTTCTTGCCATTGCTTTTGGTGTTTTAGTCATGAAGTCCTTGCCTATGCCTGTGTCCTGAATGGTATTGCCTAAGTTTTCTTCTAGGGTTTTTATGGTGTTAGGTCTTGTGTTTAAATTTTTAATCCATCTGGAGTTAATTTTGATATAAGGTATAAAGAATGGGTCCAGTTTCAGCTTTCTGCACATGGTCAGCCAGTCTTCCTAACACCATTTATTAAACAGGGAATCCTTTCATTGCTTGTTTTTGTCAGGTTTGTCAAAGACGAGATGGTTGTAGGTGTGTGGCATTACTTCCGAGGCCTCTGTTCTGTTCCATTGGTCTATATCTCTGTTTTGGTACCAGTATCATGCTGTTTTGATTACTGTAGACTTATAGTATAGTTTGAAGTCAGGTAATGTGATGCCTCCAGCTTTGTTCTTTTTGCTTAGGATTGTCGTGGCTATGCAGTCTCTTTTTTCGTTCCATATGAAGTTTAAGGTGGTTTTTTTCCAGTTCTGTGAAGAAAGTCAGTGGTAGCTTGATAGGTATAGCATTGAATCTATAAATTACTTTGGGCAGTATGGCCATTTTCACAATATTGATTCTCCCTAACCATGAGCATGGAATGGTTTCCATCTGTTAGTGTCCTCTTGCTTGAGCAGTGGTTTGTAGTTCTCCTTGAAGAGGTCCTTCATGTCCTTTGTTAGTTGTATTCCTAGTTATTTATTCTCTTTGTAGCAATTGTGAATGGGAGTTCACTCATGATTTGGCTCTCTGTTTTTCTGTTATTGGTGTATAGGAATGCTTGTGATTTTTGCACATTGATTTTATATCCTGAGACTTTACTGAAGTTGCTTATCATCTTAAGGAGATTTTGGGCTGAGACGATGGGGTCTTCTAAATATACAATCATGTCATCTGCAAATAGAGACAATTTGACTTCTTTTCCTAATTGAATATGCTTTATTTCTTTTTTCTTGCCTGACTGCTCTGGCTAGAACTTCCAATACTATGTTGAATAGGAGTGGTGAGAGAGGGCACCCTTGTCTAGTGCCAGATTTCAAAGGGAATGCTTCCAGTTTTTGCCCATTCAGTATGATTTGACTGTGGGTTTGTCATAGATAGCTTTTATTCTTTTGAGATATGTTCCATCAATACCTAGTTTATTGAGAGTTTTTAGCATAAATGGCTGTTGAATTTTATCAAAGGCCTTCTCTGCATCTATTGCGATAGTCATGTGGCTTTTGTCTTTGGTTCTGTTTATGTGATGGATTACGTTTATAGATTTGTGTATGTTGAACCAGTCTTGCATCCCTGGGATGAAGCCTACTTGATCGTGATGGATAATCTTTTTGATGTGCTGTTGCATTTGGTTTGCGAATATTTTATTCAAGATTTTTGCATCGATGTTCATCATGGATATTGGCCTGAATTTTTTTTTTTTTTTTTTAGTTGTGTCTCTGCCAGGTTTTGGTGTCAGGATGATATTGGTCTCATAAAATGAATTAGGGAGTATTCCTTCTTTTTGAATTGTTTGGAATAGTTTCAAAAGGAGTGGTACCAGCTCCTCTTTGTACAGCTGGTAGAATTCGGCTATGAACCATCTAGACCTGGGCTTCTTGTGGTTGGTAGGCTATTAATTGCTGCCTCAACTTCAGACCTTGTTATTAGTCTATTCAGAGATTCAACTTCTTCCTGGTTTAGTCTTGGGAGGGTGCATGTGTCCAGGGATTTATCTATTTCTTCTAAATTTACTGGTTTATATGCATGGAGTTGTTTGTAGTAATCGCTGATGGTAGTTTGTATTTCTGTGGAATCAGTGGTGATATCCCCTTTATCATTTTTTATTGCATCTATTTGATTCTTCTCTCTTTTCTTTTTTATTAGTCTGGCTATTTTTATTGGTCTATCTATTTTGTTGATCTTTTCAAAACACCAGCTCCTTGATTTACTGATATTTGAAGGGCTTTTTGTGTCTCTGTCTCCTTCAGTTCTACTCTGATCTTAGTTATTTCTTGTCTTCTGCTAGCTTTTGAATTTGTTTGGTCTTACTCCTCTAGTTCTTTTAATTTTGATGATAGGGTGTTGATTTTCAATCTTTCCTCACTTCTCATGTGGGCATTTATTGCTGTAAATTTCCCTCTAGACACTGCTTTAAATGTGTCCCAGAGATTCTGGTATGTTGTGTCTTCATTCTCATTGGTTTTGAAGAACATTCTCTCTCTCTCTCTCTCTCTCTCTCTCTCTCTCTCTCTCTCTCTCTCTCTATCTCTCTCTCTCTCTCTCTCTCTCTCTCTCTGTGTGTGTGTGTGTGTGTTGATTATAACCATCCTAATAGGTGTGTAGTAGTATCTCATTGTTGTCTTGACTTGCATTTCCCTAATGACTAGTGATGTTGAGCATCTTTTTATGTGCTTATTGGTCATTTGTATATCTTGTTTGGGGACTTGTCTATTCAAGTCCCGGCCATCTTTTTACTGAGTTGTTTGTCTTTTTGATGTTGAGTTGTAGGACTTCTTTATATATTCTGTATATTACATCCTTATCTGATATATGATTTGCAAATGCTTTCTCTTATTCTGTAGGTTTTCTTTTCACTTTCTTAATAATGTCCTTTCATACATTAAAGTTTTAAATTTCGAGGAAGTCCAAATTTGCTTGTGCTTTTGATGTCATGAAGTTTTTCAGTCTGGCTGGTGAGAATAGGCACTATCCTGGACCTATGTGAGTTGTAGTCATGGTTACCTTTGGTCTTTTCAAGTGGTTCTGTCATACACAACTGTGCTGGTCAGCACTCAGCTGAAGAGTCAGAGGAACCCTTCGCAGATCTCTGTTTCCCAGAACTCTCTCTTTGTGCAGCTCCCTCCTCTCCAGTACTATCTCCTGTAAATTCTAGCTGTCTGTCTTCCCAGAGTCTCAGCTCTATCTCCTCAACTCAGGGAACCTGCAGGGCTCTGCCTGGGTTTCCCCTGCCTATACTGCTTTCTACATTAAGGTAGGGAAATTGTGAGGCTCACCTTGTTTGTTTACTGTCCTTCAGTGATTATTGTCCCCTACTGCCTGAAGCCGAGTGTCTTGAAACCAGTTGTTTTACACATTTTGTCTGATTTTCATTTGTTTCAGGGAGAAGTGTAAATATAGTGTGTTCTTTATTTTCAGATGCTCTTTGTATATTTAGGATATCAGTTTTCTGTTTGTTTTACTTTGGTCTTCATTTCTGAAATGATTTTTTCTTGTATTCCTAATTTTTTCCTGAGTTATCTAACATGTCATCAAATCTTTCTTTTTTTTATAACTTCATTTTTTAGTTTTTCAAATTCTGATTTATAGATTCTTTGTTCATAGATGCTATCATTTTCTTAATTTCTTTTAGCTTATATTGAAATATTAGATTTTTGTTTCCATCTGTCTTACAGGCCTCTTTCTGGAGTGATTTTGTGATCTGTAGTGATATTTTTCTGCTCCTTATTCTTTTTTTTTCTTATAACTTAAAATTTTTTTTTCTTGAGATGGAGTCTCACTCTGTTGTCCAGGCTGGAGTGCAGTGGCATGATCTCGGCTCACGCAACCTCTGCCTCCCAAGTTCAAGTGATTTTTCTGCCTCAGCCCCCAAGTAGCTGGGACTACAGACTCACATCTGTGGCTCATTTTTAAGTGAAATAAGTTTTCTTATAAATTCAAGTAGGAAGGATGGGTCAGATATTATTTTTTGCTTTATGGCTCTAGAGTTCCCTTTTTAGTTTTTACAGTGTGACTATATCTCTGTCTCATCTATCTATCTTTTATCAATCTATCTCATTATTATTATTTATCTATAATCTACCTAATATCTGTCTATCATCCATCCATCTACTATCATCTGTTCACTATCTGCCTACCTATCTATCTATCCATCTCTCCATCCATCCATCCATCTCCTCATACTTTCTGAGTCTGCCTCTCTTTTCCACCCTTGTCCTGACACATTATTTCCCAGCTACTCCTCATTTTGGATTCTACTGCCAGCAACTGATGCTCAGTAGGGGGCTTTGTCCTGGGAAGAACCTTAGATTATTAGTATAGTAACTTCCTGGGGCTTAGACAACTCCAGCATCTTCAGATCCTACTAAGGTCTGCTTATACTCAGCTTTGAATCATGGCCTTCAGCTGCATTTTCTAGTTAGTATCTGCTGGAAATTTTGAGTTCATCAGTTCTTGGGCCTTCAGACGCCCTCTCACCTTTCTTCTGCTTCCTCTTACTCAGACATTGACATCAAACAGGTCTTGTCACCTAGATTTGTGGCAGATGTTATCTGTGAGTCTTTAGTTGTCTTTCTAGCTGCTCTATTTCTATGGGAGGAATTCAGAGAGATTAGAATGTTTTACTGCTGCAGCTGCTATCCTCACTGCAATTATTGTTTTTGTATTGATCTTTCCCACCAGCCCTCCACCACTCACATTCACACGTATACTGACCAGCTAATTATCTCCCATCCTTTGGTGTTCTTCCTTCCCTACTTCTCTCCATCATACAATCTCCTGCTTATGTTGTATTGCCTCCAGGAAGCCTTCCCTGATACCCCAAGTGAGATCAGTAGCTTCATCTTTTGTGTCCTCACAGCAGGCTGAACGTCCCTGTCTTACAGGTCATTTCATGCCACTTACTTTCCCACCTGTCTTTCCTGTTGGATGGCCAGCATCTCAAAGCAAGAACCTTGTCCATTCCTCCTGTCCTGAGTGCCTGGCCCAGGACCCAGCTCAGAGTAGACACTTTGTTTTTGAGACAAAGTCTTGCACTGTCTCCCAGGCTGAAGTGCAGTGGCACGATCTCAGCTCACTGCAACCTCTGCCTCCCAGGTAGAGTAGACACTTTGAAAAGATCATCATGCATGATTAGATTATACTGGATGCTGTTAGTTCACCTCAGAGCTAGTTAGTGGCAGGATTAACATGGCTGTTCCCTTATGTGTAAAGTGCACTGTAGTTGACAAGCAGCTTTGCACATACTACAGCCCCTCTCTCTGAGTCTGGTGCACTTGCAATACTTGACCCTCAGTCACTATTTTTGCATGTTCATTTGTCTGTCTGTTTATCTAGTGTATCTCCATCCATCACACTGTGAGCTCACCAAGTACAAGAACCAAGTCTACTTCATGTCAATAGTAAGCCCAGTGCCTGGCACTGAATAGGGACCAGGAAGTGTCTATTGCATGAATGAATGAAAGGCATTCCTGAATTCCTGCTGGCCCTAGGCTGGGGCTGTTCCATTCTTTTCACTGGGTCCTGAGCTCCCTGACTAGAGGTCAGCATGAGGTGCCACAACTTCCCTGGGACTCCCCAAATCCAGTGGTAAGAGAAGCTCACAGCATCTCTGGCCCTGTCTCCCCAGCCTTTGAGCTTCTGATTGGAGGCCTTGAAGTTGGCCTGTCTCACTTCCCCTTCTTTGCGTGCCTCTCGTCGGAGTTCCAGCTGGTCAGCTCCACCCTGGGCTTCTGCTACTCTCTTATCTGGTAAGATGGTCTCTGCCTGCCCCCACTCCCTCGACTCCTTATGCATGACTGAACTCTGGGCGCAGGGCTGGAGGTGACCTGGGAGCTCTCCCTGGGGGACACCTTTGCCCAGAACTGAGGCCCAGGGAGGACAAGAGTGACTTATCCACGGTCCCATTGTGGGGACTGCATTGGAGGCTTCAGAAGGCCAGGCTGGCATTCTGTCTGCTTCACACAAGGCTGCTTGTGATTAGAATGTTCCCAGAAGTCAAGGATTGAGGAAAACTCATTTCTTTTTTTTTTTTCCAAATAAATTATAATCTTATTTTATTTATTTCTAGTTCAATAGCTTTTGATGTATAAGTGGTTTTGGATTATAAGGATGAATTGTATCATGGTAAGTCTGAGATTTTCTCGCATCCGTCAGCCTAGTAGTGGACACTATGCCTGATCTGAAGCTTTTTCTCCTCCCTGCTCCCACCCTTCCCCCTTCTGAGTCTCCAGAGTCCATGATACCACTCTGTATGCTTTTGCACACCCACAGCTTAGCTCCTACTTAGAAGTAAGAATACAGTATTTGATTTTCCATTCCTGAGGAAAACTCATTTCTGTAAGCTGCTGAGGACCGCACTGGAAGACAAAGGAGCCCCTGGCTACTCATCAAAGCTGCCCTGGCTTTTCTCAGGAGCCTTGGAGAAAGTTCCCCTGCCTTAGCTGGGCATTCAGGGCCATCACAGTTTAGCCTCTCCCTCTCCCTCCTTCCCCCAACAGTGTCTAGCACATACCTCCAGACACACAAGACTCCTACATTCCTTCATCCATCTACTTATTCATTCAACAACCATTACATCCCTACTACAAGACAGGAAATAACCCTGGTGAACAAGACAGACTTGCGTGGACCAGGTGTTCTGGCCTCTGTCTGTTTTTCCCCATTCCCTCTGTGGGTCATGTCTAGGGATAAGTATATACTCCTGCTTCGAGGACAGTCACTTCCACCAGATGCAAGCTTCTCGACCTTCATGTTGAGCTCTGAGACCTCAGACTTGGCACAGAACTGGCACCAGACTTGGCATAGAACTGACACCAGAGAACAGTTGTTGACTGAAAACCCCTCCAATCATTCTACTCTCCAGCCTCTGAGACTCATTTCTTTGTTTCTAACTCCTTTGCTGGCTCTTTCCCCCATCCAGCATTTTCTATGGGGCTGGGATTCTCAGGCCCCACTTAGTCAGAGATGACGGGCAGAGGGCCCACAAGCAACTGACACACTAGTGGCTATAATTGTAAAGTTTGTGAGTGGCTTGCTTTTTAAAATTTTTAATGGAAGGTATCCAGGGTTAGATGTGGCATAGTATCATCTCATCAGCCTGTGACAGACATCTGCCCAGAAGATAACAGGGTGGTGGGAATTGCTCAGCACCTTGGGCACCATGGGAGTATGGCCCAAGCTGGAACAGGACCAGGAGTGCATGTTTGGGCGGGCGTGGGGTAAAGCATCGAGGCTCATCACTTCTGAGCAGACTTTACAAACAGGTTACATAGAGGCAAGAAGAGCCCAGGCTACAGAGTCAGGAGACCTGGGTCTTCCCATTCCCATGTGTGACTTGGATAAATCCCTTACCAACTCTGGACTTCCAGCTCCCATCTGAATGATGATGGGAGGGAGAATGAGCTCTCTAAGGGCCTCCTGCTCTGCCATCACGGATTCCGACACCGTGTCCTCCATGAGGGCAGGTGAATGAATGAATTTAGTGTGCGCCTACTTTGGCATGAGCAGGGTGGCTGATCAGGGAGAGATGTCCATGGGGGCCTGGGAATCAGCCTTCCTGAGGGGGACAGGTAGGTGTGGGTGGGTGCAATCTGAGCCATTTTTACAAGGGCTGCTCCTGGGGCTGTGCTGGGAGAAAACCCCAGGGCCCCAAACTCTGTTTCTGTTCCTGCAGGTTTGCTGTCACCATTCTTCAAGTTTCACAGTGTCCCCATGGGCAGGTGAGTTTCTGTTGGCCTTTTGGGGTTTTCAGTCCTATCACTGTGGTCAGCTTGCTGTGTGATCTTGAACAAGCCTCTGTCACTTCTGGGGCCCCACTTCCTCATGTGTGTGAAAAGGTCGTTGTTGTCATTCACAGTGCTTCCATTTGTATAGCACCCATGTTCATCAAGGTGTGCATTCACAGACAGGCTTTTTCTTATTTACTCCTCTCAGCAGCCCTGCAAGAGTGGGAAGTTCATCAAACCTAGTTCACATGTGAGGAACTAGTATAGTAAGTGAGGCTCAAGTACCTTAAGTAACTCATAGGAAGCAGCAGAATTGGGAATTCAGGCCAGCTCTGGCTGACTCCAGAGTCAATTTCTTTTCACTGTATGTAGCTCCAATCTCTTTTTCTATAAAATGGAAGACTTGGACCAGATGACCCCCTTCCAGTTTTGCCATGCATTGCCCTCAGAGTTGGTGGGAACTGGTTCATCTCTTTAGCCCTGGACCCCAGTAAAGAAGAATGTAACAGTGCACCTAGAAATGCTACCAGGCAGCTTGCAGGGAGCCCACAAAAGCCACCTGGGCCAGGAGTGCATATGTTCAGACCTTTATGTTTGGTACAACCTCAATTATAGAGCATTCAGATACAGAGATGAAAGCCACAGAAATGTTGGCAGTGGTTATATCTAGCCATAAGCATATGTTGGAGAGGAGGATCAGGGGAAGACATGAGCCCTGCATCTCAGCGTATCTCCATCCTGCACCTGAACGTCACAACGTCAAATCCCGATTTCCCATGGGAGGTAATGACTCTGGAAATGTAAAAAATGTGAAACCAACCAGTAAAGTGTAAAAGATAAGTCACACTATTATTTGCTTTGAGACAGTGAAAAACAATCATTTTCATCAAAATAAAACTAAAAGCACAGAAAATCTATGAGTACCTTCTTGAGAGAACTGTAACTCTTCCCTCAGCTTGTGTTGGTCCCAGACTTATGGCAATTATGGGTTTTTCCTTCCTCTGTACCTCCCTCCTTCTATTTCTCCCTCTCTCTTTGTTTCTCCTTCTCCCTCTCAGTCTCTCTCCCTCTTTACCTCCTCTTCCCATCTACCTACCCACCTCTGGCTCTCTTACTCATATATTTTCCCAAAGAAGCATTTATTAATAGCTCCTAATAAGGACAAAATACCTTGAAACTAGTTTTGTTTTGAGACAGGGTCTTGCTCTGTGACCCATACTAGAAAGCTAGCTTTATAAAATAAAATGGGGATGCCAAGACTTGAATCCAGGGTTGCTGTGCTCCAAGTTCACTGCCCATTCTGATGATGGGGGTTTGGGAAATGGGGGATTGGCCACTGACTGTCAAGCCTGAGAGAGGGGACCTTGCTTGAGCAAGCTGGGGCAGGCAGAGTCCTGCAGCTTCAGCAGGTGGCTCAGCCCCACCTGCCTGGAGCCATGTTGTGGTATGCTTCTGCTGCAGTTCGTGGGGAAGTACGAGACCCTTGTGTTCTACTGGCCCTCACTGCTGTGCCTCGCCTTCCTGCTGGGCCGCTTCCTGTATATGTTTGTCAAGGCTCTGAGGGTACACCTTGGCTGGGAGCTCCAGGTGGTGAGTACTAAGTATGAGCACTGCATGGATTGATGGGTTTCATCCCTACAACAGCCAGGGAGGTAAGTACTGTTACTACACCTCACATTCTGAATTCAGAAACTTGGATGCACAGAGGTGAGTTGAGTTGCCTGAGGTTTCTAGCTGGGAACCATGAAAATCTGAGACAGGTCTCAGTTAATTTAGAATGTTTATTTTGCCAAAGTTGAGGACACACACCCATGACACAGCTTCATGAGGTCCTGAGAGAATGTGTCCCATGTGGTCAGAACACAGTTAGGTTTTATACATTTTAGGGAGACATGAGACATCCATCAACAGTTGTAAGATGAACATTGGTTCTGTCTGAAAAGGTGGGACAACTAGAAGGGGCTTCAGGGCATAGGTAGATGAGACAAATGATTATATTCTTTTGAGTTTCTGATTAGCCTCTCTAAAGGAGGCAATCAGATATGCATTTATCTCAGTGAGTAGAGGGGTGACTTTGAATAGCATGGAAGACAGACTTGCCCTAAGCAGTTCCCAGCTTGACTTTTCCCTGTAGCATAGTGATTTGGGGGGCCCAAAATATTTTCCTTTCACATAGCTAACCTGTAGCATATCCAGGAATGGAACCCAGACAGTTCAGTTATGGAGCCTCTTCCTTAACCACTGACAAACATAGCCTCTTTGGCATGAGGCAAATTCAGCAGTGGGGTGTGGGGGAGAGGAAAAGACCTATCTTGACCACAGCATGGCTAAATCCAAAAGAGCAACTCCTACCCAAAATCCTGCCCTCTGTGGCCATTGCCCCACCTAATGAGATCAAAAGCCTAACAAGAATTTATGAGCCAAAGTGTAAGCTTGTCTGCTGTCTCATAGGAAGAAAAGCCTGTCCTGGAAGCGCACCAGGCAGAGCACGTCAAGCAGCTCCTGAGGACACCCCACTCACAGTAAGCCACAGTTCTGTTAATTCACCTGCAGGTTTGCATCCACTCTGATGAACTGTGATGATGTGACAGAGTCTGGGATGACCAGAAAGGCACCGTAGTGATCATGACCCTTGTTTGCTAAAAACAGAAACCCAACTCAAACTGGATTGAAGGAAGAAAGGAAACTTACGGGCTCCCATCACTAAAAAGTCTAGAGGTAGTCAGTTTCAGGCAAGCTGGATCCACAGGCTTAATTGTTATGATCAAAACCAGGTCTCTCTCCCCCCATCTCCCCTCAGCCCTGCTTTAATGTGTCGGCCTCCCATTTAAGTGGGATTCCTCCACATGGTGGCATCCAGACTCTCTATGTTTATACACTCCTGGTTTAAGTCCAGAAGACAGACGAATGCTGCTTTCCAGTTATTCAAACAAAAGTCCCATGAACATGTTTCACTGGATCAAATTGGATCACACACCTCCCTGGAACCAGTTACTGTGGCAGGGATTGGAGTGCACTGATTGGCTAAGCCTGAGTCACATGTCCCTCCATTTCCTCCAGAGCTAGGAAGTGGGATCAGCATCTCTTACCCAGGGACAGGGAGTGGTGGTTCCCCAAATAGAAACTAAGGTGTTAGGCTGGGTGTGGCGGCTCATGCCTGTAATCCCAGTATTTTTGGGAGGCTGAAGTGGGAGAATCGCTTGAGCTCAGGAGTTCAAGACCAGCCTGGGCAACAAGGTGAGACCCCCATCTCTACAAAAAATGAACTATTTAGCCAGGTGTGGTGCACGTCTGTGGTCCCAGCTACTTGGGAGACTGAAGTGAGAGGATCACTTGAGTCAGGAGGTCAAGGCTGCAGTAAGTGGTGACCACACTACTGCACTCAGCAGTGACCATATTACTCCAGCCTGGGCAACAGAGCAAGACCCTGTATCAAAAAAAAAACAAAACAAAACTGAGGTGCTCTTACCAGTAGAGGAGGATATTCATGTTGCCAGGCAAAAGCACCAGATCTCAGAATCATACAAGCCACCACCACATCTGCCCTTTTCACTATGCATGTGGGCATATGCCCCAGAGAAGGGATGTGTCTGGTCCATGGTCATACAGTGGTAAAGCTAGTACTTTGGTTAGGATTCCGTTTGGCTACATGTAGTAGAAAACCCAAAATAATAGTGGTACAACCGAGAGAGATTTATTACTTTCTCTTATAAAATAACTCTAAAGGTGAGCAATCTATCCTGTCCCTGTACTGCCTACCATGACAGTTCACCAATCACCTGTCTTTCTGCTCTAGCATCATGTATGTGCTTTCCATCCTCAATGCGTCTCATGGTCCAATGTGGCTGCTGGAGCTCTAGCTTGGACCACCCACCACATCTGCATTTCAGACAGCAGGCAAGGCAAGGCAAAGAAGCTTTCCCAGCTGTGTTAGTTCCATCTGTGGCCACATTTCGTTGGCCTGGATTTAGTCTGGTCACTCTGAGCTGCAAGACAGGTTGGGAACTTTAATCTTTTAGTTTGGTGAATTTCTACACAAAATAAAATCCAGTTTTTGTCCTTAAGAATAAGGGGGAAATGAAAACCATGGAAGCTAACAGTGATCTCTTTTTAAAATATACTCTAAGATAAAAAGAAGTTGGGGCTATTTTCAGATGAATCGGGCATTTGTTTTCCTACCAGCCTCTCATCTTTTGATATTTATTTCTCATCCACAGAGAAGAAAAAAAGTCTTGGTTCCAAACCAGGATATATGAGTGGGATCCCTGCTTTCAATTCCCAAGCAGAATGATTGGAACCATTGTATTGGCTTTCATCTGCCTGTACCTTGTAAGTAGCTCTAAGAAAAGCTTTTTATATTTTATGAATGGGGCAGGGTTGGGGCTAGGATTATGGAGTATTTGAGGCAAGCAGCATGTTCCTAAAGAGTTGGGTCAAAATTGAATCTTGGTAAATCAAAGAAGTACAACACTTCAATCCCACTATTTTGATTCCAAGGACACTTTTACCCACAGGGTGAATATGACCAGTAAAAATAATCCACAAAAAATAAAATTCATGATGGTTAAAGTGCCACATGGTAAAATTTGGTATCAACTAAAACCTGGTGAAAAAAATATATATTTAAGAACGTTTTGATATGCAAAATTTGACCCAGGAAAGTGTGCTTGGTAGAACTAATGATCCCTAAAGAAAACTCTGAATAGTAGAATCTGTGATTAATAAATTCTTCTGTGAGCAAAAATCAAATCACTTAAATGTAAAATAATTGATTCTGAGAAAAATAATTTCAGTTATTTTTCAATAATCAAATTTAAAATTATTGAATTTATTATAAATTAATAATTGAATTTATTTTCATTGAACTAAAAATAAAAGCAGATAACTAGAGTTGGTTTACCATACTGTATTTTTAAGCAGATTAAACATTCTTTTTTAAGTTTGCTTTCTCAACAAGAAATTTTAAGTACTGGCATAATTCTGACTTCAATGTTTTATTAAGCATAGAATCAAAACATTTTGTGTGGTCAAAGTTATCTGAGATAAAATGGCTGAGTTAAAAGTAGGGTCAAAATGGATGCATGAAAATGGCAAGGCTAAATTGTCTTCTGTTCCTTTTAAATGTACCAGAAAAATACCTGTTTAAGTAAATCCTGTGATTACGTTTTTAGGTGAGTGTATTTGTTAGGTTATGTGAAGTACCAGATAACCTCCTAAATTCCTGTAGCTTAACAGTATATATTTTTTATCTACACAACAGTGATTAGTTAGGTGTTTAGGTAGGGGAAGATGTACTCATTCAAGAACCCAGAATTCTTCCATCATGTGCCTTCACCATCCTGGAGAACCTCATCACCATCTGCACATAGTCAAGAAGGGGGCAAAGCAAGGAGAGATGTATGTGAAGGGTTTCCGTGGACTAGGTGTGGAAGTATCACATATTCCTTCCACTCTTCTTCCATTGGCAAGAACCTAGTCATGTGGCCATACCCAATATAAGGGAGACTGGGCAATGTAGTCTATCTCCATGCCCAAAGAAGGGAGAATGGATTTTAAGGGACAACAATAACTTTCAAGTTCTCTGCAACAATGAATAACACATTTAGAATGACATTGTTTCTTAAGTATTTATGGAATATCTACTCTGTGCCAGCACTATGCTAAGAGTTGGAAGAGGGCAAAGAGCTGATTCACCTCAGTCCTGGGCTAGGAGAACCTCATGGTCTATGAGAAGGAGATAAGACATGGTATGAGGTATCTGCTATCTTAAGAGAGAAAAAGGATGAGGTGAAATGCTCTAGAAGTTTAGCAAATCATTCAATATCTAGCAACTACTTGAACATGATAGTGTATGAGCTCCACTTTCAGAGATAAACACAATTGGGTTGTTGGAGTGAAATGACAGCAGGAACTATAGAAGCAGTGGCATAACAACAGGATGTTAAGATGTTGGGCAACCATGACATTTGTACAAGAAACAGTACTTTCTCCAATGTGCCAAGATCAGTGAAGGGAATCAGTGGGACATAGGGCTGGAATTGTCCCCCAGATCACCCCTTATTCAAAGTTAGTCATTCTTTTTTACTGGTTCTATGAATGTTTGTAGAGTTTCTTGAGCCCTTGTGGGCCCTTGTCTTGTTTGCTAGAGAGTAAAGAATAGATCATTAAGTGATTTCTATCTCCTAAGAACTCAAAATCCCATTCATTTTAGAATAGCCAGGGTCTAGAATCATTTTCAGAACAGTTTTGAATCCCTGGAAGACCCTGGCCTCAACCTCAAAGAAAAATCCACTTGTTATTCCCATGATGAGATGGACTTAAGTAAGACCTGCAAACTTTGCTCTCTGTCCCCAGTTCATTGTCATCGAGTTCTGCATGTTTGTGTACGTGAGAGATGAGCTGGACATGTTTGAAAACAAGCTGGAGAGCTACATCACCTCCGTGAACCATTCAGGGATCCTGACCCCAGGTATCCTGCAGGTGAAAGAGCTGATCAGCGTTACCAAAGGTAAAATCATAAGCCACCTGTTTCCACACCTGTGTCAGAAACTGAGTGAGGGGTTTGTAACTGATGGCAGGTGCACATGTATAGTATTTGTGGCTGCTAGTATTGGTATACCTGGCTGAGATGACCACACTTGGAGAAAATGTGTTAGAGCTGATTTATCTCCCTGGGTTGACTAGAAAGACAAAGGGGTCAAGACACAGCCGTTTCTTTAATGAAACTAGAGCTGAAATGAACATGCCCTAAAAATTTTCGTATCTTAAATTGCCCATTTTGCCTCAATGCCAGTGGAAAATACTAAAATGATTCTATATTTTCTATTTTGAAAAAATGAAACACCAAGCCTTGATCTTTCTTTATGAAATGTTCATTTATGTCTTTCAAATTTTACTTGAAGTTCACTTAAAAATAGATCTCTTTAACTTAGTCTCTTGTCTAACTGAAATTTTGTATCCTTTGACCCATATCTTCCCAGTTAGACCCCTCACACTCCTGCTTGACCCTGGTAAACACCATTCTACTCTGCTTTCGTGAGTTCACCCCTTTTAGATTCCACATATAAGTGAGATCATGCAGTATTTGTCTTTCTGTGCCTAACTTATTTCACTTAATGTAATGTTCTCCAGGTTCATCCATGTTGTCACATATGGCAAGATTCCTTTTTAAAGGCTCAGTAGTATTCCATTGTATACAATGTATGACATATTTTCTCTATTCATTCATCTGTTGTTGGACACTTAGGTTGATTCCATATGTTGGCTATGGTGAACAGTGCTGCACTGAAAATAGGAGTGCAGATATCTCTTCAATATACTGATTTCATTTCCTTTAGATATGTACCGAGTAGTAAGATTGGTGGATCATATGGTAATTGCTTTTTTACTTTTTTGAGGAAAGATTGTACTAATTTACATTCACACTAACAGTATACTAGAATTCCTTTTTCTCCACATCCTTGCCAATACTTATCTCTTGTCCTCTTTATAATAACCATTCTCACAAGTGTAAGGTGATATTTCATTGTGGTTTTGATTTGTATTTCCCTGATAATTAGCGATGATGAACTTTTTTTTATATGCTGGTTGGCCATTGGTATGTCTTCTTTTGAGAAATGTCTATTCAGGTCCTTTTCCCTAGACAATAAGAAAGGAACTTTGTCTTAAAATGGAAATGACATGTTCCAGTGTTGTATCTATGGATATACAAGTTTTTGGTATATAATTTTATATATTTTCGGTATATATCTAGGAGTGGAATAGCTGATTAAACATATGACAACTCTATCTTTAATCTTTTGTTGAACTACTAGACTGTTTTCAAAAGTAGCTGCATCACTATTTATTCTAACCAGCATTGTGGGAATTCCAATTTCTCTGCATCGTCATCAGCACTTATTACTCTCCATCTTTTTATTTATAGCCATCTAGTGGAGATGCAGTGGAATCTCACTGTTGCTTTTATTTTCATTTCTTTAGTGGCAATAATGTTTAGTATCTTTACATGTACTTTTACATGTACTGGCTATTTGTATATATTATTTTGAGAAATGTCTATTCAGATTATTTGATCATTTAAAAATTATATTATTTGTCTGTTTATCTATTGAGCTATAAGTGTGCTTACATGGTTCGTATACAAATCCCTTATGAAATACATGATTTGAAAATATTTTCTCTACTTTTCAGGTTGCTTTTTCACTTTTTTTTGATGGTGTCGTTTGAAACACAAATGGTTCCAATTTTGATGAAGCCAGAAATATCTGTTTTTTCTTAAATCACTTGTACTTTTGGTGTCTTATCTAAGAATCCATTGCCTAACCCTATGTCACAAGGATTTTTCTCATATTTTCTTCTAAGACTTTTTAAGTTTTAGCTCTTATATTTAGACCCTTGATCCATTTTGAGCTCATTTTTATGCATGGTGTGAGGTAGGAATCCAACTTCATTGTTTTGCATGTGAATATCAAGTTGTTCCAGCACCATTTTTCAAAAAACACATTTTTGCTCCATTGAATTGTCTGTGTTGATAATAAATTGACCATAAGTATGAGGGTTTAATTTGGAGTCTCAATTTTATTCCATTGATCTATTTGTGTGTCCTTATGTCTGTATCACAGTGCCTTCATTGCTGTAGCTTTGTAGTAAGTTTGAAATTAGGAACAGTAAGTCCTGTAATTTTCTTTCTCTTTTTCAGGATTTTATTGCCTATTCTAGGTCCCTTCGTTTTTATATGAATATTAGCATTAGCTTGTCAATTAATACTAAGATGGAACTGGAATTCTGATAGGAATTGAGTTGAATCTATAGATCCATTTGGGTAGTATTGCTGTGTTAACAATGAATATCCTATATGTGAACATGGGAAGTCTTTCCTGTAATTTAGGTCTTTAATTTTTTTCAAAATCTTTTGTGATTTTCAGTGTACAAGTAGTACATTCCTTTGCTAAATTTATTATTTTGATACTATTGTAAATGTAATCATTTTCTTATTTCATTTTCAGATAGCTTGTTTATAGAAATACAATTGACTTTTATATATTTCTCTTATGTCCTGTAAACCTTTCTGTACTCATTTGTTAGTTCTAATAGTTTTGTGTGTATTTCCTGGTTTTTCTATATATGAGATCATAGAGAGTTTTATTTTTTCCTTTCCAATCTGGATGCATTTTATTTCTTTTTCTTGCCTAATTGCATTGGCCCAAACCTCTAGTACAATGTTGACTAGAATTGATGAGAGTAGATAAGGTGTTTTGAGGTTAGGGGGAAAGCATTCAGTCTTTTACCATTAAGTATGATGTTAGCTGTGGGTTTTTAGCAGATGCTCTTTATCAGGCTAAGGAAGTTATTTTGTATTCCTAATATGTTGAGTAGTGTTGTTTTGTTTTCTTTTTAATTGACACATAAACACTGTACATACTTATTAGATACAATGTGATGTTTAGATACATATATACATTGACTGATGATTAAAGTAGTAGACCCATCTGCTTAAACATTTATCATTTATTTGTGGTAAGAACATTCAAAATCCTGTCTTCTAGCTATTTTGAAATATACAACACATTATTGTTAACTATAGCTACTGTACTGTGCAACAGAACACCAGATGTTGGATGTTTTTAATTGTAAAGAGATTCTGGATTTTGTCAAATGCTTTTTCTGCACCTATTGATAATCAACTTCTACAGAAGTTTTTAAACCAACAAATTGTCTTCCTTCCCTGTTTCTACATCCCTCTCTCATGAACTCACACAATCTCTGTAAAAGTACATTAGATTCTCAATATCAAAACTTGCTGAAGGGTGAATGAGTAAATAGTCAAGACATCTTGATCCCAGTTACCTTTGTACCCAGTTGAGGTATAACCAACACTCCTCCCAAAAAGTGGCAATTAGAGGTCAAATATGTTTTTTATGGATAGAGGCTATGTATGATGTATGGAAAATACTCCATAACTTCTTTTCCTTTATTCACTTTAGAGTGAAAATGTTAGCACAAAATGAGAAGATTATGCAGGATATATACTAAGGGCATATGCAGCTAAAATAAAACAGAAAATGAGCAAAAGTTTACTTACACAAGAAATGTGTTAAAGTCTACTTCATTTGCTTAGTACTTTGTGGTGCAGTATTCTGCATTTTGAAAATTCTGTTTCATGTTAATTTGGGGGGCTTCTCATATCACTTTTCATATTTCAGGAGTCTGGGTGGCGACCATTTTACCTGCCTCACTCACGTGTGTGAGCTATCTGTTCCACATTTTGGTCTGTTACAGGTAAGATCACTTTCAGAATCATCTGTGCACCTTTGACCAGGAATATGTTTGACATTATAGAAAAATAAAAAAATATATAAATAAAAATAGGCCAGGTACAGTGGCCCACACCTGTAATTCTAGCACATTGGGAGGCCTAGGCAGGAGGATGGCTTGAGTCTAGGAATTTGAGACCAGCCTGGGCAATATAGTGAGACCCTGTTTCTACAAAAATAAAATAATTAGCTAGGCATGGTGGCATGCGCCTATAGTCCCAACTACTTGGGATGCTGAAGTGGGAGGATTGCCTGAACCCAGGAGGCAGAGGTTGCAGTGAGCTGAGATGGGAAGGAAAGAGAGAGAGAGAGAGAGAGAGAGAGAGAGAGAGAGAGAAAGGGAAGGGAGAAGGAAGGGAAGGGAAGGGAAGAAGAAAGGAGGGAGAGAGGGAGGGAGGGAAAGAAAGAAAGAGAGAGGGAGGGGCAGGAAGGAAGGGAAAGAGAAAGAAAGAAAGTCTCTGGGGTCAGAAAAACTTGATCATCTGCTAATTGCTTGGTCAAGTTATTTAATTTTGTTGATTTTCAGCTTTCTCAACTGTAGAAATAGGAAAGAAAGAAAGAAGGAAGGAAGGAAAGGAGGAAAAGAAAAGGAAAGAAAGAAAAAGAAAGGAAAAAAGGAAGGCAGGTAGGCCACACATAATCTCATCTATCAGATTCAGTCACTATTATGACTCAATAAATACATATTATTTTTACAAGATGTAATCTAGACTGAAGTTCGAGACTTTTAAGGCAACTTGGAGATCCTTGGTGAGCTGCAGTCGGCACAGGGAGGCTAGGCTGCCCACCATCAGCCCCGCAGGCCTTCCTGTGCTATCTTTGGGACTCTAATTACTCACAAAGAACTGTCAGTTATAGGCACTACTTGATGTCCCATGTCTTTTCCAGAAAGCACATAAAGAGGCTCTGGGCAGGAGATAAACACTTTCTGCCTTTGAGGTTCCATAACCCGGCCTCGTCGGAGAGCGTGGTGAGTCTGCCGAGGTCTCTCTCTGATCTATACTAAGCCCTATGCCAAAACCTGAGGGTGAGCACAACACCCGCCTCACTGGGTTTATGGGTGAACTTCCAATGAGAAAGGGATACTGGGCACATGTGGCAGAGGTAATAAAGTTTTCCTCCTGCTCTGAGACCGCTTTTTCCTTTTAAACCTCAGGTGGCCATTGCAAGGTACTCTGGCTGGCAAATAGCCTATATTCTATGGGGTAAGTGCCATTAGGTGACCCGTTCAATTCATCACATCCCCTCATCACCTGGGGAGTCCTGGCTGTGAGTAGAGAGGAGAGAGGTGGTCAGAAGCAGCCCTAGCCTCTTCCCTTGAGGGACTTTCAGGACAGAAGGAGAAACATAGTCTCGAGGTCCTCCTCACCACCATCCTGAACCCAGGGAGTATGTATGCTAAGGGTGGTGGTGACCCAGAGGAGACTGTGACTGTTCAGCTCCAGGGCAGGTTTTAGATGCCTTCTAGGGGAGTTAACACTCAAACTGCACGTGACAGGTGGAGTAGGAAGTGAACGGGAAGGAAGGTGAGGCCTTACCAGGCAGAAGAAACAGAAACAGATAAGCAAGCGTGCCAGGGTGTCTGGCGGGAGGAGGCTAGAGGGTGGCCTGCAGGGAGGGGTATGGTGGTGGCTCACAAAGGACCTTGAGTTACCAGCAGCTCCCCTTCACTCCCAGGCTACCTCATCATTCACGTGGTGCAGAGCCTATGTGGCATGGCAATCATGTACGGTCTGGTGCTGCCCATCGTCCACAAACAGGGCCTAGAGATGCTGCGAGGGCTGGGCATCGGGATGTAAGTACTGGGCGGGTGTCCTGTCATTGCCATGTTCTGAGAGCTGGGGTGCAGTTCGAGCTGCTATGTGGACACATGTTCTTCGCCCTGACCTAAAGATGGGCTGTCATAGCAACTCACGGGGAGGGGAAACAGCGTTCACAAAAGGCCATGTCTCACCATTCTATTATGCCCTCACAACCATGTGTATGTGTGGGATACATGTATGTCCATTTTCCAGCTGGGAAAATTGAGGTTTAGGAAGGTAAAATGGGAGGCAAGGCAGTATGATGGAAGGAGGCAGGTTATCCTGGCAAAGCTTTTGGATCTGCTGTGTGACCTGGGGTAAGTTACTCCACTTCTCTGGGCCTCAGTTTACACATTTGGAAGACAAAGTGAATGTTGGCTTCATTGAGCATTTAGTATGCCCCTTTTCTCATAACAGCCTATGAATTTGGTACTTATGTTACCTTCCATTTTGCAGACCAGGGAACAGAGGCACAGAGAGACTAAGCATTTCCCCCAAGCAGGGGCAAGACTCAGGATTGGGAGCTGGGCAATCTGACACCAATGCCTCCTTTTAGCCACTATCTCTCATTGCCACTCAGGGCATGTCAACACGGCTCGCAGTGCTCTCTGGGGACCCTCCCTGTTCTAAGCTTCTTGATTCCATACTTGCCTCAAGCCACCTGTGAGTTGGGAACAGAGCCTGTCCTCTCCACTGTCTTGTGGTCTTCTCAGGAACTTCCGAAAACCCCATTCCATTCTTTAGTTCCCAACCTGTTAAACCACTCACCCAGTTGCCACCCCTGGAGAAAGGGACATCAGTGAAATCTTGGAGTAATGGTCTGTGATCTGGAGCCACAAGACCTGATGTGTGGTCTTGGGAAGGTCACCTCCCCTTTGTGAGCCTCGTTTATCTCCTCTGCACAGTGAGCATGGGAATCCTTTGTAAGCAAAAAGCATGGGGCTCACATTACCATTGTTCTGCTGGGTGATCAGCCTCTCTCCTCTCTCTCACTGGGCATTAGAGAAGGGCCTGGCAGAGGGGAAAAGGCCACTTCAAGATGGCCCCACCCTGTGTTTCAGCCTCACCATATCCATTGTTGTGGGTCTCATGATCCTGCAGATGTGGATCGCCGCCAGCTTCTTCCTACAGCCAAAGCTGGGCACAGCTGACAAGCAGAAGCCCCTGGCTCTCAACAACAGGTGATGGTGAAGGAGAGAATGAGGGAATTGTGGGCCTTTGCCTTTGGCTGTCTCTAAGTCCCTTCCTGTCCCCCATGGCAGGTTCCTGGGCAGGCCCCACACTCTCTTCGAGGGCCAGGTACAGTAGGTCAGTGGTTGGCTCTGGAGCTAGACTGCTGGGGTCCAGAACCTGGCTCTACCCCTTAGGAGCCATGTGACATGTGGGAGCTTACTATGAACCTCAGTTTCCCCATTGACAAATAATTGTGTAGATCTCAAAGAGGCCTTGTGAGGATGAAATGTGTTAAAATACGAACTTAGAACAATAGTGCTCGGCACGTGGAAATCCTTTCTAATTCGTTCATTCAAAGCCATCCATTCATTGGGGGAACAACATGAGCATGAGGGTATAGATAATCCCAACACAATCTGCCTGTGAGAAGCTCGGTCCACTGGAACAGACAACAGGCACATAAACAACAAGGATAAGAGAATGCCAGGGAGTGCAAAAGGAATACAAGAGAAACCGGAGGAGGAGAGGCAGGGGTGGTTAACGTCACTGCAGATGGGACTCTGGAGATGAGGTCAGCAGGACGGTAGGATTTCTACAGGCAGAGAAGAGGAGAGCGTATGGCCAGCAGCCAACACCACAAGGACAAAGGCAGGAAACCACAAAAGGGCAGGATGTATTAGGAGAAGAGTGAGAATCCTAAATGGTTGCCATGCAATGGCCTTAATGAGTGACAGGAAGGGGACACAAAGAAACAAGACCAGAAAACCCCTGGGGGCAGTGAGGGGGCTGAAACTCAGGATGTAAAGTTTGAGCTTTATTCCAGAGGCAACAGGAAACCACATGATCAGGTGGTCATTTGGGAAATTTCCTTTGGAAGACGTTGGAACAGCTGCAGCTGGGAATAGGTCCCTGGTGCAACAGACATGGAGAAGCCCCACTTCTGCCATAATCACTGACCCAGCTGCAGCCCCGTGCAATTTCTTATCATGTAGAAAGCCTCAGACCCCAAGGATTGCATGAAACAATGGCTGTCCCCACTGACATTCGTTCTTCACTGAGCTTAGTGGCCCCCACACTACCAGAGCCATTCCTTACACCAGTGCTGTGAGGTGAGGGCAGTCAGCTCCCGTTGATGGCACGAGGTCACAAAGCTTTGAGCCTGGACCTGCAGGATCTGACCCTGGGTCTGGGGGACTCCAGAGTCCCTCAGCCCAGCAACCTTGCTCTGTTGAAAGGTGGTGCCTTAGGCCAGCTTCTGTTTTTAGGAAAGCATTCCACAACTTCAACTACTTCCTGTTCTTCTACAATGTGCTGCTGGGCCTGGGGGCCTGCCTCTCCAGGCTGTTCATCAGTTGCCTCCTGGGCACGTGGCTGATTGCCCGCATTGACAGGACCATCATGCAGAGTGGCTATGAGGGAGCAGACATGGGTAAGTGATCAGCACCCACCGGGCCACATCCTCTGGAGAGGGCTGGTCTTTCACCTTTGTGGCAATTGCCTGGGAAGACAAGTATCAGAAGCCCAGAGTTCATGCCTTTTATTTATGCTCAGAGTTTATTTTCCAGCAGAGGCTTTAAGGCTGAGTGATAAAGACACATGCAGCCTGCTGGTCAAAAGGGAGTTCAAGGCTATTAAATTCCTGTCCATTTGGCAGACCTTTGAGGTATAAAGGAAGAGGAGTCACATTCTGTCTGAACACTTAGAAACTAATTTATGAACGCACAGCTCTGAAAATTTTTAGAAAGAACATATCTCAGAATTATTAGTGTTGTAGTTGGAAACAGTGCAGAAGATGTTCTGTTCGGTTGAAATGCTCCAAATTCAAAGCCATTTCTGAGGAAGCAAAAGTAGTTTTTGTTCTATTCTGATCCCACAGTCATTCATTCACTCATCTATTTAATAAATGTACTGATGCATGCTTGGAATTAGCCTCAGCAGCTCCTAAACCTTTGAGCTTTGAGCTCCCCATAAAATGGGCAGATTAGAATATGATCTATAAGAGTACTGCAGATCTTTATACCTCATTTTCTAGATTCTCAGAAAAAACTCAGACACCATTGGAGAGCAAACTGGCTGTGCAGTTATATCATGAACAGCACAAATCGGCCATGTCAGGAGGTACTGCCTGGCCTGACCTGTCTCTGGATTTCAGGGTTCAGTGCATGGATCGGCATGCTCTACGTGGACCATTATCACACCAACCCTGTGCTCGTCAGCTTTTGCCACATTCTGATCACAGATCACAGGGAGAGGAAGCTACAGCAGACCACCAAATACTGGTGCCTAAATCAATTGGCAGGTAACAGCTCCTGTTTGGACCTACGCTGGATTCAGACAACAGGAAATAAATACCCTCAGACTCCCTGGGATCCCTGAGGTACCCCACAGTCTACTCTTCCTGCTCCTTTTCTCCATATTCCAGGCCCTGGATCTCTTTGAACTAGGAATCCCAGGAGGCTTAGCTCCCAGTCATCCTGACTATGGGACCCACTCAGGCCTTGTGTCCTTGTCCTGTTAACTGGCCTCCTGCCTTGTTCCTTTAAGTGAACTCTAGTTCTGCTAGTGGAGTGCCCCATTTGTTTGAGTCTCCAACCCATATCCCAGGCTACATGGCAGATGCCCTCCAAGATGAAGCTACATTTTGATGATTCTGTCCTGTTGCTTACCACAAGATCTCTGAGGCTCTCTGCCCCTCTAGGGCTCAGACTCTCTAGGGCTCAGATTAATAATGTTCATTGCTATTTCCAACACTGTAGATACTCAATTCTGAGGGACAATTTACATCCCTCCAACCTCCCTCATGTCCCCAGGAGTCCCAGTCTAGCTCCTTCTACCACATCTTACACATTCCAGGCAGCTCTTTCAAATGCTTTGGAGAAAGAGTTCCCCTCCCTGAGACCCCTCCTTTCTTCAGTCTGTCTGCTCTGATTCTATCCTAGGTCCCCGTGTCTCAGCTAGGTCCAGAACAAGGTGGCTCCTATTGCAGACCCTAATCAACAACCCAAGACTCGTCATGCTCAGAAAATCAAAATTAGGGCACAGTTCCCAGGAGTCCCAAATTCTGATGACATGCTCGGAGAGCTGATGCTGGCCCCCATCATCTGCTCCAAGGCCAGGCTAGGACATCTGCCACCAAGAGACGGCTCAGTCTAACCAGCAGCTGTCTCCTGCAACGAAATGAGATGGCACAGGCACCATCCATGCAGATGGTAGACAACATTGGCTACTCACGGGATGGCCACCTGGGCTGAGGGATGAAGCCTCAGGACTATTTCACTCCCTTGGCAAAAAAGATTAAAAAACTAAAGAAAAGTCTGTTGAACAAACTTTGCCCATTAATGATTTCCACTATCCATTGTGGGTGGGCAGCCTTGGAGAGTTACCTGGTAAAAAGCACTTAGTTTACCTACAGGGCAGAATTTTATGTCACTGGAGAAGGTAGTAAAATATGTATATCAGGATAGTTTAACCATCAGTTCCCATTTTTCTCTGGAACAGAATGTGGATTTCAATCTGACAGCATCCCCATTGCCTCCGTCTTGCCAGGCTTTATCACAGATGGGAAAGAAGGAACTCCATGATCCTGGCCCCCAATTTTGTTGGACCTTTGCAGGCACACACCAGGCTTTCTCTCACATCACCAATGGTATGGGAGGGGAATGGATCAGAGCTAACCTGGGCCTTAGTCATATAGCAGATGCACAGATTGTCTCTGAGAAGGGTAAGATTACTTGGAAAAGCCACCCGTCTGAAGATACAAAGACAGGCTGGGCAGGTATTCTACTGGGGGATCACAAGAGTAAAGTTGTATGAGCTAGAAAGCCCCAAGCATGTTTGAGGAGGGTGAGCCATGTGACACGTCAGGTTACAGAGCTCTAGGGGCTGGCCAAGACCATCCCAAGAAGGGCCAAATGTCATGCCAGGAGGCTTGGACGTTTGTCCTGTGCAGAGCCCAGCACTTAACCACACTTCATGTTGAAGCACAAAAACCTGGCCCAGGACCTGTCCAAAATCTGTCCATTCAAAATTCCTTCTGAAGCTTCTGCAGTTATTATGAGGATCCCACCAACAGGGCAAAGGGGAATCCCCATTCCCCTCATGAGTCCCAGATCCATTGTAATTCAGTTGCCATTGTTAAGCACCTAATATAAACCTAGTCCTGTTGCTAGGTATTTGCCAGAGTTGTCTCTTTTAGTTTAATCTCTGTAACTAAGCTTTATCATCCTGCTTTTTAGAAACTGAGAAAAGAAAGACTCAAAGTGTTGGGATTCCCAGGCCATCACTTTGTAGGTATGTAACAGTAGCCCAATTATTTTGCCTTTCTCTATTCACTTTTCTTATCTATAAAAAGAGAGTAATATCCCCTAATAACCTAAAATTGTTTTGAGGAAAAAAATGAATAAATACTCTTAACATAGTGCCTCACACATCCTAAACCCTCAATAGATATTAGCTATTGTTAATTGTCATATAACATTTTGTGATGATCTGATTAATATCCACTCACCCCCTCACTAAGATATCAGCTCCATGAAGAAAGAGGCCTTCTCAGGTTTTGCTCGCTATCACCAAGCACACACTTATAACATAATAAGATCTTGGAATGAATAAAATAATGAGATCAAGATGAACAAATCTTTTTTGACTATGAATTCACTTACCAAAATCAATCCTGGCATCATGGTTTGAATGAATAGTGAGTGAATACCAATGGGGAGCCTTGTAGTGAATTGAGGAGGCTAATATGTAACAGCTGTCTGTGATCCAACCCACTACATTTAATAACATGGGCTTGTACAAAGTTCTGTGGAGACTTGGAAAAAAAAACTACTAATTCTGCCTGAGTAAAGTTAGTGAAGACTTCCCAGAGGGAACAGCATGGGAACTGGAATATATCAGGTATGACATAGGGCATTTCTTATTTGTTTTGGGGAAAAGGCAAGGCACACTTTCCAGTTTTGAAGTTTCCTGGGAGTTTGGAGATCATGCTAGAGGAAGACACTCAACATGAAGAAACTTTATTTTGGGACTACTAGGCCTCACTGATTTCTAGGAATCAGATGAGGTAGACATAGAATGTATTAAGAGAAGCATAATATTTAAAAGAATGCAGTGTCAATCTTAGGTAGTAGAGCTTCAGGAATACCTGCTATACTGCATTCTATTCCCATGCCACTCTCAGGCAGGCTCAGACAGGACACCAAGGGGTGTCTGAAGACACTGGATAGCCTTCCAGGTCACAGGCATGAACACAATCTGAGGGACTTGTGGGACATATCAAAAGAACCAACATACACATTATAAGAGTTCCAGTAAAGGAAGAAAGAGAAAACTGAGAAGAAATATATTTGAAAAAATTGATGGCTGAAAACTTTCCAAATCAGACGAAAGACATGAATCTACACATCCAAGAAGCTTAATGAAGGTGGATAAACTCAGTGAGATATACACTGAAACACATTATAGATAAGTTGTTGAAAATTAAGATGCAAAAGAGAAAAGACTCATCACAAGTGATCCTCAATAAATCAACAGTGCATATCTTGTCAAAAACCATGAAGGGCAGAAGGCAGTGTGATGATATATTTTAACTGATGAAAGAAAAACTGTCAATCAAAAATTCTATATCTGGAAAATCTTTTCCTTTGGGAGAAGAAGAAACAGATATTTCCAAATAAACAAAAGTCAAGGTAGTTTTTCACTAATAGACCTGCCATAAAAATTCTTTTAAGTGAGTTCTTCATGCAGAAGTAAAAGTATATAGTACCTCAAAGCCATGTGAAGAAATAAAGATCGCTGATAAAGGCAACTTCATCAATAAATTGAAAACCCAGTATTATTGTAAATTTAGAGTACCTTTATTTCCTCTGTGATTAAAAAAGCAAAAGCATAAATCACTTATGATAAATCTATGTTATTGGGCCCACAACGTATAAAGACGCAATCTATAACAGTAACTATATAAAGGGGAAGGGATGAAGATGTATGGGAGCAGAGTTTGTTTATAACTGAAACTAAGTTGGTGTCAGTCAAACTAGGTTGTCATAAGTTTAAGATGTTAATTTTAATACCAAAGGCAATGACTAGGAAAATAACTAAAAACATGCAGAAATGGGAAATAAAGATAATCAAAACAGTACACTACAAAAAATCAACTAAACACCAAAATGCTAAAATAAATGAAGAATAACATATGAGACATACAAAAAACAAATAGATAAATAACAGAAGTGTATCCTTCCTTCTCAGTAATTACTTTAAATTTAAATATATTAGAATCCTCCAGTTATAAGGCAGGGGTTGGCAGAGAAGATAAATAACATGATCCATCTGTATGCTGTCTACCAGACTTATTCTAGATCTATAGACAAAAAAGAGCCAGAGTGACTATATATTATCAGAACAAAAAGATTTTAAGAAAAAATGGGTTAAGGAGCTAAAGAAGAGCATTATATATTGGTAAAGGGTTTAACCCACTGGGAATATATAATAATTATAAACATGCATATGTATTAGACTCCAAAACATATGAAGCAAAATTGACAAAATTGAAGGGAGAAATAGACAGTTTTACAATAATAGAGACTTCAGTACTTCATTTTATTTTATTTTATTTTATTTTTGAGACTGGATCGGACTTCATTGCCCAGGCTGGAGTACAGTGGCGTGATCTCAGCTCACTGCAACTTCCATCTCCTGGGCTCAAGCAATCTTCCTACCTCAGCCTCTTGAGTAGCTGGGACTACAGGCATATGCCACTGTGCCTGGCTAATTTTTTTTTTTTTTTTTTTTGTATATTTGTAAAGACAAAGTTTCACCATGTTTCCAGACTGGTCTCAAACTCCTGGTCTCAAGTGATTGACCCACCTTGACCTCCCAAAGTGCTATGATTACAGGCATGAGTCACTGTGACCAGCCAATACCTTATTTTCAATGGCTATAACATAACAACCAGACAGAAGATCCATAAGGAAATGGAGGACTTGAACACCACCATAAATCAATTAGTTCTACCAATACATACAAAACACTCTATACAATAACAAAAGAACATGTATTTTTCTCAAGTTTATATGGAACCTTTTCCAGGTTAAACCATATGTTAGGCCCTGAAAAAGTCTAAGTAAATTTTAAGACTGAAATAATACAGTCATCAAGAAGTACAAGAGAACTGCTCTGAAACAAAGCTCATTGGTTGCAGGATTGGTGTTAGTTCACTGGGAGAAGACAGCTGTTGCTAGACAAATGTCCTGGCCCAAGTGTCTTACCTGAAATACTGCAGGTCAGAGAAAAATTCTGTGATAAGTTCTATTCTGGTATTCTGTTAACAAGGTATAAAGGAGATATGCAGGCGTTTCAGAATGCAAGCATGAGGGTTTCTTCTTTATGGCTCCACCCCGACACCATTTTGGTTAGGGTTTTGACATAAGTAACTCCACTTTGTATTGTTTACTTCCCATGAGGCCACAGGTACATGCTGGGAGAGAGAAGGCACTGTAACAAGAGTAGGAACCACAGGCATTTGGACCACTTCTTCTTGTGACTGACTTGAGTCTTCAGGTTCTGTTCAGGCTCAATCACTATATTGTAATGCCTCCAAAATCCAAATAGCCCCACCAGGCATTGTGCCTCTTTCTGGTTGTAGGAGGAGCTAGATGCAGCATCTTCCCCTTCACTTTAGAAGGGATAGGTTGACATGCCCCACACCACCCAAACCCTAAAAATTTTGCTGAGGTAGAAGTCTTATGAATTATAAATTTATTTCCCTTTCTGACACACAAATGTCTCACCAATAAGTCTAGGGTAGTTGCTAATTCTCATTCATTAGATCCAATCAGTCTAATGTCATTAATGTAATAGACTAGTGTGATATCTTATGGAAAGAAAGGGTGATCAAGATATCACAAAGATATTTTGGTACTTCCGGAATCAATGTCAGTTCAGAACCAGTGTCCAGTAGTTCATGAAAAGTCTGATTATTTCCTTTTCCTCAATGCACAGTTACCTTGGTAAAGAGCTGTCTGTCCCTTGTGGAAGGCTGAGAGAGAGATTAACAGTACTGTCTAAATTTTCATTGTGTCCTTCCTTGAGGGGGCCCAACTTCCCCTTCATTCAAAGAGTGTATAAACAGACTCAAAACTGAGAATTGATTGAGGAGCCATGATTATTTGTTTTTAGCTTCAAATTAGACTTTTGGTGACTTGACCTGGAATTTTTCTGCTTATATGGATCATATAAAAATTTAGTAGACTTACTATCTATTTCAGTTCTAAGAACATTGTAATTAACTAGTATAACAAAATGCTTTGGTCAAGCAAAAGAACCCAGAAAGGTAGTGATATCATTCGATCTGAATCTGAAGACCTGAAAACCTGGGAAGCCGCTGGTGTGAATGAGTAGCCAACATAGGTCTGGGTGCAAGTCAGATAATTCTGATTGTTTCTTTGACCCAGCTATTTATTATGTGGTAATATAATATGGGCTGTTGGGCCTCCACTTGACCCCTGCCAGTTCAAAATTCAATTACTCCCATTTCATTTAGGTTTTCCAATTGAGTGACTGCTATTTCCACTGTAAGGTCTGGCCTATAGAGAAGAGAGATTGCAGAGCTCTTTAAGGATACTGGAACTCCTCTTACAAATTTATTTCTCAAAGTATTGGAGAAAAGCATGTCTTCTAGACCTTTCAGTGTGGGTGATTAGGTTTTAAATGACAAATTCAATTTAACATTCTACTATCCCTGAGCCTTTAAGTCCCTTCTTCTACTTTAAACCAAGAAAGAGCATTCATTTCCAATTTGCTCGTCTTTTGATCCGTGACTCAGCAAACTAACCAAACAAATTGTTAGAGCTCTTTCTAACTCCTCAAGCTGAAAATCTCTGCTTAGTGATCCCATTTAATAAATTCAGTCTGGTTCAGCTTTATGCTCCTTCATCATTATCCCACACCTTTAATATCCATTCTCACACATGTTCTCTGGATTCCTACCTATATAAATTAGTAAACTCAAACAGATCTTCTGGAGTGTAGTGTACCTCCTCATGGGTCACACTTTGTACCTAACCTTAGGTATCTGCTGGGACTTGAGTCTAGTTAGAGGTCTGGAGACGGGTGGTACAGGTAGATCTTGAGGAGAATCATCATTATCCTCTTTCATGGTAACTATCTCATATAAGGCCATTATTTCTTCAGGCAATGGAGGGTTGATGCCCTCAGATAGAGGGCATCTGTTGGGGGTGGGAAAGCCACTTTTTCTGGGAATGGGGATACCTCTTCCATTGGCAAAGAAGACATCAAAATTTAGCAGCTCAGTGTCTCCAGCTTCATCAACATTTTTCTCACACATCTCCATCCCAATCTTATTTCCTAATGAAGGCCTGAACTTAGTGGATGCCTGTGAGGCTTGGAGTTTGGCTTGCTTTGTAATTCATCCAATTACTGGGATAAGATCCTGTGTCTGATTTTCAGTAATTTCAATCCTCCATCTTCAGGAGATAAGGGCACACATAGCCTCTCTTAATTAAGTCATTTATGTGGCTCTTAAGCTTGGAATTCAAATATCTGACTCAAATAGCTTTTCTTTCACTGCTTTATCCAGTAGTGGAAGCAATCAACCAACATTATTATATTTCTTAGTTTTCAAAAAATGTTTGGAAGTATCATACACAGACTTACTTAGCTCTTTCCTTCTTATAAGTGGTTAATTGGAAATACCCAATTCAGATATTTTGCACATCTCTATAAATAGTTCACTACATGGACTGTCAGTGCTCTACTACTGGAAATAAAGTCATTAGCATCTTTATATCTAAACAGATTAGAGAGCCATTTTCAGAAACCCCAAAACCAGTTCAGAAAACTAATCCTTAAAATTCTTTTCCTCTATTCTTAGTGCCAAAATCTGTATTAATGTTCTCCAGAGAAACAGAACCAATAGGATAAGTAGAGAGATAGATATAGATATATAAATATAGATAGCCAAGAGAAGATGTATTATGGGAGTTGGCTAATGTGATTACAGAGGCTGTGAAGTCCTACAATATGTTAGAGTCAAGCAAAAGAATCAGGAAAGGTAGTGATGTAATTCAGTCTGAGTCTGAAGACCTGGGAACCTGGAGAGCTGCTGGTGTAAATTCCACAGTTAGAAGGCATGAAAACTAGGATCTCTAATGTCCAAAGGCAGGAGAAGAAGGATGTCCCAGTTCAGAGGGAGAAAGAGAGAGAGAGAAAATTCGCCCTTCTTTCACCTTTTTGTTATACTTGGGCCTTTAAAGGATTGAATGTTGCCCACTCATATTGGTAAGGTCATATATATATATGTATATATATATTTTTTACTCAGCCTACTGATTCACATGCTAATCTCTTCTGAAAGTAGCCTCACAGATACATCCAGAAATAATGTTTTCCTAGCTATCTGGTCATCCCTTAGCCTAGTAAAGTTTACAGAGAAAGACTTCTGGTCTTTCTGGTCACAGCAAAAAAAATGTCACCTCCATGAGAACCTGTCTGAACCCCCTACCAATGGCTTTCCAGTCCCACTCTCAGCACCCTACTATGAAGTGGAGGACTTACAGTACCAGATATTGAGACTCAGTTTAAAGTTACAGTAGTGAAGGCTGTGTGTTCTACTAGTGCAAGGATAGAAATTAAGAGAAATAGAATAGAAAGCCCAACTCAGACCCACACATTTAGACATTTTATATATGATGAAAGAGGTGTGCAGAGCAGTGGAGAGAAGATAGTCTTTTCAGTAAATGGCCCAGGTCAGCTGATTCTCCATATGGGAAAGAAATGAATCTTGACTCCTAACTCACTGTAAACAAAAACCCATTCCAGGTAGATTGTAAATTTAAATGTGAAAGTTTAAAATAATATTTACAGTAGATAATATCAGAGAATATTTTCGTGACCTTGAGGCAGGCAAAGATTTCTTAGGTAGGATACAAAGTGTACTGGCCATAAAGACAAAAATTGATAAATTGGGACCTACTAAAATTGTGAACATCATTTCATTGAAAGATACCTTTGAGAGAGTAAAAAGGCAAGAACAGAATGGGAATACATATTTGCCAGATATATGTGAAAAAGCCTCATATTTATGATATGGAATGGATTCCCATGAATTCATAAGAAAAAAGACATCCAAATGGCCAACGAGTATATGAAATGTGTCCACATTGTTACTAACCAGGAAAATGCAAATTAAAACCATAATGTGATACTACCATGTAGTGGCTAAAATAAAAACAGGAGACAATATCAAGTGTTGGTAAGGATGTAGAGCAACTGAACTCTTATACACTGCTGTGTGGTAAACTGATACAACCACTTTAAAAAATTCTTTGGTCTTATCTCTTAAAGATGAACATACACATACTCTATGACTCAGCAATTTTTCTCTTAAGTATACACCCAATAAAAACGCTTACAGATGTTCACCATGCAAAAGAATGGTCAGAGCAGCATTATTATCGGCAGTCTCCAAATTGAAAAAATCCAAATGTGTGTCAGTAGTAGAAAGGATAAATAAAATGGGGTATATATTTCTCAATAATGGGATATATACAGAAGTAAACTCTAGACACATTCAAAAATACGGATGAGTTTGGCCCGGTGGCTCATGTCTATAATCCCAGCACTTCAGGAGCTAGAAGCAGGAGGATTACTTGAACCTAGGAGTTCAAGGCTAGACTGGGCTACATAGTAAGACTCCGTCTCAACAAAAAATAAATAAAAATTAGCAATTATTTTATTTAATAAATAAATTTTATTTTTATAAATAAATTTATTTTTTTATTTTTATAAATAAAAATTTATTTTCTTTATAAAATAATAAATAAATTTATATATAAAAATAAATTTTAAAATGCCTGTAGTTCTAGCTACTTAGGAGGCTGAAGTGGGAGGATTGCTTGAGCCCAAGAGTTTGAGGTTACAGTGTGAGCTATGACTGTGCCACTGCACTCAAGCTTGGGTAACAGAGTGAGACCCTGTCTCAAAAAAAAAGAGTATAAAACTTACAAACATAATGAAATAAGCCCAAAAGAGTCCATTCTGTATGGTTCCACTTAAATAAAAATTTTAAAGAAGCAAAATTAATTCAGAAGTTAGAATATTTGTTCTCCTGGGGGGAGAGAGGGCAATAATTTGGGACGGGCACACAAAAGGGGCTTCTAGAGAGTTAGTAATGCTCTATTTCTTATGGGTACTGGGCACGTTTCTTTCAGATAATCCATTGAGCTATATACATGATTTTCATACTTTTAGATATGTTTGCTATGCTTCAATATGCACATCCAATCAGTTGGTTAAATAACTTTTTTTCTGGTTAGTCACAGGTCAGATGGTTCAAGACTCGAATTACAGGGTCTAGATTCATATCCTAGGTCTTCCTAGGATCCTTGGAGATCTTGGCCAAGTTACTGACTCTGAACTTCAGTTTCTTAATCTGTAAAATGGGTAAATTAAGGTACCCCTCTTATGATTATTGCAGGTATTAAATCTTCTCTTTAAATATTTGCTCTTATGGTGGTCCTCGTTTTCTTTTTCCAGCTAACATGAATCCAATAATTGTTATAGTACTTCCCCTTGTTAATAAAACCAGGACCAAATAATGAGAATGAAAGGGTTTTATACTCACCATTTCTTAATTTCTGATTCTAGTCTGGACAGAACAATCACTGATTCTAGAAAATTGGCATAGGGAGCATTTGGTAGCAATTGTAACATATCACTGCCAAAGGGAGGGATTCTCTGAGAAGGCGCGGGTGTCTCATATATATGGGAAACCCTAAGCCATGTCTAGTGCCAACCACAAGCATTTTCATCTCTGGCCAGGCAAGCCTTGATCCCTGAATTCTGAGCTCTCAACCTCTTTTAAACTGAGAAAGAGATGGTCTCTTCCAGAGTCTTTCAGCTTCTTACTTACAGGCAAACACTACCGTATGCCGTCTCCCAGCAGAGATTGGTTTTAACCAAGGCAAATAAGATACGATGGACTTTGTGGACCATGATGGCTCAATGCTACATCTCATATATCCTACCACCTTTCAGAACATTTAATTGTGCCGCTCCTGGCAGCCCTGGAGTTGGAGTCCTTGTAGAGAGGAGAAACTGGCATTGAAGGAAGTAGTTGAGTTTCACTACTCTGTATGGGGCGCTCCCATTGCTAAGGGCAACCTCCCTTCCCTGGGAAGAAAAGCGTGGGCGGGGCCGGCGCAGTCCCTCCGCTCCGCGTTGCTTTGGAGACCATGGCGTCCAGCCGCAGTTGCTGGATCGGCCCTGACTGCCTTGAGAGGTGCTTTCTGCAGGTGAAGATGTGGCCAAGACAGGCGCAAGACCTCCCTCCAATCTGCCGGGCTCAGGGGAACGTCCAGGGGCTGCTTAGTCTACTTGAGGAGCTAAGGAGGAGGATGGGAGGGGCTGGCTGAGTCTTCTAAACATACAATAGGTGCCTAATTAGCATAAATCAGGCCACTCTCCCTCCACTTCGCCCTTCCAGTGTCCCATGGAGGGTGGGTTAGGGTCCCGGATGCAAGTTCAGCGCTGCCCTGGGGTTCCAGGCCTAACTGACACCTTGAGCGCTGTTGACTTTTCCCAGAAGAGCATGGCAGAGTGAGGCACAAACAATAATCCTGTATTATTCACGTTCCCAAAGTCCCTTCGGATTTGCGCCCTGCACAGCGGGGAGAACCGGACTCCTCCTCGAGTTCGGGGCTCATCTGAGGTTAGTTTCATTGTTTTGTTGAAAGTTAAAACCCTGAGTTGCCTGCCCCACGCCCTCAACCCCCAGCAGAGGGTCCCTCCCCGGGAGTCCTGCCCTGGGGTGCCCCCTCGAGGCCAGACGTTGTCCCGCCTGGACCTGAACCTGAGCTTGGGTCAGGCGGTTTCCCAACCTCAGAAGTTGGAGTTGAGACGCCAGACGCGTTTCCTGGACGACGGCTTCCCAGCAAGGACATCCAGCCAGCAGCCAAGATGTCATCAGTGGGGAAGGTGACCCAGGTTCCGAATGGGAAAGCCTACCAGCAGATCTTCCAGGCAGAGGTAGGGCCCGCCCTCTGTCCCCCTGTCTCCATCCCCCTTCCCTTGCTTTCTCCCAAACTTCCCTCCCTCCAAGGACTTCCCTACTAGAAATTGAATGAAGCAAGGGCTTTGAGATTACTCTGATTTTTAAAATAATTCTTACTGGTTCTTAAATTGTACCAATACAAAATTAGAATGTCATTTCTTGAAAATCAGAAAACCTTAATTACAATTTTAAATGTAAATTACTCAGAAATAGCCCGGATGGAACCACTGGGTGACCTCTGTCTTTTTCCCATGCATAAAAGCATGTCTAATTTTTGTATGTAAAAAATAGGTTTTATTCTGTATTAGTATTTTGAAATCTGCTTTTTCTCTGCAGCAGTATCTCACAGATCCTTTTCCACACCCGTGGGCACCCATGTATTTCACCGTGCTGAGTGGCTGCCTGCTCGTTGATCTAGGACTCCCATAAATGTATTAAAGTAAAGCCCTCTTGACAACAGTGCAGGTTGTTAAAACTGCTGTGTTCTTTCTAAAGCACTGTATAGGCAAAGCAAGATCTTAAAAGAAACACACAGACCTGAATCCTTCCTTTGAAGTCTGTACTGCTTATTTAAAAGGGATTTGCACTCCTAATTTGAGCCCTAATTATCTGTAGAACCTGCAAATTATAAAAATATAAAAAAAACAAAAAACAGTTACATCACTCACACGATCCTGCTGTCTCTAAGGCCATTCTTAACACTTGGCATACTTCATCCAGGGCCTTTTTCTATGCGTTTTAAATTTTGAGATCATACTGTATAATTTTGGTTATAATTTTTAATGTATGCTTTTAAGTGATATGTTTAACCATATATCATCTCCTAAGCATTTCCTCAGGTCATAAAAAAGTCTTCGTGTGTCTCATCTTTAATGAATGCCTAACGTTCCATCAAAGGGACATGTGTTTACTCGGCCAATCCCTACTATTAGTCAGTTCTGTTTTTCCAATTTCTTGTGATTATAAAAAAGGTTGAGATGTTCATCTCAGTCTTTGTTTAAGTTTCTTAAAAACAGGCCTTTGTTGAAGTGGCTGAGTAACTGTGACAGGGAGGAGCACTTTCCTGTAGGGAAGGGCCCTGGGGTTGAAGGCCTTCCTGAAGAGTGCCTTCCTGGGGAAGCCCTCCAGATGTCTTTCTAGACAGCCACCATCAGCCTGAGAGTGCTGGGAGTCAGCAGCTCTGACCACTTCCCCATCCCTGGTCTTCCCTGGATTCAGGTGCAGCTGGTCCACTCCCTGGCAGCCACTAGGAAGCGGGCTGCAGAGCATGCTGTGACCCTGAAGAGTGGCAGGACACCCATGATGAAGAAGGTGGAGGCTCCTGAAGGGGAGGTGATGTCTCCTCGACAGCAGAGGTGGATGCATGGCCTCCCCAATGACTGGATTATGGAAAACCCTGTTCTCTACAGGTAGGTTCTGCTGTCCATGCCTTGCTCTCATGCATTAGGGTACCCTGAGCCTTCAAAAACTCAGAAAGGGCTGCCACAAGATGAGTAGCCTGTAGAAAGAAAGTCTCTAGTACCACCCCTAAAGCAGGGAGGTTAATACCTACTTTGCAGGATGGTTTGCTTCTCTCACCCGTTCCCTCACTCCCACAATCATTATTGATTAAGTGCCTAGGGCCAGGCACTGGGTATGGGGATCCCGCCCCTAAGAAACTTGAGACCTCAAAAGTAAATAAATAAGCACATCCCCCCAATGGCAGAAAGGCTCTGACTAAGGAGACAGGGGCTATGGGACAGGGGTCAGGACTGTATGGGACTGTTCCCAACAGTATTCTCTGAGGAAGGGCCACAGCTGAAACCAGAGGGTGCAGTATGGGGACAAGGCTCTGAGAAAGGTGGTCTTGGTTCACTCCAGAAGGCTGAAGGTGAGGGACCTTGAGAGGGCAGATGAGGCTGGGAGCAGCCTTTCAGGCCGCGGTCAGTATTTTGAACTTTACTGCTGTGAGCAGCTGATTTGCATTTTTGAAGTCCGTCAGGCAGCTCTGTGCAGAATGTAGGGGGCTTCAGGAAGAGGCAAAAAGCCAGGGAACAAGACACTGCAGTTGTCCTTGTAACCTTGCAGGTGGCTGTGAGAGGGAAAGTAGGGGTAGGCCTTCGGTGTCTCTTGGAGGCAAAACTCATGAGACCTAGTGATGGATTGGAGAAGGATGAAAAGGGGAGGAGAGGGTTCCTGAGAGCCCTTGGTCTCTGCCCTGAGTGCTGGGCGAACAGTGGAAATGAAGTTCCCTGAGATGAGAGCAGGTAGGGTCAGGTTTGGAGATCAGGAGTTTCTGGTGAACTTCCAAGTTCAGAAGTTCCTAAGCATGCAATTTTAGTTTGCTGAGCTCTGACAAAAGGAAGAAACAGGTTCTTGAGAGAATGGAGCAGGAGCAGAACTTCCCTTAGGCACTTTGAGTTCTACACAAGCCATAAGCCCTTGCTGGGCCTGGGACTCTGAGACAGAAAACAGGCCTCCTCTGCCTGTCTTGGTTGTTCCTTTCACCCTCTTTGGAGCAGGGACAGACCCATTGCTGAGTACAGTTCTCTGCCCTGACCTGGCCTTGGAATTTTCCCAGGGAAGCCACCCCCAAAGCTTCTGACCCTCATGTCCTTAATTCCTGACAGATGGAAAAATCCACTGGCCACCCAAGCCCAGACTTGAGGTCAGCGTTCTGTAGCCCATCTCACCCTGCCTGATGTCCCCCAGATGGGGGTCCAGGGTTACAGGCAGCCTGATGCCCCAGGTGGGAATCTAGAGGAACTATCCATCAGGGCCAGCTCCCTCTAGACACTTTGCAGGGCTAAGCAGAGGCAAGACTGGGCTGAACACATGAGTAGCAGACCCAGGGCACCCTGTCTTCCTCAGGCATCAAAGCAAAAGGTGCAGGTACTTAAAGATTAAGTCAGCCAAAGCTAGTCTACCTATGTGCGCAGACCCCTGGGTGGGTGAAGACCAGCCCAGGCCAGGGAGTAAAACTACCGGTATAAACCAAGCCCCAAGTCCCTGGGGCAAGTGACCAAGAAGCCAGAGTTGACAGCAGGTGTCATCATCTCCATTCCTGTAGGGCTGCCTTGGTCCAGGGGCATTTAGAATGTCAAGGCCTGAAAGACCTGTCTCTAGAACATTGGCTTGGGCCCCATCAGCTGCAGCCCAGGCCCAGTAACCCTCCCTGCTAGGTCTGCACTGAAGACTAAATGAGAAGTTGGCTGGAAAGTATTGGACTTGTGGGGGGCCCAAGAAATAGCAGCAGTCACTGAGAACTGCGGGATTTCTGTGGTGCTTGCCCCATGGACAGGGCATTGACAGATGCCAATTCCAAAGGGGATGTCACATCCACTTGCCAGTCCTCCCTGTTGAAATAGTTCCTCCTGGGACCCTAGCTCTCTCCTCCCTCACCCAAATTCCATGGGCCTTGGTGTCACAAGGATTGATCTTGGAGTCTCTGCTCTGCTACACTCTGTGGTTCCTCTAAGCCCCTTCCCCCTTTCTAGAAAATGGGGTTACCCCAAGTCCCTCATAGGATGGGTTGCTGAAGGAGCAAATGAAGAGGGATGCCAAGAGCTAGCATGATCTGGCTTCACTGGGCTGCTCATACCCCTTCTGATCCTCAGTTTCCTCAGGTGGCAAGTGGCTTAGGCTCATCATCCACACTTGGCTTACCACCAGAGCTAGAGCAAGCTCCCTGAAGGCAGGGACCTGAGCTCTCACCTAGGCATCCATGGTGTGTGCTGGCAGGGGACCCCAGGTGGTGTTTGTTGGGAGCCTGGGTACTGCCTCAGGGCTCTCTGGAATTGGGGTGTGCCTAGTCCATTGCTGCTGCCCACAGTCCCTCTTGAGAACCACCTCCTGGTGCCCTCATGTGCCGGAGCTGCCATGAATGGCATCAGGAGTTGGCACTTCACTCATCTCTGCTTCTGTCTCAGGGAAAAGGAAAGAGCCAAGAGGGAAAAAGCCCAGGAGAATGAGAGCACCATCGCTGCCCAAGAAGTGCGGGGTCTCATGGATACTATAGGTGAGCCTCCATTCACCCTCGAGGCAAGCCCATCCTGGGCCAGGGAGAGCCCTGGGTGGGAGGTGGGGAGGTCTCCCGGCAACTCCTCTGAGGAGGGCACTGAGGCTCCCACTGTGTTCCTCAGCCCAGCCACCCAGAGTGCATTCTTCCTGAGCATCTCACCCGAGAGTCCACCCCTGTGCAGGGAGCTGGGGGAGGACAGGGGCTGCCTGCAGGAAGGGCAGTTACTGATGAAAAACGCGTGGCTAAAGGATGCCACTGGCTTTCTCACAGGTTCCCAACAGTATTTCTCATCTGCATTTTCTCCCTTCCTTCTGCATTGTCCTAGTTTGACTTTATCCTAATATAGAAGCCTTTTTTCTTTATGATTAAAAATGTAATACATGTTCTCTGTAGAAAAAGAAAGGAGAGAAAAAGTAAAACCTTCCCCTTCACCATGACACCTCTTCTCTCCAAAGAGAGTCACCAGCCCCTACCCAACCCACCCCCATTAACCCATGTGGCATCTGGCGTCCCACGTGGATAAAGGGGACAGAAGAGCATTCGGCAAGAGCATTGTCCTGGAAGCAAGTACCCAGATCCCTGCTCAGCTGCTGGCCAACTTGGTTCTTCAACCCCCATGACTGAGTCACTTGTAAAATGAGGCTGGGAATGGAAGCCGCCTCTTGGCCTCAGCATGAAGACTAGCTGAGTTTGAACAATACCTACTACACAGGAAGTGCTGTGGAAGTGCTGACAATTATCACTTCTATATGTATTTGCTTCCATAGAAAATTTTTAAAAGACGTTCTATGCACACTAATTTGGAGCTTTTTTCAGCTTTTAACTGTGTATGTGAGGCCTCAGTCCCTTTAGCACTCATGGCTCACCATCATCTTTTTTCTTTTTCCTTAGGCCTCTGCCACCCTGGCCTGGCTCTGGAGTCCCCCTTCTGAGCCAGGCCTTGGTGTGCAGGGCTGTCTGCCTGTGCTGCCTTTTCCTGAGAGCTCTAAGGGCAGCCTCATCACCTCTGTTGTTGCTCCACAGTTCCTGAGAAGATAAGCACCAGCACCCTTCAAGGGCGAGAAGAACGCAAGAGGAGGAGCTATGAAAGCGCTCTGGCCAGCTTTCAGGAGGAGATCGCGCAGGTCGGAAAGGTGAGAATCCTCCCTCTCCCTCCTTTTCCCTTCCTGTGCCATTCCGAAGGTGGGTGTGTCATTGCTCCCAGCCTCCCTTCCGCTTGCCAGCTGAGGGGACCTCAGTGGCTCACAGAGCCGTAGACAGCTGGAACCCTAGGGGCCATGCCTGAGTGGCTCATTATGAATGTGAGCACAGTTCTTGGAAAAAGTTCTTGGAAAAGCCCTACAAGTCATGTGCCATTATTACCATATTTTGCGGTGGGGCCCAGAGAGTCTCACCCAACATGGCACATAAAGGCCCGAGTCAGAACTGCCCTCCAGGTCCAGGTCTGATACCAAAGCCTAGCCTTTGGCCTCCCTGCTCAGTCTGGCTGATGAAGAGCAGAATGGCACATCCCTCGCGACTGCCCAGCACTGCCCCCCATTCAGCTCTCATTCCTCTCCAGAGACCTCATCTCTAGACACACTGGTGTCTGGAATGTTCCCTAAACAAGACCAGCCTTTGTCCTTCTGGATTGCCCCAAGCCCTGGATTTCCATTTGTCCCCTTCTCCCTGAGTCTTCTCTCACCTTTGTTGCCCCCACTCTGGATTCCCGGAGCTGGCTCTGTGCCCGAAGCATCAAGAACAGGCTCCCAGCCATGTTTCTTCATACATCCCAACTAGGTGCCAGGTCTGCTTTCACCCTTGAGCTCTGTGGCTTTGGTTAAGCCATCTACCTGAGCCCCAGTTTTTTCATCTGAAGTAAACTTGCCATTCTTTCATTTGGCCACTTCTTTAATGAATATTTATTGAGCACCAGCCGTAGGTTAGGCCCAATGTCAGCAGCCAATTCAAAGAGTGAGATGAGGATCAAATGAGCCAAGAAGAAAGGCTCAGTGCAGAGCATGTGGCGTGGTTGTAAGCTGACTAGTGAGCCTTAACTCCTTAGGTATAGGCAATGATCATGATTTTTGAGATGGGACCATTCGTGGCACTTCCCCCATGACAGGGAGGGGTCCCTCCTTCCCCGGGATGCTGATGTCGTGGCCATCATCCCCCTGGCCTGTTGCAGGAAATGGAACCTCTTATCGTGGACACTGGGGGACTTTTTTTGAAGAAGCTGACTGAATCTGATGAAGATATTAATCATCTCCTCCTAAAGGTGGAAAACGACACCAACCTTGAGGACTACACCATCCAAGTAGGGGTCCCTTTGTGGCTGGGCCTGCCCCACCCGGGTCCTGCTTCTTCCCTCCCTCCCACCGGCTCCTAGCCAGACCCCAACTTCTCTGCATAGGCCCTGCTGGAGCTGTGGGATAAGGTGGCCAGGATGTTCCTGCTCCAGAAGCAGGAGATTAAGGAGCTGGATGAGGCTCTGCACTCCCTGGAGTTCTCCCGAGCCAAGAAAGTGAGTTGGCTGCAGATGGGCTCCGTAGTGATTTTCACTTGCCGGGGTTATTAGGCATCCTTCTGTTTCCTTTTAATTCTCCAGGAAATGAGCCACTAAGTTTGATGCCTTGTCATTTCTAGCTAAAAAACGTGTTGAAGAAATATGTGGAAATCATAGAGAAAACTTCCTACCTCATGCGGCCTGATGTGTACAGGCTGATAAATAAAGAAGCCATGGTGAGTGGTTTTCCTGTGCAGGGATCAGCCCATGGGGGAAGGAGCAGGACCAGGAACCTGGGAAACCCGGGGCATCCCGAGCCTGATGTCTGGTGTCTCAGGAATGGTAGGTTTCTCATCTATTACATTTCTAAGGGCCTCAGGTGGGCCTCTTAGGTAGAGAAGCAGAGTCCGTGCTATTGTAAGCATCTTCAGCAGAGATCTTTCTACAGTGCATTTCATATTTCCTTGCCATCTTCAACCAGGCATACCTAATATAGTGCTATTATCTGGAGTGCTGGTAACATTACTGAGCACCTACTAGGCCATGTCTCAGCTGCTGTGTGCAGTGCAATAGGTGCCACACTATGGAGTCATCATCTTGGGGCTACCGTTGTCTCAGGGCAGTTTCCACATTCATGAGTGACCTGCTCTGCCTGCTATGCCTAGTTTTCTGCCTGTTCTTGCCTCTCTTCCTACCAGTGGTCGGTACCCATTGCTGAGCCTGCCTCTTGGCTCTCTCCCCACTGCTTTCCCCTGTACATGCCCCCAGCCTCCCCCTGCTTCTTTCCTTGGGGTGGAAAACACAAAATTCAAGGTTGTTTATGATGTCTCCAAAGTCAGAGCAAAACCCAACTCCTCTGCTGTGAGAGAGGACTCCTCTTTTGGCCAAAGGCACATTTTGCTTTTGTGCATTTCCTGGTCTTGTGCAATGAGCTAAGCTTGCTGGATAAGGGGCCTCCTGGCAGCACAGCAGGCTGAAAAGAGGACAGTGTTCAGAATCACAGATGGGTCTAGGCCACATCCACACCATGGTGACCCAGATAAAGCACAGGCAAGGAGTGAGCACGGACCTTCTCCACTGCCCAGATGTGGAAGCTTCCAAAGTGGCTCAGCCAGACCCTGGAGCTTACTGTGTCCATAAAATGAAGATGATACAGATGTTCCTCCATTTATGATAGGGTCACTTCCCAATATGCTCATCATCAGTAGAAAATACTGTCAGTCAGAAATGCACTTAACACCTCCATAAACCCATGATGAAGTTGAAAAATCATGTCAAGTCATCGTTAGTTGAGGACTGCCTGTAATACCTGTCAGGACTTGTTGGGAGGATAATTAAACAGAGTTCAGCTGTGGTAGCTGTCTTCTGAGATCAGGGAGGGCTCCTAAGTTGAACATGTTTTATCCATTGGGGGAGTCACGGATTTCAGTGTCCCGGGTACATTTCATTGCTTCACTTCCCTATGCTTCTACTCATTATTACACCTTGCATTTGCTACCTGCTCTACCTGCATTTTTCTCATTTATTTTCACAAAATCCCTATGCTATAAATAGCATTAACCCCATCTTAGGGCTGTGGATCTGTAGGTTGAGGAAATACTTGCCAGTGCCCCCCAGCTAGGAAGTACGGCTAATATCAAGCCTCAGGCTCCACTGAAAAGCATTACTGGAATTCTAGCCTCTGAGCTTGGCAGGGTTCTCAGTCACTGCCCCAGCATACTGCCACCTCCCCAGAGGGCTTTGGGAAAGGCGAGGAGGCATTTGGAGCTGGGGAGGATGGGAAAGTTACTCTCATCTAAGCAGGGGCAAGGATGCTAAAGGGCAAAACAGTGCCATGCAGTGAAGGATCATCCCCACTCCCATGCCAAGGGTGCCCAGGTGAGAACCCATGGGAGGACTGCTGACGAATATTCTAGCTCTGGCCTTATTTTCCCACTGGGTCTCGGTTCTCCTAACAACCTTATGTGGCTCATATCTGATGGCACACACACTCTGTTTTGGGAAGAAATTTATAAAAAAGAGTAAACACGTAGAGCTTACTGAGTGCCTAGCTCCTTTCACCTTCTTTAACAAACCATCCAAAGTGACCTTGGAGCTGGGCTGAAGCTCATGCAGTCAGAGTCTGTATATTGTCCATGGCTACTCAGCTCCAGGCAGCTTCTTCAAGTGCCCACTGACCTCTCAGTCCCCCTCAGGCCCTGCACCCACCCCACTCACAGCCCTCAGCCTACACACACCTCCTCCAGCCTCCCACTGCCCCTCTCTAACTTAACCTTGCCCTGACCTGAGAGAGACCCTACCCTGTCTAGAACCCTGTCCACCTGTGACCACAGGTCATGAACTATGCCCTGCTGGGCAACCGGAAGGCCATCACCCAGCTGTTTGTCAACCTGATGGAGTCCACCCTGCAACAGGAGCTGGACAGCCGCCACCGCTGGCAAGGCCTGGTGGACACCTGGAAGGCTCTCAAGAAGGAGGCTCTGTTGCAGAATTTCAGGTCAGTGTTGCCCACACCACACACAGCTCCTTCTCCAGCCCGTCGGGCTGGCAGAGGCCGGGGTGGCATTTTCCCTCCCTTTTCACATTACCTAAAGATGCCGCTGTTTCTCTGTGTTCTTTTTAAAGTTAGAAATAGATAAAGGTATAAAGAATAAATTAAAAATCACCACTAATCTCTTCTCACAGTGAGAAATGTAGCAAGTATTTTGGTATATTTTCTTCCAGGCTCTTCTGGATCCATACACTATATGCAGTTTCATATTTTTATTCATGGACCTTGTCTCATGACCATTCTCTGATGTCCCTACAAATAGCTGGAAAGCATTCATCCAATTATCTATATAATTTCCACTGTTTATTATCACTCATAACCCTGTGGACGCTGGGCCCAAACGAATGGACATCTTTCAGGCAAACACTTCCCGCCCTTGTGGAGAGTGTTTCCTCCCTCCCATGGGAGGGAGGGTGAAGACAGGTCCTTTCTCCATGCCTCTTCCACCAAGTGGCACTTTTGCTGTGGAGGAAGGAAAAATGTACCAGGGCCTAGCTCCACCTTGCCTTTCCATGTGACCTTGACCAAGCCCTTGAATATTCGAAGTCTATCTCTTCCTACACAAAGCAGGCATCCTAATGGACCTGTGACGGAACTTCAGTCATCCAGCGAGATACTGCATGGAAAGCGCGTGTCTGGACTTGGAACTGGGACGCTGTTATAAATGCCAAACATCGTCAACAGTGACAGCAACAGCTGCCGTTTACTGGGCATTTCCCACGAGCCAAGCACAGTGCTAGGAGCCTTGCTTCCATCATTTTACTGAGTGCTTGCAAGTGCCAATGAGAAAGGCATGATCATGCATTCCATTTTACAGAAGAAGAAACAGAGGCTCAGAGTAGGAGAAGGACTTGACCAAAGTTACAGAGCAGGCAGGCAGCAGTCAGGACCCCACCACGTCTGAGCCTGCTGGTCTCATGCTGTTGGTTCCAGAGCTCCACTGACCTGACGATCCCTCCAGTCTTTCCTCCACTTCTCCCTCCTCTGTTTCTCCCACTCTCCCTATCTATCTCCTTTCTTTAGGGTCCTGGAGGAGAAGCAGGGGCTGGGGTGGTGTTAGGGAAGGGGTGCTGGGGCTCTGAATGTTCTCACCATGGTTCTCTTCCCTGCTCTCACACCTGCCCTGCTCCTTCTCTCCCCTTTATGGTGTCAACGTGTCTGGCCACCCAGTGAATTCATGGCCAATGAGAGTATCCATACTCCCCCAGCTGTGAAGAAGGAGCTAGAGGTCATGCTGAAGACCCAGAACATCCTGCAGCAAAGGCGACTAAAGCACCTCTGCACCATCTGGTACGGGTGGGAGGGGTCACCCAGGAGGGGTGCTTTTGGGGGTCCAGTGTGGGAGGTGGGTGTGGCCTGCACCCTGTCCCTAAGCCATTCTTCAGACTAGGCAGGCCAACTCCCAGCTCTCTGGTCCTGGGCTGGCCACCTGGGTCCATGTTCTGGAGCATTCCAGCCCCACTCACAAGAAAGGGCATGGCCCATTTGCTGCAGAAAGAAGCTTCTTGTAACTGGCAAACAGCTTGAAAGAAGCAATGAACAGGAGTGAGGGAGGAGGAGGCACAGAGCAAAGCACACAGGGCCTGTGGCCAGGTGGAGGGGTTTGGAGGGCATTGAGGGGCAGAGTGGCTCCAAGAGCTTTGCAGTTTAGAGGTGTGGGTCAGAGGCATCTGACATTGGAGGCTGGGGGCACCTGTCAGAGGCTGTGGATGCTCTCCTCAGATGTGGGTCCACCCAGCTCTGATTTCATAAGAAAGCTCTTAAGTGGGGTACCCACTGATTGTTCTAGATCTTGGAATCCACTATCCAGGGAGTTTGTAGCCTTCATTTCTGAGCAGCAGGATGGAGCTTGCATGGTACTGCAAAGTGGAGGGTACTACTGTGTGTTGGGGAAATGCTCCCTGGAACCTTGGGACACAGATTCTTCTCATCTTCCCTCCCCTAGGTCCTAAGTTCTCCTAGGATATAAATAACTATTAAGGCTCCACATTGAGCTAGAGTGGCTGCCCCTAGGTAGGAACCTCCTATTTCCATGGGCAGTAACTTTTTTTTTTTTTTTTTTTGAGACAGGGTCTTGCTTTGTCACCTAGGCTGGAGTGCAGTGGTATGCTCTTGGCTCACTATAACCTCTGCCTTCCGGGCTCAAGTGATCCTCCCATCTCAGCCTCTGGAGTAGCTGGGACTATAGGCATGAGCCACCTTGCCTGGCTAATTTTCGTATTTTTAGTAGACATGGGGTTTCTTCATGTTGGCCAGGGTGGCTTTGAACCCCTGAGCTTGAGCAATTCACCCAGTTCGGTCTCCCAAAGTGCTGGGATTACAGGCATGTGCTACCATGCCCAGCCAGTCTTCCTCCTTGCATTTGACGTTGTGGACATCTTGGATCGAGCTGTAAAATTAACAAGGTAGATACACATCTCAGGACAGGAAGAGTCCTTGTGTAGTTTTCTGTAATTCAATTTATTTCCAATGTTGAGCCCCTGTTCTTTAAGTTGGACAGAACTTGGTCTTTCTAGGGATCCTATCCCTCGAGGTGAAAGTTCTAGAATCTCATGCGATGCCAGGGCTGCTGTTGGGATGTCTGGTTCTCAGTGATAGTTCACCCTAATGCCAATGGGCTCCTGCTACCTCCAGACAAGTGGACATAGGAACCTCCTCAAGAGGCTGCTCTGAGCCCCTGAGTCTTCACACCTAGGTAGTGTCTCCCTCCAGGTCTGTGGGTCTTGCAGATACTTCCATAGTGCCACCAGGAAGCAGAATCCAGGCTGCCACACTCAGGCACCTGCCGGTCTTGCTCTGTTTGCATTTCTCCCCAACCGCTTTGTATAGGGTTGGGGAAATACCTGGTCTCCAGGGCTCTCAGCCTGGTACCACAAACACCTTCTCACCAATGCACTAGGCTCTCCCAAGAAGTTAGGCTCTTGAAAATGAAAGCCAGGACAAGATGTATAACCCAGTATGGTCTTGGGCAAACAGGGATTCAGGTAACCCTACTCATAACTGGACAGTGACTTCTCATAGTGACTTTTTTCACTGTCAAAAATGTCTTAGTTTAGACAATAAATCATATGATCCCTCTAGCAATATACCTCTTCCACACCATTCAACAGCACCCCAAATTTAGTGTCTTTAAACAACAGTCATATCTAGTCTCTCATAGTTCTGTAAGTCAGCTGGGTGGTTCCCCCAGTGTGGGCTGGCTTGGCAAGGGCTGGAAGGTCTAGGATGGCCTCACCCATGTGTCTGGAGTCTGTTGGGTCAGTTGGGTCCTCTCTCCATATACTTTCTTAGCTTCCAGGAGGCCAACCTGAAGGTCACTGAAGCAGGAGAGGGCAAACCCATGCACAGCCCTTCCCAAGCCTCTGCTAGCTGTGTTTGCTAATGTCCCATTGGCTAAGACCAGTGGGACTACATAGCCATGCCCAGATTCCAGGGGTGGAGAAATAGACTCCACTTCCCCCATGGGAGGGAGCTGACCATTTTTCAATCTACCACACTGTTTTTTTTAATTAGGTGTCTAATTGTATAAAGAAAATGTGGTACATATATACCATGAAATACAATGCAGCCATAAAAAAATGAGATCATGTCCCTTGCAGGGTCATGGTTGGAGCCAGAAGCCATTATCCTCAGCAAACTAATGCAGGAGCAGAAAACCAAACATTGCATGTCCTTACTCATAAGTGGGAGCTGAACGATGAGAACACATGGACACAGGGAAGGGAACAACACACACTGGGGCCTGTTGGGGCTGATATAGGGGGGAGGAGAGCATTAGGAAAAATAGCTAATGCATGCTGGGCTTAATATCTGGGTGATTGGTTAATAGGTGCAGCAAATCACCATAGCACATGTTTGCCTATGTAACAAACTGCATATCCTGCACAAGCACCCTGGAACTTAAGATAAAAATAAACATTTAAAAGAGAATTAGGTGTCCTTTTTTTAACTTTTATTTTTGATTCGGGGTATATGTGCAGATTTGCTATGCAGGTAAATCGCATGTTGTGGGGTTTTGGTGTACAGATTATTCTGTCACCCAGGTAATAAGCATAATACAAGGTAGGCAGTGTCTCCATCTTCTCCTTCCTTCCACCCTCCACCCTCAAGTAGGCGCCAGTGCTTGTATTCTTCTTTATGCCCATATGTATTCGAAGTTGAGCTCCCACTTACAAGTGAGAAGCTTCGGTATCTGGTTTTCTGTTCCTGTGTTAGTTAATGTAGGATAATGGCCTCTAGCTCCATCCATGCTACAAAGCCATGATCTCATTCTTTTTTGTGACACCATTTCTAATGACTTCAGGAGAGATTTCGCTGTACCTTATTTAGACAGTTTTCTATTGTTGATGTGAAGGTTTTTAAATCATCATGAGAGTTTATGAACAGGATTGTTAAGTGAACATCTTAATACATAAAGTTTCTGTGCATTTTATAATGCCATCTCAGATTAATTTCCAGAAGTAGCCTTCCTTGGTCAAGGAATATGAACAGTTTGTTTTTTCCACTGGAAAAATTCTGTTTTGTTTTCTAGTCTAAGTAACAAACTGATTACTTAGAAGTTGTTAATTAAAAGACCTTTCAGCCAGGTCGTGTTTTGGCACCAGGAAATCCCCAGCAGTTCCCTTTGTTCTTCAGTATTTATATCTGTGATTTTCTGGAGCCGTGTTCCTTGAAGATGCTATCTATTTTGGTGAGTAAATGTTTTGTTCCTGTGTGGCTGACTTGCCATATCTTCCTTCCTCAGTGACCTCCTGCCCCCCAATTACAACAAAACTCAGCTGACTGAGTGGCATTCTTCTCTCAATGCCCTGAACAAGGAACTAGGTGAGTGACGTTTGCTGGACTCCACCTGCGTCTCTCCAGAACTCTATTCAAGCAGATGCTTTGTCGAAGCTCAGCCAAGTTGGTGGGGCAGCAATCACGATGGGGGTGTGGAGGGAAGAGTGAGTTCTGAGGGCTCAAAAGGCCCCTCCTCCCTTACCAGGGCCTCCTCTCCTCACTGCCCAGCCTGCAGCTACACAAGGCACACCCTCTGACCCCTGACCCCTGACGCAAGCATGGAGACAGAGAGATGGCGCTGATGCTCTCTTTGAGGAAGGCTCAGGGGCATATCCTGAGAGTGTGAGGTGGAGCACATGGTCTTGACGCCCAACTCTGCTCCTCCCAGAGGAGTGTGTGACCTTGGAAAAATCAAGGCCTTTGGTGGCCTCAGTGTCCTCCTCTGTAAAATAGTGATGGCAAAAGGAGTAATAGTCCCTGCTTGTGGGGTGGATGCCCAGTGGTAGTCCAGTGCCTTGCTTACACAGAGTCCTCAATCATAAATGGCGATATTTCAGAATGCTCTATAATGAGGGCAGTCAGGCTACAGCCCATGCTGGCTGCTGGTTTCGTCAGTAAGTGTTGTTAGACTCTAGCTGCCTCATCTGCTGACATATTGCTCTGGCTGCTTTTTTTTTTAAATTGCATTTTAGGTTTTGGGGTACATGTGTAGAACATGCAATACAGTTGCATAGGTACACCCATGACAGTATGTTTTGCTGCCTTCCTCCCCTTCACCCACATTTGGCATTTCTCCCCAGGCTATCCCTCCCCAGCTCCCCCACAACCGCTGTCCCTCCCCTATTCCTCCCAATAGACCCCAGTGTTTAGTACTCCCTTCCCTGTGTCCATGTGTTCTCATTTTTCATCACCTGCCTATGAGTGAGAATATGCGGTATTTCATTTTCTGTTCTTGTGTCAGTTTGCTGAGAATGATGTTCTCCAGATTCATCCATGTCCCTACAAATGACACGAACTCATCATTTTTGATTGCTGCATAATATTCCATGGTGTATATGTGCCACATTTTCCCAATCCAGTCTATCATCGATGGGCATTTGGGTTGGTTCCAGGTCTTTGCTATTGTAAACAGTGCTGCAGTGAACATTCATGTGCATGTGTCCTTATAGTAGAACGATTTATAGTCCTTTGGATATATACCCAGTAATGGGATTGCTGGGTCAAATGGAATTTCTATTTCTAAGGCCTTGAGGAATCGCCACACTGTCTTCCACAATGGTTGAACTAATTTACACTCCCACCAACAGTGTAAAAGTGTTCCTGTTTCTCCACATCTTCTCCAGAATCTGTTGTCTCCTGATTTTTTAATGATCGCCATTCTAACTGGCATGAGATGATATCTCAATGTGGTTTTGATTTGCATCTCTCTGATGACCAGTGATGATGAGCATTTTTTCATATGTTTGTTGGCCTCATGTATGTCTTCTTTTGTAAAGTGTCTGTCATATCCTTTGCCCATTTTTGAATGGGCTTGTTTGTTTTTCTCCTGTAGATCTGTTTGAGTTCTTTGTAAATTCTGGATATCAACCCTTTGTCAGATGGGCAAACTGCAAAAATTTTTGCCCATTCTGTTGGTTGCCAATTCACTCTAGTGACTGTTTCTTTTGCCATGCAGAAGCTGTGGAGTTTGATTAGGTCCCATTTGTCTATTTTGGCTTTTGTTGCCAATGCTTTTGGCATTTTGGTCATGAAGTCCTTGCCTACTCCTATGTCCTGAATGGTTTAGCCTAGATTTTCTTCTAGGGTTTTTATGGTGCCAGGTCTTATGTTTAAGTCTTTAATCCATCTGGAGTTAATTTTAGTGTAAGGTGTCAGGAAGGGGTCCAGTTTCTGCTTTCTGCACATGGCTAGTCAGTTTTCCCAACACCATTTATTAAACAGGGAATCCTTTCCCCATTGCTTGTTTTTGTCAGGTTTATCAAAGATTGTATGGTTGTAGATATGTTGTGTTGCCTCCGATGCCTCTGTTTTGTTCCATTGGTCTATATCTCTGTTTTGGTACCAGTACCATGCTGTTTTGATTACTGTAGCCTTGTAGTATAGTTTGAAATCCGGTAGTGTGATGCCCCCCACTGTGTTCTTTTTGCTTAGAATTGACTTGGCTATGCGGGCTCTCTTTTGGTTCCATATGAAGTTCATGGTGGTTTTTCCAGTTCTTTGAAGAAAGTCAATGGTAGCTTGATAGGGATAGCATTGATTCTGTAAATTACTTTGGGCAGTATAGCCATTTTCACGATATTAATTATTCCTAACTATGAGCATAGAATGTTTCTCCATCTGTTTGTGTCCTCTCGTATTTCCCTGAGCAGTGGTTTGTAGTTCTCCTTGAAGAGGTTCTTTACATCCTTTGTTAGTTGTATTTCTAGGTATTTTATTCTCTTCGTAGCAATTGTGAATGGCAGTTTGTTCTTGATTTGGCTCTCTTTAAGTCTGTTATTGGTGTATAGAAATGCTTGTGATTTTTGCACATTGATTTTATATCCTGAGACTTTGCTGAAGTTGCTTATCAGTTTCAGGAGTTTTTGGGCTGAGGCAATGGGGTCTTCTAGGTATACTATCATGTTGTCTGCAAATAGAGACAATTTGGCTTCCACCTTTCCTATTTGAATACCCTTTATTTCTTTTTCTTGCCTGATTGCTGTGGCTAGAACTCCCAGTACTATATTGAATAGGAGTGGTGAAAGAGGGCCTCCTTGTCTAGTGCCGGATTTCAAAGGGAATGCTTCCAGTTTTTGCCCATTCAGTATGATATTGGCTGTTGGTTTGTTGTAAATTGCTTTTATTTGAGATAAATTCCATCGATACCGAGTTTATTGAGGGTTTTTAGCATAAAGGGCTGTTGAATTTTGTTGAATGCCTTCTCTGTGTCAATTGAGATAATCATGTGGTTTTTGTTTTTGGTTCTGTTTATGTGGTGAATTACGTTTATAGACTTGCATATGTTGAACCAGCCTTGCATCCCCGGGATGAATCCTACTTGATCATGATGGATAAGTTTTTTGATTTGCTATTGCAGTTGGCTTGCCAGTATGTTATTGAAGATTTTTGCATCTATGTTCATCATGGATATTGGCCTGAAATTTTCTTTTCTTGTTGGGTCTCTGCTGGGTTTTGGTAACAGGATGATGTTGGTCTCATAAAATGATTTGGGAAGGATTCCCTCTTTTTGGATTCTTTGGAATAGTTTCAGAAGGAATGGTACCAGCTCCTCTTTGTGTGTCTGGTAGAATTCGGCTGTGAACCCATCTGGACCTGGGCTTTTTTTGTGTGGTAGGCTCTTAATTGCTGCCTCACTTCAGACCTTGTTATTGGTCTATTCATAGTTTCGGCTTCCTCCTGGTTTAGGCTTGGGAGGACACAGGTGTCCAGGAATGTATCCATTTCTTCCAGGTTTACTAGTTTATGTGCATAGAGTTGTTTGTAATATTCTCTGATGATGGTTTGAATTTCTGTGGAATCTGTGGTGATTTCCCCTTTATCGTTTTTTATTGCATCTATTTGGTTGTTCTCTCTTTTCTTTTTTATCAGTCTGGCTAGTGGTCTGTCTATTTTGTTGATCTTTTCAAAAAACCAGCTCTTGGATTTATTGATTTTTTGAAGGGTTTTTCGTGTCTCTATCTCCTTCAGTTCAGCTCTGATCTTAGTTATTTCTTGTCTTCTGCTAGATTTTGAGTTTTTTTGATCTTGCTCCTCTAGCTCTTTCAATTTTGATGATAGGGTATCCATTTTGGATCTCTCCATTCTCCTCATATGGGCACTTACTGCTATATATTTTCCTCTAGAGACTGCTTTACATGTGTCCCAGAGATTCTGGCATGTTGTGTCTTCGTTCTCGTTGGTTTCGAAGAACTTCTTTATTTCTGCCTTCATTTCATTGTTTATCCAGTCAACATTCAAGAGCCAGTTGTTCAGTTTCCATGAAGCTGTGCGGTTCTGGGTTAGTTTCTGAATTCTGAGCTCTAACTTGATTGCACTATGGTCTGAGAGACTGTTTGTTATGATTTCAGTAGTTTTGCATTTGCTGAGGAGTGCTTTACTTCCAATTATGTGGTCAATTTTAGAGTAGGTGTGATGTGGTGCTGAGAAGAATGTATATTCTGTGGATTTGGGATGGAGAGTTCTGTAAATGTCTATCAGGTTTGCTTGTTCCAGGTCTGAGTTCAAGCCCTGGATATCCTTGTTAATTTTCTGTCTGGTTGATCTGTCTAATATTGACAGTGGAGTGTTAAAGTCTCCCACTATTATTGTGTGGGAGTCTAAGTCTCTTTGTAAGTCATTAAGAACTTGCCTTATGTATCTGGGTGCTCCTGTATTGGGTCCACATATATTTAGGATCGTTAGCTCTTCTTATTGTATCGATCCTTTTACCATTATATAATGACCTTCTTTGTCTCTTTTGATCTTTTTTGCTTTAAAGTCTATTTTATCAGAGATGAGAATTGCAACTCCAGCTTTTTTTTTTTTTTGCTCTCCATTTGCTTGGTAAATCTTCCTCCATCCCTTTATTTTGAGCCTTTGTGTATCCTTGCATGTGAGATGGGTTTCCTGGATACAGCACACTGATGGGTTTTGGTTTTTTATCCAATTTGCCAGTCTGTGTCTTTTGATTGGTGCATTTAGCCCATTTACATTTAGGGTTAATACTGTTATATGTGAATTTGATACTGCCATTTTGATGCTAGCTGGCTGTTTTGCCTGTTAGTTGTTGTAGATTCTTCATTATGTTGATGCTCTTTAGCATTTAGTGTGATTTTGGAATGGCTGGTACTGGTTGTTCCTTTCTATGTGTAGTGCCTCTTTCAGGAGCTCTTGTAAAGCAGGCCTGGTGGTGACAAAATCTCTGAGTACTGGCTTGTTCACAAAGGATTTTATTTTTCCTTCACTTATGAAGCTCAGTTTGGCTGGATATGAAATTCTGGGTTGAAAGTTCTTTTCTTTAAGGATGTTGAACATTGGCCCCCACTCTCTTCTGGCTTGTAGAGTTTCTGCCGAGAGATCTGCTGTGAGTCTGATGGGCTTCCCTTTGTGGGTGACCCGACCTTTCTCTCTGGCGGCCCTTAGTATTTTCTCCTTCATTTCAACCCTGGTGAAACTGATGATTATGTGCCTTGGGGTTGCTCTTCTTTCAGAATATCTTTGTGGTGTTCTCTGTATTTCCTGGATTTGAGTGTTGGCCTGCCTTGCTAGGTGGGGGAAATTTTCCTGGATAATATCCTGAAGAGTATTTTCCAGCTTGGATTCGTTCTCTTCGTCACATTCTGGTACACCTATCAAACGTAGGTTAGGTCTCTTCACATAGTCCCACATTTCTTGGAGACTTTGTTCATTCCTTTTTGCATTTTTTTCTCTAATCTTGGTTTCTCGTTTTATTTCATTGAGTTGATCTTCAACTCCTGATATCCTTTCTTCTGCTTGGTCAATTCGGCGGTTGAAACTTGTGCATGCTTCACGAAGTTCTCGTGTTGTGTTTTTCAGCTCCTTCAATTTATTCATATTCCTCTGTAAGTTATCCATTCTTGTTGTCATTTCCTCGAATCTTTTTTCAAGGTTTTTAGTTTCTTTGCATTGATTTAAAACATGTTCTTTTAGCTCACAGAAGTTTCTCATTACGCACCTTCTGAAGTCTAATTCTGTCATTTTGTCACAGTCATTCTCCGTCCAGCTTTGTTCCCTTGCTGGTGAGGAGTTTTGGTCCTTTGTAGGAGGCAAGGTGTTCTGGTTTTGGGTGTTTTCCTCCTTTTTGCACTGTTTTCTTCCCATCTTTGTGGATTTATCCACCTGTCGTCTGAGTAGTTGCTGACTTTTCGATTGGGTCTCTGAGTGGACACCCAGATTGTTGATGATGAAGTATTTCTGTTACTTGGTTTTCCTTCTACCAGTCTAGCCCCTCGACTGTATGACTGCTGAAGTCCACTCCAGGCCCTGCTTGTCTGGGGTGCACTTATAGCAGCTGTGGAACAGTGAGGGATGCTACCAGTTTCTTCTTCTGCTATCTTTGTCCCAGAATGATGCCCGCCAAATGTCAGTCTGATCACTCCTTTTCGTGGTGACTGTTTGGATATACAGGGGTCAGGGAGCTGCTTGAGGAGACGGTCTGTACTTTATAGGAGCTCAAGTGCTGAGCTGTGAGCTCCGTTGTTCATTCAGGGCTGTTAGGCTGTTTGTTATGTTTAAGTCTGCTGCAGCAGAACTCATAAAACCCCTTTTTTTCCTGAGATGCTCTGTCTCGGGGAAGTTGGGGCTTTCTTTGTGAGTGTCCATTGCACTGTCCTGCCCAGCTAGGAGGCAGTCTAGTCACTATTTGCCTGCCAAGGCTCCGCCCTGCTGGCATCGGGTCCACCCTGTTGCTGCGGGCTCTGCCCTGCTGACGCGGTCTCTGCCCTGCTGCCACGGGCTCCGCCATGCGGTGGAGTCTCTCTGTTATGGAGGGTTGCCTTGGCCATGGCAGGCTGTGTCAGCAATGGGAGTGTACCTCAGTAGGGGCGGATTGCCTCGGTAATGGCGGACGCCCCTCCCCCACCGAGCAGCACCGTCCTGGGTTCAGCTGTGCCTGCAGTGAAACTCTCCACCTGGAGTGTTTCGAATCGCCGTTTGGTTTGTCCCTGTGGGGGTGAAACCCACCAAGCCTGCTCACCTGACTCCCTGCCTCAGAGAGCCTTTTTTTTTCTTTCAAGTTGAATGGTTGACTCTCTCCCAGGTGTTTCAGTCGCCTGCTGTTAGGGCACCGGGATCTGTGTGATTTCCCGTGCAGCGACCCACTGCACTGGCTCAAACGCTGCTTCCCAGGAATCTCCTGGTCTGGCTCACTGTCCAAGTCCCGTTTAATCAGATGGATATGCTAATCTGCCCTCCCAAGTCTCAGATTGCTGGTTTAACAGGGCACCCAGACCAGTGAGTTTTGTGCAGAGTGTTGCGGAGTGCTGCTGCACTGCAGCACCAGCCAAAGCAGCTGCACCAGCCAAAACAGCTACGCTGGCATCCCATGTCTCTCCTACACCTGGGAATTTCCCTGTTCTGTGGGCAACAAAGATCTGTCTGGAAATGCGGCTTTGGCTCACCCTCTGTGCGTTCACTGAGAGCTGCAATCCTGGGTTGTTCTTACCATGCCATCTTCTTTTTCCTTCAGGCTGCTTTTGCTCTAAATGGCAGAGGTAAATGCAGATGGCTCCTAACTTACAATTGGTCAACTTAGGACTTTGTGACTTTACAGTAGTGTGAAAGTGATACACATTCAGCAAAAACTATACTTCAGATTTTGAATTTTGCTCTTTTCCTGGGCTATGGTGCCTGGATCCGTGGCGTGATACTCCCTGGCAATGCTGGGCAATGGTGACAAGCTGCAGCTCCCAGTCAGCCCCGTGGTCGTGAGGGTAAACAGGTGGACTCTGTTGCCCGATGATTTCACCAAACTGTAGACGAATGTATGTTTTCTGAGCACATTTAAGGTAGACTAGGCTAAGCTATGATGTTCGGGAGGTTAGGCATATTAAAGGCATTTTCAACTGAAGATATTTTCAACTGAAGATATTTTCAACTTATGGTGAGTTTATTGGGACATAACCCCATTGTAAATCAGGGAACATCTCTAGTTACAACAGAGACTATATGGCCACAAAGCAAAAACAATTTACTCTCTAGCCTTGTATAGAAAAGGTTTGCCACGACTTGCTCTAGAAGATATGGAATAAGTTTTTTGTCTCCTTAGAGGATCACAGCAACCTAGTGAGGTCAGTGGTATCATTGTCCTCTTGTAGCAAGAGAAGGGTTTAGTGGGACAGAGAGGTAAAGTATCCTGCCCAAGGTCACACAGCCAATGAAGTGTCACAGCTGGACTTAGCTTGAGTACTTCGGCTAGTAGTACCCGCCACTGTTTCTAGGGCCCTCAGGTTTATAATACTAACAGTGTTTCTGTATGAGCCCTGAGACCCTAAATTAATACCAATGGCTGCCATTCATTTAGTGCCTCCTAGGGACAGGCATTGTGCTGGGCCTTGGCATTCAGTAGCTGGCTCTGCCTTCAGGCACTTCCAGTCCAGAGCAGAAGTCAGAGCAAGCAGGGAATGGACAGGTCCTCAGCCCTGGGAGCCATCATCAGGGACACAGCTGGTTGAGAACTGGAAGGGAGGTAAGAGTCAGCCAGGCCAAGAGGGAGGAGGCATTCCAAGCAAGGATATAGTGCAGGGGGCCCCCAAGCCAAGACAAGGCGGGGGACTTTGGAAGCAGGGAGGGGAGGCTAGAAGATACAAAGCAGCTGGACTCTGCTGGCGACATGGGCTGCATGGGAAAGTCTGGGCTTTGTCCTGATGGCAGTGGTAACCCAGGGGAAGGTTATGAGCTGAAGGTGATGACATCAGAGGGTGCAAATGGCCCATAGGGGTGCAGGAGTGGAAGCAAGGGGACCTGGGAGAGCCCCTCACAGTAGCCTCACAGAAGGATATGGACACCTTGGCCTGGGAACTAGCTCTGGGGACAGGAGGGAGCAGATTGACAGCTTCTTCTCATCAGTTCTGGCATCTGTCAACCCTCCCAGGTATCCTAAATCTACAGCCAGCTGCCATCACCCTGCCCTCCTCCGTAGCCCTGGACAAAGAATAGCCAGGTCTTTCAGTTTCTAGAAATTGCCAGCAGCACTAACCCAGAGTTGCTTATCTTAAACATCAGAGTCACACTGAATTTATTATAAGCTGGGAAACTGAAGGGAGTAGAAATAGAGAAAATAAATAAATAAGCAAGCTTCTGGGCATTCTGCTAGTACATTCACTCTTTCAGGGATGAACCACAGATGGGATTAGTAGATGCTCATTGATCTCCACTCTCACTACTGGTTTACAACTTGGTGCAGGTGCCCAAAAGGAATTTCACCAGCCCTGAAACTGAGTCAAGAGTCAGGGCCAGAATGGATTCAGAACAGATAAAGACAAGCTCTTCATTTGAGATCCTTATCTTGGGGTGTCAGGAACTTGTAAGGGGACGCCAGCCCCTGGTCTGAATCAGGATCACTGATCTTCACCTAAATAAGTATTGCTATGGACAACCTTTGCTCCTTTGCAAAGGGGACACTCCACTTTCTCATCCCTTCTTCCTTCTGGACTGATATGCTTTGTTTTCCGCCCTTGGAGACACCTACCACCTGGACTGTGTGATGCGGATCCGACTGCTGTATGAGAAGACGTGGCAGGAGTGCCTGATGCATCTGCAGAATTGTAAGGTGGGCACCCTTCCTGGGGGCCCAATAAGAGGAGCGCCTGGCCAGGACCTGCAGTGCCCTCCCCGGCCCCATCCCCAATGCCTTCCCCTCCGCAGCTATGTCCCCACCTCATTCTCACACACCCTTTAGCCTCCATCCAGGCTTTTCTTCCTCATGGGCTCTGGGCATTCTGAAGCTGTTCCTTCTACCCACATCCCCTCCCAGCTATCCCTGCCATCTCTCCTGTTTTAGCCCATCGCTCCCCCAGGAAGCCCATGTCAGATGGTGTGTACACTCTCGGATCACTGCAGACTTCACCCTTGACTCTGTGTCATACACAGCATTGTTTATGAATGGAGGTCACGTCCTGAGGTTATTGTGATGCACCCCCTTCGTAGATAGGCCTGGCCCCACTTTCCTCTCCACCCTGCCCACTGCGTAACAGAGTGAGACAGTAAACTTGCTCCCAAACCCCAGCACAGCTGTGACCAGTTCTCTGGGGTAGGAGAACTATTGAGTCAGAATATCCCCTTCTGCTTCCTTGGTAAGACTGTAAGTGACCCCCACTCCTCTCCACAAAGCTTAACCCGTTTTGAAGCATGTTTGAGCTGAGGGCCCCACTTGGGGAGCCCCCAGGGAGCTCCTGCATGCCTCTCCAGCCAGCTTGTGCCCGGCCTCCCAGACCCTAAGGGGAACAGAATTGATAGGGTGCAGGGCCCTTCACCTGGAGCCCAGGCCTGACTTGAGCAATGCTGAGGCTCACAGGATGTGGTTAATACCTGTGGGGACCGCAGCCCTAATCCAGGCTCTGCGTTGTCCCACACACCCCAGAAGCAGCTGCTGGACTGGGAAGCCTTCACTGAAGAGGAGACAGAGACCCTGGTGAACCAGTTCTTATTCCAGATGGTGGGAGCGCTCCAGGGCAAGGTGGAGGAGGACCTGGAGCTCTTGGATGTGCGTGCTGGGGACTGTTCTGCTGGGGAGCTGAGGTGGGGTTGTGGGTTCCCGGGGGTCTTGGGTTGTAAGGAGAGTCCAGGAGCTCCAACTGGCATGTTCCTAGTGTGTCCACTCGCCCTTGTCAGCCCCTCTCAGAGCAGCTCCCTTATGCTGGCCACTCCAGGCTCACCCAGCTGACTCCTCCCAGCCACCCACTGACATGGGTGCTGCGCAGAACTCCAGGCCATGAACACTCCCAGCCATTGTTGACCCTGGGCACTGAAGGGCTGCATAAGCACAATAAGCCCCCAGCCCAAGATGTGTGTTGTCTTGAGCCGGAGTTGGCTCATGTTTTCTGCTAAGGGCCAGATCGTGACTATTTTAGGGTCTGTGGGCCATCACGTCTCTGACTCACCTTGTCAGCTCTACGAGCGCCATACAAAAGCAGCCCTAGGCAATGCAGAAACAAATGGCATGGCTATTTTAAATACTGTTCCAATAGCTTTGTTGATGGACACTGAAATTTGAATTTTATATAATATTTATCTCATTAAATATCTTCTTTTGATTATTTTCCAGCCATTTTAAAACTGGAATATCTGTGTGTAGCTCTCAGGACCAAACAAAAACAGGTGGAGGGTCAAATTTAGTCTACAGGTGGCAGCTTGCCTACCTCTGGCCCAGATGAGGGCATAGGATATGTATTTTTTTTTTTTTATGAGATAGAGTTTTGCTCTTGTTGCCCAGGCTAGAGTGCAATGGTATGATCTTGGCTCACCACAACTTCCACTGTTCAGGTTCAAGTGATTCTCCTCCCTCAGTCTTCCAAATAGCTTGGATTACAGGCATGCACCACCATGCCCAGCTAATTTTGTATTTTTAGTAGAGATGGGGTTTCTCCATATTGGTCAGGCTTGTCTCAAACTCCCAACTTCAGGTGATCCACCTGCCTCAGCCTCCCAAAGTGCTGAGATTATAGGTATGAGTCACCACGCCCGGCCAACATGTATATTTTTTTCAAAGGTGCGTGGTGTGTGAGGATTTCACAGCAGGTGTGGTGTTTGGCCCTGATACCATGAGTGAGGGAACTCCAGAGAAGGAAAGAGACCCAGGCCAGCATTGCTGTGGCCTCCTGAGTGCCCAGCCTGGTTTTTAGGAATGGACCTTCTTTCTTCTAGGCCCAGACTCCATCTTCTGGTCAGAGACTTTTGTGGGGTATAGGTCATGTCTAGAGATGGGACTTGAGGATCAGCAAGACCAAGGGCATGGCCTTGGGCAGACCTGAAATGCTGCCCCAGGGAGGGAGGACCAGGAGCCCAGGTGTGGCCTGGACATTGACCTTGAGGGTTGGTGTCTGGACAATGCTGTTCGGTCGTTAGAGATGGGGGTCCCACAGGTGGGCCCTCTTCCTGGCCCTGGGACCGTCAACTCTCAAGGTCCCTTCTCTGGGCTCTGCCACTGTAGAAATCCTTCGAAACCCTGGCAGACCAGACAGAGTGGCAGAGTTTGAACCTCTTCAAGTACTTCCAGGAGGTGGTGCAACTGTGGGAGGTACACCAGAGTGAGCTGTTGGTGCAGGAGCTGGAGCTGGAGAAGAGGATGGAGCAGCACCGGCATAAGCACAGCCTGGAGAGCCAGGTATGCCCCCACCCAGGGCTCCATGTTTCACATGACAAACACCAGTGAACTCAAACAGATCCTTGACCCAAATGGAAAACCTTAAGCTGTGAAATTAGTGCAGATGGGGACACTGAGGCTCACGTTGGTCATAGGATCAGATGGAGATAGTGGAAATCTCCTGGAACCAAAGGTGTCTATAAGAACGTGCATGAAAGACAGACAGATGGTTCAAATAAGGAGACGATTAAAGGATAGGATCACGAATAACAATTCTCTTTGCCATTCAAAGAGAATTTTTCTGTAGGTTCACAATGCTTAAAGAGGGGGAAAATAATATGAACAAACCTCAAAGGGATTGGTCCACAGGGCATAGACAAGGTACTTCAAGCCTGTTGTGAGTTGCAAAGCTATTAAAGTCTAGTTGCTCAATTAGGATGGAAGCAGGCTTCCTTAGGAAGTAAAGTCTAATAAAAGCTCCAGGTATGGTTTCTTTCCACATGTGGTTTCTCAGGAGAAACTGGCTTGCAAGTCAACACAGTGGACATCAGTGATGGCACATAGGTCCCTGGAAGCCAGAGGGTAGTACTGGTGCTGGTGGCTTGGCTTCATAGCCTCAATCCTGTCACAGCCTGAGCTCTCTCTCATTCAAAGGAGCCACTCAGAGTGAAACGTGCCTCAGCCTAAGCTCTCAAAGTGTCAAACTCTTGAGTTTTTTGAGGTCCAGTAGTTAAGGTCAGTAACTCACATATGGGGGGCTGATAAGGGTGACATAACATTTCCAAGGTGAGGGGGAATAGCTCCAAGTTCTCATATATGGGGTCTGATAAGACATCACATTCTGAAAGAAAAGGGGGAAGACACTCCAAGTTCTTACGGTCAAACGTGTCATTCATATAGCAAACTGTGCACGTGTTGGGAATCATTTCAAAACTCCACAACTGGGGCCATCTCCTGCCTGCACAGGAGGTCAGCTGGCCCCCGCCCTGCCTGCTCTCACACAGTTCAGGAGGTGGGGGGAACAAACTCAGCATCTGATTTCAAGCACAACTGGTGAGGAGAGCAAGAAGCAGGGGTAGTGCAGCCCTGACCAGGCGGGTGGGAGGGCCATGTCCCCAAGGGGTCCCATCTTACCTGGTTCCCTGGGGGTATTATGTGGGCAGAGAAGAACATTGCAGGCAGAGAAGTGTCTGGGGGCTTTCAGTGGAGAGAGAGGGTGGTGGCAGGTTAGGTGCCCCATTTGTAGAAAGGAAGTCCTAGATCTGCCGCGCACCTGGGCCTCAGTTCCAGTGGTAGGGTCCATGCAGGTCACTCACTCTGTGATCACTGCAGGTCATGTCTGCTCTTGTTTTGGGGGTGGCTGCAGGCCCAGGAAGCCCACCTCGACAGGCTCTTGGACCAACTGAGGCAGCAGAGCCGCAAAGAAACACTGGCATTTCACCTGGAAAAGGTCAAAGATTATCTGAAGAACATGAAATACAGGTAGGCCAAACAGTCCCTAAAAGGCAGGAGGGGATGGTCAGGAATTCATCTTCAAGGTCGAGGGCAGCCTGCACAAGAGTCCTTAAAACGAAAATTGTGCCTCTCACTTTAGAAAGCACTGTGGCCCTCTGCAGCCCTGCTCTCAGCCAACAAAGAAGCTTCTAGGGAGAATGTTGAAAAGTTTGTGGAGGAAGGTTTCAAAGAAATGTGGCTCAAGTTCAAGAACATGAGGCCTCCTTTTCAAAATTTAAAGATATGGGTGGATCACCTGAGAACAGGAGTTCAAGACCAGCCCGGCCAACATGGTGAAACCCCATCTCTACTAAAAATACAAAAATTAGCCAGGCATGGTGGTAGACACCTATAATCCCAGCTACTTGAGAGGCTGAGGCAGGAGAATCACTTTAACCCTGGAGACAGAGGTTGTATTAAGCCAAGATCATGCCATTGCACCTCAGCCTGAGGGACAGAGCAAGACTCTGTCTCAAAAAAAAAAAAAAAAATTAAACATGTGCATTATTTGTCAAAGCAGGAAAAATAAGTTAACCACTGCAAACATACACATATATAGTGTTTTTAAAATAAAGATTGTATGGGCCGGGCACGGTGGCTCACACCTATAATCCCAGCACTTTGGGAGGCCAAGGCAGGCAGATCACAAAGTCAGGAGTTCGAGACCAGCCTGGCCAAAGTAGTGAAACCCCATCTCTACTAAAAATACAAAAAATTAGCCAGGCGTTGGTGGTGGTTGCCTGTAATCCCAGCTGCTTAGGAGGCTGAGGCAGGAGAATTGCTTGAATCCAGGAGGCAGAGGTTGCAGTGAGCCAAGATTGCCCCATTGCATTCTAGCCCAGCAACAGTGTGAGACTCCATCTCAAAAAAGGTTGGATTATACTATGCAAATTATTCCATAACTGCAGCTATATTTCCATTTTTAAATACCATATAGCATTATGAAGTAAATATAGATACTTTATAATGGTTTAGCAATCCCCCAATTGATTAGCTGATTCTATTTGTTCTAACTCCTCAGTATGACAAAATTCTCTGTGAATTTTCTTTGATCTTTGTGACTTTGTACAACTGATTCCATAAGGACTGTTCACAGAAATGGAATTACACTGCCAATTGATTGCAATTCTGATTACTTTAGGCAAGGAAGTAACCCCATGAGCCTTGGTCTCCTTATCTGAGAAACAGAAGTCTGGACCTTGGGGGATTTGGGGGATTGATGGAATAATGTAGGTACCGTAAAGTTCAAGGACAGCATTAAGACCAAGGGCAGGGTTAGGACCCTGGACAGGGAAAGGAAGCTAATGTTACAAGCAGAAAACTCTCTGGGTGTGTTTTCCAAACTTTCTACAAAAAGTATGTATTTCTCATATGATCAGAAAAATAGCAAAACAAACAAAGGACTGCTGCAATAAAAGCAGCCACACAGCAGCTCTACACAGAGCTAAGTGCTAGATTTCAGCCCATCTCCTTGGGGTCAGGGGTGTGGTTCCTGGCTGGGGTCCCCTGTCTCACCTACCTACCTCCCAGGTATGAATCCTTTCACACCCTCATGACAAAGGAAGTGATGGAGTACCCAGCGTTCGTACTGAAAGAACTCAACTCCTACAGCTCCACCCTCAGCCAATACTTCTTTGTGCGTGAAATCTTTGAACAGGTATGGAGAGGGAAATGATACACCCAGCTCCTCATAAAGAAGCTAAGAGAGAGGCTGACGTCTTGTTATGATCTGTCTAGACTTTGAAAGCCATTCCTAACCCTGCAGAGTTCAAATCAATGTAAAGAGAAAGAAGCTGAAAGTGTCTCTAAAGAGACCACCTCTTTCTCAGTTTAAAAGAGACTGAGGGGCTCAGAATTCAGGGCTCAAGCCTGAATGGACTTATAATGAAAAGGTTAATTTATAGGGCTCTTGAAATTCCATTTATCATACCTACCATTGCCACATAATTCTCCTAAAATATAGCTTTCACCCACCTACTCTCCTGCTGAAAAATCCCTCATCAACTCTGCAGCCCCCACCAAATCCAACTTACAGTCCCTAGATAAACATAAAGGTCCCACACTCTCTGCTTCCTGCCTTGACTCTTCCCCATCCAGGAGACTCATCCCTCTTCCTGTATGTGTCCCCTGCCTGATGCCCTTCCTCATCCTGCTCCTTCTGCTGGGGCCACTCTGTCTCTACACATCCCAAACCCACCCATACCCCCAGTTCACTACCAAGGGAAAGGCTCCCACTCATTCAGCCTGACCCCTCACCTTGCTCAGCCCCTGTCACCTCTCTGGGCTCTGAACATTTTGTGCTTGGTTGCTGTCAAATACAGGAGTCTGGAGCACCCAACTATAATGTATTTCTTAAAGGGCATGTATGCCTTATTAATTTTTATTCAACTTTGATTGCTGTTAGCACAGGATCTTACACATAATTCAGACATGATAAATGTTCTCTGGGTAAATGCATGGAAACCTGGGATTCCCTGGTTTGAATCCCCCAGAGTTTGGCTCTTTTCCCACACACTAGCCATAGTCCTGCCTGGCCAGAATGGAAATGCTTGTGGTTGGCACCAAACTTGGCCAAAGGTTTCCCACATATACAGGACACCTGGCTCCTTCCCCGAGAATCTCTCCTCCCAGAAGAGAATTCTGTTTAGATTGCTAATAGATGCTCCCTGTGCCACCTAGGTTGAGGGTGAGCTCATTGCCTGCCCTTTGAGATGATTCGGGTCATCTGGGTTAAAGGTATAGGCACTATTAAAAAATCTTCATTTCATGGAGGATAACACTAAGCCCCATAGGGTTTAAAGGACTTGCCCAAGATTACTTAACTTATAAGGATCTGGGAGTCAAATCCAGACCCGTACACTCTATAGTTTGCACTGTTATTCATAACATGGTGTATCCAAAACTTCAACCAGAGCCTGTGAAACAGGTTTACAGGGTTTACAAGGGGGCTCACAGGATCATGTAAATCACGTCCATTCTGTTCCATCTAGCACAGAATGCAGCGGATTTCTGCCCCTTTGTTTGCATCCCTCAGTTTATACTTTTCTTGCCCTTTGCTCCAGATCACTGCCAAAAAATATGTCATAAGGAGCTTTTAGTCTGTAACTACCTATTGTGGGCTATAAGCGTTTACTAGCCTTCTTGGAATTAAGAAAAATTGGTTCCCCAGATTGGGAACACCCCAATTACCACAATTGAACTGAGTTGGTCAAAGCCTGCATCAGATATTAAAGGGGAGGGATGGGTCCTTCTACTTAAAAGAGATGCACTTAGAAGTGGCACTCTGAAGAAATGTCCTTTAGTGACTCGTGGTTTTTCCTTGTAGAACTTGGCTGGAGAAGTCATTTTCAAATTCAGGAAACCAGGTAACACTTTTTCAATTCAAGTCTGATTCTCCCAGACTTCACTCATGCATTTGTGGGTTGGGAGGCCCAATCCAGGCAGCATCAGTAAATTGTCTGTCATCAACAGAAGCACGTGAAAAACGCTTCCAGAAGAGAATGAGAAAACTGAGGAAGAAGCAAGGATCTAAAGAGGACATGAGCAGAGGTGAGGAAAGCATAAGTAGTGGGACAAGTGCTGCCAGGTCAGTAGAAGAGACGGAAGAAGAAAACACTCAAGAAATGGAGTCCTTCATAACTGAAGAGGAGCTGGACCAGCAGAAAAAATCTCCTCTGCATGCTGAGATGGATGAGTCCAAAGAAGGCTCTATTCAGGAATTGGAAGAAATGCAGGTTGAAAGAGAGAGTTCCTTAAACCCATCCCTGAACCAGGAAAATGTGACGGGTCAAGGAGAAAAGGAGGAGTCAGACCATGAGAAGGAGGAAGAGGAGGAAGAGGAGCTGGAGGAAGAGAAAGACGAGAAGGAGGCACAGGAAGAGCAAGAGAGTTTATCTGTGGGTGAGGTAGGCCAGCAATGGATTCATTCTTGGGCATTGAGAAAGTTTGCTATGCTCATTCTGTGTGTATCCCTAGTGTAAGCTGGGGTCCTCAGTGGCCCAGTATTCATAGAGGTGTAGAAAGAGAATTATAAAAATATTCATACTTAAAAAAATGTTAACTAGGTTCAGGGGTACATGTGCAGGTTTGTTATTGTTCAGGGGTACATGTGCAGGTAAATTGCTTGTCATGGGCATTTGATATCCAGATAATTTTGTCAGCAGGGTAATAAGCATAGTACCCGATGGGTTTTGGTTTTTCTTTTTCTAATCCTCTCCCCCCTCCCACCCTTCACCCTCGAATAGGCCCCAGTGTCTGTTGTTTCCCTCCTAGTATCCATATGTTCTTTGTTTAACTCCCACTTAAAAGTGAGAGCATATAGTATTTAATTTTTTCTGTTCCTTTGTTAGTTTGCTTAGGATAATGGCCTCCAGTTCCATCCATGTTGCGGCAAAGGACATAGTCTCATTCTTTTGGTGGTTGCATAGTATCCTTTGGTTTATATGTACCACATTTTATTTATCCAGTCTACTGTCAATGGGCTTTAGGTTGACTCCATGTCTTTGCTATTGTGAATAATACTGCAATGAATATATGGGCATGCATGTGTCTTTATGGTAGAATGTTTTACATTCCTTTGGGTATATACCTAATAATGGGACTGTGGAGTCAAAAGGTAGTTAGTTCCATTTTAAGTTCTTTGAGAAATTGCCACACTGGAATACACTCCCATTAGCAGTAAATAAACATACCCTTTTCTCTCCAATCTTGTCAGCATCTGTTGTTTTTTGACTTTTAAATATTCATTCTGGCTGTTATGAGATGGCATCTCATTGTGGTTTTGATTTGTATTTCTCTAATGATAAGTGATGTAGAGCATCTTTTCATATACTAGTTGGCCACATATATGTCTACTTTTGAAAAGTGTCTGTTTTTGTCCTTTGCCCACTTTTGAATGGGGTTGTTTTTTGCTTGTTAATTTAAATTTCTTATACATTCTGGATATTACACCTTTGTCAGAAGCATAGTTTGCAATTATTTTCTTTCACTCTTTAGGTTCTCTGTTTGTTGATAGTTTTTGTTTGTTTTGCTATATAGAAGCTCTTTAATTAGGTCCATTTGCCAATTTTTGGCTTTGTTACAATTACTTTTGGTGTCTTCATCATGAAATCTTTGCCAAGTCCCCAGAATGTTTTTTTTTATTTTATCTTCCAGGATTTTTATATTTTAGGCCTTACATTTAAATCTTTAATCTATCTTGAGTTGATTTTTGCATGTGGTATAACGTAGGGGTCCAGTTTCAATCTTCTGCTTATGGCTACCCAGTTATCCCAGCACCATTTATTGAATGAGTAGTCCTCTCCTCATTCCTTGTTTTTGTCAGCTTTGTTGAAGATCAGATGTTTAGGTGTGAGGCATTTTATTCCATTGGTTTGTGTGTCTGTTCTTGTACCTTTAACATGCTGTTTTCATTTCTGTAGACCTGTCAGGTAACATGATACCTCCAGCTGTGCTCTTTTTACCTAGGATTGCCTTCGGTATTCAGGCTTTTTTTTTGTTGCGTATAAATTTTAAAATATGTTTTCTGATCCTCTAAGAATGTAGTTCTTCATTGGTAGTTTGATAGGAATAGCATTGAATCTGTAAATTGCTTTGAGCAAAATGGCCATTTTAAAGATATTGATTCTTCCTATCCATGAACATGGGATGTTTATGCTTTTCTATTTGTTTTGTCATCTCTGATTTTTTTGAGCAGTGGTTTGTAATTCTCATTGTAGAGACTTTTCACCTTCCTGATTAGCTGTATTACTAGATATTTTATTCTTTTTGTGGTGATTGTGAGTGGGATTGCATTCCTGTTTGGCTCTTGGCTTAGATGTTGTTGGTATGTAGGAATGCTACTGATTTTTGTATGTTGCTTTTGTACTCTGAAACTTTGTTGATGTTGTGTATCAGATCAAGGAGCTTTTGGGCAGAGACTATGGGGTTTTCTAGATATAGAATCATGTCATCGGCAAACAGGATAGTTTGACTTTCTCTCTTCCTATTTCTTTCTCCTGCCTGATTGCTGTAGCCAGGGCTTCTAATACTAGTTGAATAGGAATGGTGCAAGGTGGCCTCCTTGTCTTGTGCTGATTTTCAAGAGGAATGCTTCCAGCTTTTGCCTAATCAGTATGATGTTTGTTATAGATGGCTCTTACTATTTTGAAGTATTTTCCTTCATTGCCTAGTTTGTTGAGGGTTTTTAACTTGAAGGGGTGTTGAATTTTATCAAAAGCCTCTTCTGCATCTATTGAGATAATCATGTGGTTTTTATTTTTAGTTCTGTTTATGTGATAAATCACATTATTTGACTTCTATATGTTGAACTAACGTTGCATCCCAGGGATAAAGCCTACAGGATCATGGTGAATGCTTTTTGATGTACTGTTGGATTCAATTTGCTAGTATTTTGTTGAGAATTTTTTGCATTAATGTTAATTGAGGATATCGGCCTTATGTTTTCTTTGTTTGTTGTGTTTCTGCCAGGTTTTGGCATCAGGATGATTCTGGCTCCATAGAATGAGTTGGGGAGGAGCCTGTACTCTTCAATTTTTTTGTAGTAGTTTCACCATTTCTGGTGAAACCAGAAATGGTGCCAGCTATTTGTACATGTGGTAGAATTTGTCTGTGAATCAATTCGTTCCTGAGTTTGGGGTTTTGTTTTTTGGTCTTGGCTTTGGTTTTGGTTGGTAGGCTATCAATTATTGATTCAATTTTGGAGCTCATTATTAATCTGTTCAGGGATTCAGTTTCTTCCTGTTTCAGTCTTGGAAGGGTGTATGTGTTCATGAATTTATCCATTTCTTCTATATTTTCTAGTTTGTGTGCAAGGAGATGTTCATAGTATTCTGATGGATGTTGGAAGTTTTTTAATATTTCTGTGGGGTCAGTGATAATGTATTAATACTTTGTTTTTGCCAACATTGATCTAACTCTTTAAGGAATGTTTTTTATTTTTAAAACATTTTTATTTTTTTGTTGTTGTTGTTGAGATGGAGTCTCACTCTGTCAGGCAGGCTAGAGTGCAGTGGTGTGATCTCGGCTCCTACCACCTCCCAGGTTCAAGCTATTCTCCTGCCTCAGCCTCCCAAGTAGCTGGGATTACAGGTGCCTGCCACCACACCCAGCTAATTTTTGTATTTTTAGTAGAGACAGGGTTTCACCTGTTGAACTCATGATCTCAAATGATCCACTTCCTTAGCCTCCCAAAGTGCTGGGATTACTGGTGCAAGCCACTGCACCCAGCCACAGCAGTGCTTTCTAAAATTCACTTTCCTCTCCTCATGTCCCTGAAACCTACTCTAAAGTTACTCTTCATGACTTTGTATGGCTTTCCTTAACCCTCCCTGGTTCTTTCTCCTTCTGAATTCCTCTTTATTGAATAGATCAACTTAGATTCTCTTGCTTCACCTTGGCCTATTTATTTCTTCTCTCTTTCTGTTTTCAAAAGCTCCATATCCAAGCTGGCAGACAGAGCTCTCCTTTGAGTGCAGGGAAGTAACTCTCATAAAATAAATCTTGTCCTCAAAACACATTCAAAATCACAGAACAATAACTTGAATTTCGTAATCATAGAATTGCAGAAGAATAATTTCCTGTATTTCAAGTTAACTTTAGTCTTGTTGCCTGCTTAGGATGAAGACAAGGAAGAAAGTCTGGAGGAGATATACTATGAGGACATGGAGTCCTTCACAACCTCCAGTGGAAACACTTATTTTGTCTTCATACCCCTGGAAGAAGAAGAGCATTGCAGGAAGTCTCATTCCACCTTCTCAGCCATGTTCATCGGTGACACTTCCAGTGCCAAGTTCATAGAACAAGTGACAATTTCATCAAGACTAATTTTAGAAATTAAGAAACAGTGAGTAGAAAACTTTTATTCTCATCCTGTTGTTCTGAGTTTTGTTAGCAAGGTGAAATATTGTGAAAAAAAAGTCCCAGTTGGATAAAGAAAAAATTGTAGGTAACTGAAGGAAGGTAGGGGTGAGAAACACAATAAAAAATAGCAAAATCCAGGAATTATTTGCAGTTCCAGATATCTTCTGAAAGAGTGATCCCCTGCACCCACCTCAGGAGGCTCTCTGCTGGCTTGGGCCTTGGACATGAGATACAGTATTTTCTCTGCCACATACTTCTGGTTTCTAGTTCCTGGAACATCTCTAATCTTAAGGTTTCTTTTCTTTTTTTATTTTAACTCTATAGCTATACACCATACATATAAATATATCACATATTGCATTTTGTACTTAATACGTGCAAAACATAAGAATGGCACTCTTCACTCATTGAGTGTGTTCATGTCCATCGCTAGATACTACCAAAGAGTTTCATTGCAGAAAATACAAGAATAATGAAAAATAGAGAAATGACCCATAATCCTACCACGGATAATTTACTTCTCCTAACTCCCAAGTTTTTGGGCCTTTGTGTTTGAGTTTGGATCAAATGTGTATATCTGTGTTTGCCTTTTAAATGACATTCTCCTTGTCCTCCTGCCTCTACAGTGTCATAGGAGGACTCATCAGCTAGAGACCTCCTGGTTCATTTACCTCCCATATGTATACATGGGCAGGAGGGCAGAGATAAGGAATGAAAGGAGTGCAGTCAGGCCTCTGGGCTTTTTCTCCTACACCTCAGCAGCATCTCACCTTGGAAATGTCTCTTGACTCAAATGTCATCCCTTTCCTTCCTCTACCACATGGAGAGGCCATCATCTGCCTTCTTCATAGCAGATAGGACAAAGATCAGCAAAGACTACCACAGGAGCTATTATTTACTGAATGTATTTAAATCCCCTTAATAACTGTGAGAGAGGTGCCATAACTAACTCCATTTACAGATGAGGAAACTGAGGCTCAGAGAGTTAGTCATTTGGCCTAGATCTCCAGGACAGAAAGCAGTTTGATCCAAGATATGAGTCCAGACAGACCCTGTAACTCCAGAATCTTGCACCAGCCACTATGCCATCTGGCCTTATGACTAACCAGAAAACAATTTATCTGTCCAACTAATTAGGTTTGCATACTGAGGAATAATATGCATTCATAAAAGTATGAAAGTCACAAGTGTATAGCCCAATAAATTGCCCAAATAGGACACAGTAGATACCCTAAGCCCACAAGAAATAGAACCATTACCAACCCTCCAGGAACCCACTTAGTGTACCCATCCCAAGTCACCACTATCTCTTCCCCAAAGATAACAAATATTATAACTTCTGAGTTCATTTTGCTTATTTTTGAATTTTACCTATGTTAAGTCATACAGAACTCACTCTTTATTATGTTTATGAGATATATATATTCTTGAATGTAGCTAGAGATCAGTTTTTATTTCTGTATGGTATCTCATTATAAAAAAATATATAATCTATTTTATTTATCCACTTTACCGATACACATTTGGTCTTTCCAATTTGGCGATATACCAATAATGTTGCTCCGAACATTCTTGTACAAGTCTTCTGGTGACTATATGTATACATTTCTGTGACATATGCAACTAAGAGTGGAACTGTTGACTTATAGGATGTGTGTCCATATCCATCTTTAGGTGATATGGCCAAAAGATACTACCAAGGAGTTTTCAAAAGTGGTTTTAACAGTTTTAGAGTTTACAACAGCATATGAGAACTTCAGTTGCTCCACAACCTCAGTGGTATTATCAGTAGTTTTTATTTTAGCTGTTCTGGTGTAATTATAGTGGTGTTTCATTGGGGTTTTAATATGTATTATCCTGATGAGTAATGTGATTAGATACCTTTTAAAATACGCATTGGGCCATTTGGTTATCTTTTTGTGAAATGCCTAGCAAAATCTTTTGCCTATTATTTTTCTGGTCAATTGTCTGACCTTTTTCTTATTAATTTATGGGAATTAATTCTATAGCCGGGCGTGGTGCATGCCTGTAATCCCAGCTATTCAGGAGGCTAAGGCAGGAGAATTGCCCGAACCCAGGAGGCAGAGGTTACAGTGAACCAAGATAGTGCTGCTGCACTGCAGACTGGGAGACAGAGTGAGACTTCATCTCAAACAAACAAAAATTGAGTTATATATTCTGTATGAGGCTTTGTCAGGTAAATAAATGGTAAATATTCATCTTCTCTCTGTGCTTACCTTTTTTACTCTCTTTCAAGATATATCTTTTGATGAACATAAGTTCTTATTTCTAATAAGGTCCAATTCATCAATTTTTCTATTAGGGTTAATTTGCTTTGTGCCTTATCTAAGAAATTTTTGCCTGACCACAAGGACATGGAGATGTTCTCCAATGTTATATATTTAAAATGTTATTGTTTTCAACTTCCATAGTGACATCTACAATCCACCTGGTATTGATTTTTGTTTATCACGTGAAATAGGGGTCAAGATCCATTTCTTTCCCATATAGATAACCAGTTGATCCTGGGTCACTTAATGAGGAGTCTCTCCTCTCCCCCACTTCTCTGCCATATGTCTTTTCCAGTTTTCTATGTGTCTATCCAATGACCTCACGCTGCTTGATCACTACAGCTTTACACTAAGTCTTAATATCTGATAGTGTAAGTCCTCCAGCTTTAGTCTTCTCCCTCCATTATTCTTGGCATAAAATGTATTTCTACATACATTTTAAAATTAGCTCAAGTTTCCATAAGAGGATGTCTGCTGCTATGTTGTTTCTTGTTATTACATTGAATCTATAGATCAGTTTTTGGAAACTGACATCCTTAACAATACATGGCCAAGAAAGCACCACAAATTTTTAAAAAGAAGAGGCAATAATTTCTTTCTTCCAAATAATTTCTGCTGAGGAACAATATTTGCAACTTACATGAAAGTCAATGAGCATCATGTCCCCAGTATATGAAGAGCTCCTGGAAACTGATTTGTAAAAAAAAAAACAGCTATTCACAACAGAGAAATGGGCAAGACATTCAGGGACAGTACACAGAAAGGTTTTTGTTTTGAGGCAAGGCCTCACTCTGTTACCTAGGCTGGAGTTCAGTGGTGTGACTCACTGCAGCCTTGACCTTCTGAGTAGATGGGACCTTGGGTACATGTCACCATGCCCAGCTAATTTTTTAAGTATTTTGTAGAGATGGGTTCTCACCATGTTGTCCAGGCTGGTCTCGAACTCCTAGGTTCAAGCAATCCTCCTGCGTCAGTCTCCCAAAGTGCTGGGATTGTAGGCATGAGCCACAGCACCCAGACTGAATAATCTTAAACACATGAAAATATGCTCAGTCTTAATCATAATATGACAAAATTGTCAAATTTGGAAGTCTGACAATACACTCTGAGACTGTGGAGAAACAGGAACTATTATTCATTGCTGATGGGAATACAACTTGCTTTCCAGTGGAAACAGTTTGGCCATATCTGCCAAAACCACAAATGTATTTTAATCTTTGATTCAGCAATTCCAGTTCAAGGTCATTTATCCAAAGAAACACTTCTACATTTGGCATACATAATGTTCTCCAGCAGTAGTACGGTTAAATGAGCAATGGTCCATTTACATGATGAAATGCAATGTAGTCGGGAAATGAAATGAGGAAGGAGCAAAAGGGGGAAGCACTTTGGGTCTCCACATGTAAAGACCTCTCATGGGTCATGACTGCTGGCAGGGCTGACCCTGGCTGGTCTCTCCCTCAGACTTCGAGCTGGCTTCTTCGAGCACCTTGAGAAGTGGTTTGACCAGTGTTCCCTCAACACCCGGGTCATCGTGGCCACCAAGATTGATGAGCTGGATTCAGAACTGGAACTGTGTCTACACCTGCACCAGCCAAGAGCCCAGCAGATTGAAGAGGATATCCACAATGTCAGGGCAGGTACAGATGCTGCCTGGGAAGGTCTGCCCTGCCCCCAGCCCCTCCTTCAGTGCCTGCTCCACCGAGGCTCCGTGTTCATTAGTTGCCCCAGTTTGTACCATGCAATGTTTAGCATATTCTCATCACACCATGGAACGTGTGCATGAGAGTTCTCACCTCCTGGGCTTACAGAGAAAGGTAGTACTCAGAATCCTCCTGTGAGATATTTTTTTTTCATTTCCATTTTTTTTTCAAGAGAGTGTTAGAGTTGGAAATGAAGAGTGTTGTACTGTTTTAGCTCTAGGACCTCAGATATGCTCATACACCTGTCAGATATACACCTGCATGGTGGATGTTCTAGAGGCAAGCTCATAGCTCACAGATTAGAGCTCTCAGTCTCATCTCCTGTGACTGTGTGACCCTGTACAGGTTACCTGAACTCTCTGACCCCTCTCTCTCCTGTAGAAGGGGTTGATGGAGGTGTTAAGGAGGTGGTAATAACCCCTCTTTAAATGGTATAGTAAGGAATCATGAGCACCTGGTACAAGATACAGCCTCCAAAAGTGGTAGCCATTACTTCTACTTTATCATTTATCATACTTAAAAAGGCATGCATTGCACACCTACATGGTGAGCTCTGTTAATGGAGGGGGGCATGTTTTCACTAGGATCCTTCAATGACTTCTGTTGGTTTTTCACCCAAATTATACTCCAACTCCTTCAAAGCCCTTTATCAGAGAGCCCTGTCATGAACCCGTGCAGACTTCTATTCCTGGAGCAGGGAAAGAGTTGTGCAAGTTGACAGCTGGCCTTGAATCCCAGTGCTTGTGGGCTCAGGCAACTCGTGTGGCATTTGGAACCTCATCGTTCTCATCTGGAAAATGTGTGTGCTAAATGCACTGAGGAATAAAGACGATTCTACGTGCACTGAGTAGAAGCTCCCTGAAGGTTGGCTCCCTTTCCTTCCCAGGCCCCCGGCCCCATATACAGCGAGGAAAACAAGGCCAGAGAAGTGAAGTCCCAGCTTCACACCATTCATTTTTGGCAGCCCTGGGACCACAGCACTTCTCCCACTTCAGATGATAGTGGGGTCAGATGGGGGACAGGGTGGGGTCTGGGGACTCTCTGCTCATCTAAAGGCCTGTGATGGAGCCCTGGAAGCCCAGTCCTTGTTCTTTCCAGTCCACCTTGGAAGACAGTTGGAATTCAGGCTCACTGGACATTAGTATCCACTGATATAATGAAGCAAACCCAGACCGCTCAGTACTGTACTTGCTGTTATCCTCCCCCCTCCCAGACCCTCTCATGTAGATCTCAGCCCTCCCCAGTACCCCCTGTGCAAGCTGCCTCCTGCTCAGCTACTCCCCAGACTCTCCATCTCCCTGGCTTTGTTCCCTCTGCTCTGGGCAGGGTGTCTCCACCAACAGGAGCTCCCTGCTCATGGCCAGGTCTCCTCTATAGCCCAAGCCCTGACGAGGGCAACAGGGGCAGGACAAGGGGCCTTGACCTAAATCATTCCTGTTCTTCAGCTGGCCTGGGAGAGGCAGCAGGCGGGCCTTGTTCCGGAAAGCAATGTGTTGAGGTGAGTCGGGTCCCAGGGGCCCCAGCTCTCCTAATCCTTTTTCAGCCGAGCTCTTGCTTCATCAAGAGCGGTTGGACAGCCACTGTGCTGGGGTGACCGAGACGCTGAAGAAGGAGTGGCTGATGTTCTGCCAGTTCCAAGAAGAGCAAAACATGAGGAGCAAAAACTTCTGCCTCAGGATTTATGACATGGAGCACATCTTCTTGAATGCTACCAGGAGCCAAAAGTAAGGGGTCCTGGGAGTCTCCATCCCAGCTATGTGGCTCTGGAATCCCAGCTAGGCTGATGTTTTCAAAGGAGCCACCCTCCCTGCAGACACAGGAGCATAAGGCACCTCCAGAGCCTTCTTTGAGTTAAACTCTTAAGAGAGTCAAGTCAAACTCTATATGGAATATTGCTTGGGAAGACAGGGAATGAGCAGCCAGAGAGCAAAGAATACATGCAGTCACCATGCAAGGGTGCAAACCATGTGCTATGAAATATCAGTGATGGGGAAGATCATGTCCCCTCAGGGAAAATCAGGGAGGGCTTCCTGAAGGAGACAGCATTGAAGGTGAATTCAGAGGAGCCCTGAATGGAGAAAGATGGGAGAGGGTTGAGTTCCGCAATCAGGGAAAGAGCACTGGACCAGCTCAGTGCAGGAGTGTGCTCAGGCCAGAGCACACTCAGCAAGGAGCTCTAGAGAGGCCATTTGGGATATAAGATGGAAGCCTCAGGCAGGTCACAGGGAGGAGGCTGGCAAGTGTCTACACAGCCATCAGGTACATGAGGAACAGCTGGTTCTGGTGGACTTGGATATAAAAAGGACACACACATGGCAATTTTTTGGGGGAGCCACCTTGCTGGGGGTCAGACACAGCCCACTGGAGCAGGGTTCTGGAATTCTTTCACTAATTTGATGGCAAGGGTCAGAGAGAGAAGGATCCTCTCTGATCCAGCACACCCAGAGTGTGTCCTGCAGACACTGGAATTCTGAACTTCCTTCTACTGCCCCCTTTGCTACCCAGAGGAGCTGGCAGCTGGGTACAGCTTATGGAGCCCAAATAGACTCCCAGGATGTCCTCTTTCCAGGCCCAGGTCACTACCCTGCCCTCTCATGCCCCCCAGGAAGGTCACCTATCACCACCTGCCCCTCCCATGTCCCCAGGCTGGTCACCATCCCCACCGTCCCTCCTGTGTCCCCAGGCTCATTATTATCATGACCTGCCCCTCCCTTGTCACCCAAGGTGGTCACCATCACCACCTGTCCCTCCTGTGTCCCCCAGGCTGGTCACCATCCTCACCTGCCCCTCCCACATCCCCCAGGCTGGTCACCATCCTCACTTGCCCCTCCCACATCCCCCAGGCTGGTCACCATCCTCACCTGCCCCTCCCACATCCCCCAGGCTGGTCACCATCACCACCTGCTCCTCCCACATCCCCCAGGCTGGTCACCATCCTCACCTGCCCCTCCTACATCCCCCAGGCTGGTCACCATCCCACCTACCCCTCCCCCATCCCCCAGGTTTGTCCCCCATCACTGTCCTCTTCCTCCTTTGTCTCCCACAGGCTGGTCATTCTCAGCAACACACTGCACCGGGAGTTGCTTAGCTATGTCGATGTTACCCAGGTGTCCTTACGCAGCTTCCGGCAGTACTTGGAGGAGAGTCTGGGCAAACTCCGCACCTCAAATACTGAGTTCATCAAACACTGCAGGTGGGAGCCATTGTCCAGGACCTCCTCAGGCCACCTGAGTTTCTCCGTTGGGATGTGGGCTTGTTTCTCCCTTAATTTTTAATTTTGACAAAACATACATAACCTCAAACTTACTGTCTTAACCATTTTTAGGTACACGAATCAGTGGCATTAAGGATATCCTGGTTGTTGTGCTACCGTCACCACCATTGGTCACCAGAACTTTTTCATCTTCCCAAACTGAATCTCTGTATTAAATAAGAACTCCTCATTCCTCCCTCTCCACAGTCCCTGGCAACCACCATCCTGCTCTGTGTTTCTGTGAATTTGAAACCTCTAGGTACCTCATATAAGTGGAATCATATATTTGTCCTTTTCTTGTCTGGCTTATTTCATTTATCATAGTGTCTTCAAGGTTCATCTGTGTTGTATCATGTATCACAAAATTATTCCTTTCTAAGGCTGAATAATGTTCCATTGTATGCATATATCACATTTTGTTTACCCATTCATCCATTGATGGGCATTTGGGTTGTTTCCACCTTTTGACTATTGTGAATAATGGTGATAGGAACATTGGTGTACAAATACCTGTTCAAGGTCCTGGTTTTAGTTATTTTGGGTATTGCTGAATTAAATGGTACTTCTACGTTTAGTTTTTAGAGAAACCATGGTACTGTTTCTACAGCAGCTGCACCAGATTGATTCTCACCAGCAGTGCACAAGGGTTCCAGTTTTCCTACATTATCACCAATGCTGTTACTTTCTGGCATTTTTTGTTTTTGATGATAGACCTCTTAATGGGCGTGAAGTGGTACTGTGTTGTGGTTTTGATTTGCATTTCCTTGATGATTAATGATGTTAACCTTTATGTATGTTTATTGGCCACTCTTTCCCCTTATTTTTACTCCTGCAACCTTTATCCTGGATGACAGTAATCCTGGATTTAGTCTTTGACATTTATGAAGGCTATATTTATTTTTTAAGGCTTATGCTATTTTAAAATCACAAATCTTCTAATCACTGTAGCATAATCAAACACAGTTTTTATATAAAGTACAAAGTGGAAGCCCTCCAAAAATGTATTTTCTTTGTGCCTGTACTCATGTATACATGAGCAAAAAATTGATAGTATTGTACAGAAATGGAACCCTAGTACACATGCTGACCCACAGTCCCCACTACCACCATCACCAAACCAAGGTGATTTAGGGACTAAAGGAATTTCCTTTCCATCCCTGAAGTTTCAATAATTTGAGCCAATAAAACAAGGTCAGATGTGGTGGCTTATGCCTGTAATCCCAGCACTTTGGGAGTCCGAGGCCAGCAGATCACCTGAGATCAGGAGTTAGACCAGCCTGGCCAACATGGAGAAACCCCATCTCTACTAAAAATACAAAAATTAGCTCAGAGTGGTGGCGGGAACCTGTAATCCCAGCTACTTGGGAGGTTGAGGTAGGAGAATCACTTGAACCTGGGAGGTAGAGGTTTCCATGAGCTGAGATCACACCACTGCACTCCAGCCTGGGAGACAGAGCAAGACTCCATCTCTTCCAAAAAAAAAAATAAATAAATAAAGGCAATAAACAGATTAATGGGAAAAAGGCACACCAATTTATTAACATGCAAGTGTTTAGGAGTCACACAAAGTTTGAAACTCAAACAAAGGCCAGATGGTAGAAGCTTAAATATCCTCTTCAGAAGGGAGTGAGAAATGGGAGATACAGAAAATTTTAGAGGAAGAGAAAATGATGTTTAGGGGAGATTAATGGACCCAAAGAACAGACAATAGCCTGGGACCAATTCTGTCCGGGCTCTGGGCACGGTATCAACTCCAGTCTTCCTTCCTGCAACTATGCATCAGTTTCTCCGGTGGATAAGCTCTCTGGGGAAGGGGTTCACAACAGTTGAGTATCTTCTGGAGGATCCAGCCTTAGGTTGATAGGCAAACTTTAGAGAAATCTCTTCCCTGCATTTGCTGCTCCCCAGGCACTCTCTGTTTGAAGTTTAAAGCAGCACATTTTTGTGTATCATTTTCTGAGCCCTAACCGTGGGCACCTTCCATGTCAGTATCTGCAAAGCTTACATTTGTTTTAAATATTATTAAGATTTTTCTGATTATATAGATTTTTTAAAGAAAATTTGGAAAGTAGCAGAAACTAGAACTATAATTTGACATGTTAATCATCTCTATCTTGCCTGTCTCTACATCAGCCTTGCATATTTTAGCTTCATTCTAGCTAATTTCTTTATAATCTTCTTGCTAGTCACTGATTCACTCTATAACTGTGTTGAACCCCCTGCAAATCTATTCACTGAGTTTTCAATTTTAATGATTATAGTTTCCATTTGTATATACACACATGTATATATGTGTATATACATACAAAAATACATATACATATAAAAAATTTTTTGAGACATTCTTGCTCTCTCAACCAGGCTGGAGTGCAGTGGCGTGATCTCGGCTCACTGTAACCTCCATCTCCTGGGCTCAAGCTATTCTCCTGCCTCAGCATCCCGAGTAGTTGGGACTACAGGCATGCGCCACTATGCCCAGGTAATTTTTGTATTTTTAGTAGAGACAGGGCTTCACCATATTGGCCAAGCTGGTCTTGAACTCCTGACTTCAAGTCATCCACCTGTCTCGGCCTCCCAAAGTGCTGGGATTATAGGTGTGAGCTACCACCCTCGGTCCATTTGTAGTTATATTTGATACTTTTTCAAAACTGCCTGTTCCTTCCTCATATTTCGAAGCTTTTTATTTCTCTAAACATCTTAAGCCTAGTTATTTTGTAGTTTATATCTGATATTTCTAATCTGAGGGTTTGGTGGGAGGTCCGTCTCTGTTCTCTGTTGTTTTACTCGTTCTCATGTATGGTATCTTGTATCTTGTTTCCTTATCAATTTTTCAAACTATGAGTCACTCATTTTCTTTGGGACTTCATCTGTGGCATTCTTTGAGGCCTGGACTGGACATTGCATTCCTTCAGAGAGAATCCCTATTTGTTTCTGCTGGGTAGCCAAGGGGGCACTACCTATCCAGGACCAATTAGAATTCTCTGAGTTTTTTTGGGTTACTCCAGAGGATATGAATTCAGTTTGTAAATGTATGTGAAGTCTAGTTTGTGTGATGAATTTTCAGGGAAGAGATATCTTTTCTTTCCTCCTTGCCCTCGGATCTAGACAGGAGAGAGTCCTGGAATCTGGTGAGGCTCGTTTCTTCCTCTGTCTCATAATGCAATGGTTGTCCTCTGCATCCAGCTCCAGGCTATCCCTTCACCTGTGCAGTCATCAAGACTGAATTCCAAGTCTCTGGTGCAAAGTTTTGGCTTCTGGTGCCACCCACATTCCAAGGTCCCTTCTAGTTTCACTTCATCTGGAATTCTTTTTTTTTTTTTTTTAAGAGTCTTCCTCTGTCACCCAGGGTAGAGTACAGTGGTGCAGTCTCAGCTCACTACAACCACTGCCTCCTGGGCTCCAGAAGTCCTCCCATCTTCACCAAGTAGCTGGGATCACAGGTGCACACCACCACACCTGGCTAATTTTTTTACTTTTTATAGAGACAGGGTTATGCTATGTTGCCCAGGCTAATCTTGAACTCCTGGCCTCAAGTGATTCGCCTGCCTCAGCCTCCCAAACTGCTGGGATTACAGGCATGAGCCACTGCGCCCAGCCAGTTCATGAAGAATTCTTACCTTTACATAGCTTCAAAAAAACTATTTTTATTTTGAATTTTGTTTCAGTTGGGTCTATTAAGGCCTCCAACCTGACAAACTGACAAAAACAGAGATTCTGCACTGTTGATGAATCCTACTCCTGTCCTTAAGCCATCTGCACTCATTTTCCCATCATCTCAGACTCTAACCTGAAGCCTAGATTAAAAGTATATGTTAGCCACAGTATTTGGGAGAGATGGGAACTCTCAGGTCTGATCTGTGGCTTTTATTTCTCACTGATTATTTTCAGATTGTTTTCAGAGGGAGGCAACTTTTCTCCTAAAGAAATCAATTCACTGTGTCGTCGACTGGAGAAGGAAACCACCCGGATAGAGTTAGTTGAAAGTATAATCATGGTCAACATGGAGAAGATGGAGAATGAGTACCTGGACCAGGTGAGGCCCCCAGCCAGGCCCCAGGCCAACCCCTTCTGCAGTATCCCTTGCTCAGCTCCCTCTAAAGGGAGGGCCAAGCAGTCATCCAACCATTCACTGGGCCTGTCCCCTTCCTCTTTCAGAGTCCAAAAGGTCCAGATTAAGCCCCTGTCCTTTACCCTTTATCTCTCTGTACAGGCCAATGATGTCATCAACAAGTTCGAAAGCAAATTCCATAACCTGTCCGTGGACCTTATTTTCATAGAGAAAATCCAGCGGTTGCTGACAAATCTGCAAGTGAACATCAAGTGCCAGGTAGGATAGATTCATTCTTCATCAAGGATCTTTATCACACACACCTGCACACTAGGCACTGTCCCAGGTTCTGGGAGGCCATGTGGTCTCTGTCATGTGTGTGGGACTTGCTCTCAAGCCAGGAAGACAGACACAATTTTTTTTTGAGACAGGGTCTCACTCTGACCCAGGCTGGAGTGCAGTGGTGTGAACACAGCTCACTGCAGCCTCTACTCCCAGGGTTCAAGCGATCCTCCAACCTCAGCCCCACAAGTAGCTGGTAGTTCCAGCCAGCAGTCACATACCACCACGCCCAGCTAATTTTTTCTATTTTTTGTAGAGATGGGGTCTCCCTATGTTGCCCAGGCTGGTCTTGGATACCTGAGCTCAAGCGATCCTCCCACCTCAACTTCCCAAAGTGCTGGGAATACAGACGTGAGCCACTGCGCCTGGTCAAAAATGAAATCTTAATAACTGCAAATATTTACTAGTTATTGAGCACCATGCATCCTGCTACCCAACTTATTTCTATTAGCTGTCTTAGTCCTCATAAGAACTATGGGAGGCAAGTACTGTTTTTATCCCCATTTTAGAGATAAACTGAGGAGCATTTTAGTGACTTAGGTAGGAATACAGAGCTCTTCTTGAAGGGTAAAGTCAAAACAAGAACCCAGGTCTGACCGACACCAGAGCTTATGGCCATAACCACAAACAGACCATCTGTGCAACAGAAGGAGAAGGTGGCTCTGTGGGGATGAAGGGGCTCGGAGGCAAAGACTTAAACCACGGACTAAGGTCCCAGCCTCCTGCCCCCTTTTGCCCCAGGAAGTGTTTAATTCATCCATCTGTGAAATGGGACTCATAAAAGCAATTCCTAATATCATGACACCAATAAATGAGCTGATACGTGCCAAACTCATAACATAGTCCCTGGAGCATAGTGAATCCTCAGTGAAGGCAGGCTCTGGTAGAGGCCCCAGAAGAACCTCTCAGTCATTCCAGAAGTAGCAGGAGGCAGCAGCAAGGAGCAGAGCCCACAGCTCCATGGCATGTAACTGCACTCTTGTTTGAGGAGCATATTCCTAATGAGCCTCCAGCTGGTGCTGGCACTGATTCTTTTTTCTGAGCTGCTATTTGGGAACTGTTCACAGGGTACAGGGTTTGCATTTCAAAATATCTAACACCCATGATAAACAAAATACATTTCCATCATGGACAATATTGGAAATATATACCAAATACATAACAGAGAGTAATCTATAATTCTACCACATAGCATAACCCCTGTTTAAGATTATGATTTATTTGTTAAGCTTCTTTTCTATACATGAAAAGATGGTGATATGCTAAAATTGGCTGCTTGCTATTTATACCAGTTTTATAAGCTGTATAATCTTTAAATATTCTGCAAAGACACTATTTTGATGGCTTCTCTGTCATGGATGTGTTGACATTTTTACTTAAGCATTCCTTTCTGGAGGAAAACTTGGTGAATTTTGCTTCTTGTTATGAAAGGTGGTACTGTGAGAAGTGCCCTTGCCAGGACAATCTGACCACATCCTTAGGACCCCTCCTGGAAGCCACAGTCCTGGGTCGGAGCATGACTTTCCACAGTTCTCTAAGCCCTCCAGGGAGTTTTTACAGCCTTGGCCCTGCACTGCTGGAGCAGAGCATGGTCTCCCAACTCTCTCAGCACACTCTGGGGTGCCAATTTTGCTTGAACCTTACTTATTTGAGAGGGGGGAAAATTGTTTCAATGCAATAAAACCGCATATCTTCCCCTGATTTCATTTTTCTCAGGGTTTAATCAGTTTCTCAGATGGTATGTTTCACTGAACATTTCCCAGATCACAATATGTATTCTAGAAACAAAATCTCGGAACCTCTGGTATTCTAGGTGGCAAAATCCAATTCGCAAACAAACGGATTAAATTTTTCTCTGCAACAGCTTCAGAGCAAGATAAAAACGTGTCAAGAGTCCAGGGGAGAGAAAACCGTAAGTGTTCAATAGATCCTGCATGTGAATAATAAAGATATATCATGCTAGAATCATAAACTTGAAATAAACTTACCTGTATGTACAGGATTTCTCCAGCACAATGTTGGTGGGGTGGGGCAGGGACATCTCCGAGCCTTCCTACTTAACCCCTGTTTCATGGAATGAAGAAAGGAACAGAAGAGAAAGCAGTCACTGTTTTCCACCCCCAGCCCCTCCCAGGTAGGCATGGAGCAGCAGCATCTCCCCAGTGATGGGGAGGCCTGAGTCTGGCTTCCTCTGACCTCACTCCATTGGGATGTCACTAGGTATCCCTTGCTATAAGGAGAACTCAGTTCTGGATGCATGACAGAAGCAGGGCCCTGCCCCATGAACAACTGCTTTTTGTCTGACTTTACACTTGCTATTTTTTTTTTTTTTTTTTGAGACGGAGTTTCGCTCTGTTATCCAGGCTGGAGTGCAGTGTGCAGTGGCACAATCTCAGCTCACTGCAACCTCCAGCTCCAGGATTCAAGTGATTCTACTCAGCCTCCTGAGTAGCTGGGGCTACAGGCACCTGCCACCACGCTGGCTAATTTTTGTATTTTTAGTAGAGACAGGATTTCACCACGTTGGTCATGCTGGTCTCAAACTCCTGACTTCAAGTGATCTGCCCGAGCTGGCCTTCCAAAGTGCTAGGATTACAGGTGTGAGCCACCACACTCGGCCCTACTTGCTTCCTTTGGTCATAGCACAGAAACTGGTTTTCTCTGTTTAAAGTGTGGAAAGTCAGAATTGGAGCAGAGTTTGCAGGGAGCATGATTCCAAGTGTCTACCAGGCCCTGATTCTCAGAGCAGGGTTCTGGGTGTCTAGTGCTTGTTTTTCTGCCATGAGTGCACGACTCTATCCCCCAGTCTGCACAGTGAAGGACAGCACACCCTTCACTGATGGGAACCTCAGGAGTTCTCTTCCTGGATCTGCAGCTTCAACTCTGGGCAAATGACTTAAACTTGCTCCATTCGGTCTTCCCTGGCCTGTCACCCAGACCACTCCAGGGAACCTTTCCTCAGCAGCCCAGCCAGGTGCCCCCCCGAACCAGACACCCCAGCCTGAAGGTTCAGGAGTGGGAAGCTTCCTCCTCACCATTCCCTGTCTTTTCTCTACCATTTCAGTGACTCTGAGTTGCAGTTCTATTGTTAGCACTGAGAGCACATCTATTTTTCTGTCTTTATTGCTTTTTCTTACATAGTATATTGCATGACTCTTGAAAAAAGTGTAAACACTCACAAAGCATAGTTTGCAGAATAAATGTCCCTCTCACTATTCTCATTTTCCACAGAGACCCTCTAAACCTGCTTATGTATATGCATGCACATGTTTCTACACATCCACTCAGATTACTTGCCCTGCAGTGCAGATGTGCAGAGGAAAGGTAGTCCCTATATTTTGTCCGTGACTTACCTGGTCTCCCTTGTGAGCCTCCTAAATGGGGAGCAGGGGGAAAATGCGTTTAATCAGCTGTGACTTTTCAACAGGCTCTTTAAGGCAGAAGCGTCCAGTCTCTCACATCCCCGCCTCCCAACCCCTGCTCTGTCCTCTCCTGTTAGGGGCTTGGGTGGGTGCCAGGGGCCACCCAACCTCCCAGCCAAGTGAGGAGCATGTGAGTATGGGTGTGCAGGCATTCCTATGTTGATGGAGGAGGCTGGCTGGACAGTCTGCAAAGCAGTGATCAGGGGACAAGAGTGATGCCTGGAATATGTGGCGAGAGGGAAGATCCTTGTAGTCGCATTCCTACACACCTGTGGGGTGCTGCTCTGAGGGGGTGCGTGTTAGATGTTGCCATGGAGATGGCTAGATCACTCTACTACACACTCCCGCACACCCTTGCCACCTGGGTCAAATGTTTCCTTCTTTTTTTTTTTTTTTTTTTTAATGAATTGGAGGTTTCAGTGGGACAGGAGAATCACAAGGAATCAGGTGTTCAGAGGAATGTATTGAGTAGAGGTGAGGAACGAGGATGTTGAAAAGTAAAAAAAGGAGAGAAGGAGAGGAAGAAAGAGGAAGAAAAAGAGGGAGAGAGAACAGGAATATTGCTTCATTCTAAAAATGGGTATTAATAATGGCTGATCAATATTTTGTGTATTTAAAATTGAGAACTCTATAAATATTTATTGAGTTTACTTGTTCCAATATTCAACATACTTAAAGAACAGAACTTTCAGCCTAGAATCTCATATCCCGCCAAACTAAGCTTCACAATTGAAGGAAAAATAAAATCTTTTATGAACAAGCAAGTACTCAGAGATTTTATTACCACCAAGCCTGCTTTACAAGAACTTCTGAAAGAAGCATTATACATAGAAAGGAACAACCAGTATGAGCCTTTCTAAAAATATACCAAAAAGTAAAGAGCATTAACATAAAGAAGAATTTACATCAATGAATGGATAAAATTGCCAGTTAACATCAAATGGCAATAACCCTAAATTTAAATCTACTAAATCCCCCAATCAAAAGATACAGCCAAAACCTAACGGTATATCCAAAGATACACAAAGACTCAAAACAAAGGGTTGGAGAAAAATTTACCAACCAAATGGAGAGCAAAAATAAATAAATAAACAAAAAGCAGGAGTTGCAATTCTCACATTTGATAAAATAGATTTCAAAGCAACAAAGATATAGCGGTAAAAGGATCAATGAAACAATAAGAGATCTTAATACCCAGATACATAAGACCCATAACGAGATTTAGACTCAACGAGACAGAAAATTAATAAGGATATCCAGGACTTCAACTCAGATCCAGAACAAGTGTTTCCTTCTAAACATAGAATGTTAGAGCCAGAGAAGATCCTAAGGAATATTTTGTGTCAGCATCTTACAGATGGGGAGACCAAGTTGAGCAAGTGTAAGTCATCTGCCCAGCATTGAACCCGTAGATCTAGGAAGAGAACAACCGTTGTCCCCATCAGTGAAGGATGCACTGTCCTTCACTGTGAAGTAAAGACCACCAGCAGAGCCAGCCCAGCCTTCCCCACTCCCCAGGGCCCTCCCTGCACATGAGGAGCCTCCATCAAACCAACAGGCATCCTCACCAGCCCAGCCCCTGTTCCTGCAGTTCCCACAGAATCTGCCCATCCTCCTGGGGCTTTCTTCCTCCCTGTTCTCACTAGATGGTGACCACAGAAGAACTCCTCGGCTTCATCCAAACTTGGAAAGAAAAACTCAGCCAGAGGATTCAGTACCTCAACTGCAGCCTGGACAGGTTGTCCATGACTGAACTGGTCTTCACTGTAAGGAACGGGATGGGATGGCAGGAAAGGGTGGGTGAGCTGTTGTCCAGGCTCCCAGGAGACCCGCAGGGCTCAGCAGAGCCAAAGGGAAGAGGGGACTTCCAGGCTTCTGCTGGACATCAGGTCTACTGAGATGCCATGGAAAGATCACAAGCTGTGAAATCAGAGCTGGATTCTAATCCCCAGTGGGCCACTTCCCTTGCATTCGTCTCAGAGGAGACCCCTCAGCTCCTGGCACTACCTCCCCTGCTCCATCAGGACCCTCACCCACCATATCCACAGGCTCTCAGGCCAGCCCCACCTCTCAGCCTCTTCCTTCCCACCTGCACCCAGGAGCAGCCCGGGCTTCTCCCCATGCCATCCCCAACACCTCATCCAGACCCCCTGCCTCTTGCCTGCCTAGTGCCCACATCCTCTCACGTCTCCCATGGTACATTCCCCGAACATGGTTGGAAGAGGCTGGTCTGACCATGTCACTCTCCTACCCTTGGGGAAAAGTCCACACCCCTTCACTGGACACACAGCAGCCTCCATGGTTTGTCCTCCATGCCTCTTCATCCCTCTCACTCTGCCTGTGATGTCACTCCCCACTTAGACTCCTCTTACCCGTTGGACTAGTTTGGGGTCTCCTGGCCTGTAGTCCAGCCTCACTTCCCTGTCAGCCTACAGACCACATGGTGGGGGTCTCCATTTTGTAGGCTGTCTGCCCTGAGACTGCAAGCCTCTATGGGCAGAGCCTGCATCACCTCCACACCTGCACACTCCTCACACTGGGCTGAGATGCTCAGTGAACTTCTGGAAGGCCCCAGGAGCTGATGGCTGCGGAGTAGAGCACTGCTAGGCCCTGCTCTCACCACCAAGCCTTGACTGGCCTGCCTTCTGTGAGGAGGCCCTTCCCACCATGCAGCCAGCATGAGGCATCCATCTACCTCTGGTGGGGTGTCCAGCAGCATGGGGCTCCAAGGGTCCAGCCTAGGACCTTCGCTCAAGGGATTGACAGGCCATCACTAAGATGAGACTCAGAATGAAACAGGGAACAGCCTAGGCACTGTGGGCACCAATTCCACCCTTTCTCTAAGAGCCTGCTCAAGGGGAGTTGGCCACTCACTCAGCCCAGCATTCATTCCCCTGATCCTTTGGTCAAAAACACTGACCAGGCACATCTGCAGGTCTCATTTCAATCTCATAGAAGATGCTGGAACTTTTCTTTCACAGTACTGGTTCCAGTTTTAGAGAAGCATTTATTGGTATGAGTGCAAGTTAAATGTCTTTCTCTTCTGACTAAACCACAAGCTCTGAGAGGGCAGGGGTCATATATGGCCTCTTGGCCCCTGTGTTCCTAGAACATGGGCAGAGACTTGTGAAGAGCAGGCTCAGGGAAACATTTCTAAAGTCCTAAATAATGAATGAATGAATGAATGGCTCTGTAAGAGAGATCACTTTACAGAGGAGAAAACAGTAGCTCAATGAGGTCAACCAGCTTTCCTGCAGCCATTCCACTGAGGCTGGGTGAGAAAGAATGTGAATTCGGCTTTTTGCCTTGCTGGCACCTGGGCCGGTCCTCACATACTCAGGCCCTTCTCTCTGGTCTGCAGAACACCATCCTGAAGGACCCGGAGGAGAAGAGTGATATCCTGACATCTTCAGAAGCCCTCGAAGAGGAGGCCAGGCTGGACCTGGTCACCTCGGAGTCCTTCGCCCAGCTGACCCGCATGGGGAAGCCCCTGATTGAGGACCCAGCTGTTGATGTGATCAGGAAGATCCTGCAGTGAGTGGCCCCCTGGGGTGCACCTGAGGCCCTGCTGCCCCGGGCCCTGGCCCTGGCCCTGGCCCTTCAGGGACCAGCTTTGGGGCCCCACACACTGGGGTTCCATGTGGTTCACCCCTGAGAGCCTGCAACCTCAGGCAACGGGCTTCCCACCAAGAGCCCCAGTTCCTCATCTGAAACGGGGCTCATGACAGGACTGACTGACATGGTGTTGAGGACTAACTGGGATGTTGCTCAGATCCCGGCCTGAGCTGTCCTCATAGTCATCATGGAAGAGCTCACACCCTTTCCCTTGGTTTCAGACTTCCCAACACAAAATGGCCAACCCACCGTTGTGACAAAGATCGGTCCCAGACAGGTAGAGGCACACAGACTTGTGGGTCTCGGGGCAGCAGTCGGGGTGAGGCTGGTGGTGCCATGTGGCCCATCCTCACCTCCTGTCCTCTGCTCTTGTCCTGGGGCCTCGTCACCCAAAGCCTTCAAGCGACATCAGTGTCGGCCAGAAAACTCTGGGAAGAAGCTCCTGTCCAGTGCCAGTGCCACCTCTGCAGGCAGGTAGGACACAGGGTGGCCAGAATTGCTCCTTCCCAGTCCGTCTCTCCACACAAAGGCAGGAGATGACCCATGGCTTTCCCAGGCTTTTCCTCAGAAGGCACCACAGAGCTCATGGCTCTGGGACTTGATGGGGCACAGTGAGGAGTTAGCTCTGACGCCGGCTTTAGTCAGGCACCATCCTTGGTTCACTGGTTGTCCATGGTGCTGGTGGATCTCAGCCCTGCCACCTCCCACACACGGTCATGGTTAGAAAGACAGGGCCGATCGCTTTCCTGGAGGGACATCACAGAGCTGCACAAGAGTTCTGGGCCTTGGCACCCCACCCACCAAGCCTCAGCAAGGTCATTAAACTCGAAGCTTACCTCACATGCAGATTTTATGGAAGGGGCATATCAGAAGTCCCATGGCTGAGCACACTTGCTAGCTCTTTGTGTCAACCTGGTTGACACGGGTTCATTCCTGGTTTTGCGAAGGTGAAGGGAATCCCTGTTTTGCCTTTCCCTCCAGAAGGTCTCGTTGAGCATGTGTGCTGCATGCAATGTGGAAGGAAACAAAGACCAGCCAGCAGGAGAAGAGCAAAGGCTGTTGACTCAGGGCTGACCGCAGCAGGGAATCAGCCACCATCCAGGGCGTGTCTGCAGAGCTCCCAGGGCAGGAGAGGAGTGGGAAGTGTTGCCCTCCTCTCCAGCTGTGCCCTAGTTGGGGGTTGTGGCATGGGGAAGCTGGAGGCTGCCCACTGAAAGCAGGGCATCCCAGGTGATTGGTGAGGGGATGTGTTTGACTTTCTCTGGTTGGTCTGAAGTTAGAAATGAGGACGAAAACTAGGAAAGCTGTCATTTACTAATCAAGCCCTGCCTGTGGGGCCCATTGTCATCGCCTATAACAGTAGGCCCCAAACAGGCAGGGCTTGATTAATGATGATACAGACTGTCCCCAGAGATAGTCTGACTTCCTGCAAGTGTGACTTAGGGCAGGCTGACTTCCTGGGTGGCTTCTTGTAGATAAGGGGGTGATCTCCTGGGTAGGTTGCTGTACATCGTGGGTCGGACCTCTATTTTTGTATGATCCAGCCATGAGCAGTTTCCATGTTCAGACTCCAAGGTTACAAAAGGAAGTCCATGTCACTAGGGCTGCCAGATAAAAGAGAGGGCACCCATCTACACTGGAATTTCAGATCAACACCACCTAATTTTTTTTTAGCATAAATATATCCTAAATACTGCACATGATATACTAATGCTGAAAATCACTCTGTTAATATGAAATGCAGGTTTAAATGGGTACACTGTATTGTTATGGCCAAATCTGGCAACCCTGCCTGTGGCTCAATGTTTTCTTCTTTGGGTCCTCATCACGGGGAGGCAAGAATGCAAATTTCTGGACCAGAGCACCTCTGCCCCTCGTCCTTTCCCAGCAGCCATGGTTGGGTTTTAGCAGTTAAGGTGATTAAGGTTTCATCCCACGATGAGGTAGAGACTCACAGCTGTTGAGAAGGGACAGGTCTCAAAGGGCTGGACCCTGGAAATGGGATTGGGTTGCCCACGGGCAGGTCCCACAACTCCAGCAACTTAGGCAGGGATCCTGCAGGCTCAGACCTGCGTTGTGTCTGTCCACAGCCTCCAGACCACCCACCCCCCTTTGTCCCACAGTCTCACGCGGCACTCCAAGCCCAACAAAACGGAGAGAAAGTACCAAGTGCTTGGGGACAAGCCTCCTCCTCCTGCCGAGTGAGTGACAATGCCTTTCCTTTTGACTGTGTTCAGCGTGTTTTGGGTTGGGAAGCAGCAAATGTGACTCAGCTGAGGGGAAAAATCAGAAAAGGGAAAGGGAAGTTCAAGCAGGGGACAGGCGAGAAGGGACAGTAAAGGTCAAAGTCAGTTTGTTTTGGCCCATTTCACCTAAATTTGTTGAGAAACATTTTCATCAAAATTTCACATTCTCCAGGCTAACAAGCATTTCCGGGTGGTAGGGCAGCAGATCCCCTTTGAGATCTGAGCTTTTTTTTTGTAATGTTTTTCAGTGCTTTCCCCCATTTCTCTTTTCCTTTATTGTAACTCTAGTGATTAAAACAAAAGCTGTTAAACTTAGTATAGCTTCATTGCAAGCAAACAAGCGAAATTCCAAGTTCAGAAAATGAAAAGCCTTCAAAGAAAGTGAAGCTCCACAAAGGAGCTCCCCCTCCCCCTATATCAGAGATCACCCCCATATAGTGGCCTCTCTCATCAGCCCTTTCACCCTGGGGACCTCATCTCTGGGGGTCATGAACTTTGCAAAGAAGTGTGGCTGTGACATCAGGCAGCCCAGGTGTAGCCTCCAGCTGACAGGTAGACAGTTTCCTCGTCCCACACCCAGGGACACTCCTGCACCATGAATACTTTGGCTTTCTGTTCTTTATAGCTTGATGCAGGAGGATGTTTGGTCCTACATGAAATCCTGTTCATTTGAACTATTTATGAGTAATCATTCTTTCAGCTAATCAAGGCATTGCCAGCTGCAGGCACTGCAGTGGGGCTGGGGATTCCATGGTGAACAAGTACAGACAGGGCCATGTCCTGTGTCAATAGATAAAGTCAGGCACATTAAGATGTTGGTGAGTTTATTTGAGCAATCAGCTATTCATGCATTGGGCATTGCCAGACCCCAAGCGGTGCAGGGATCCACCAAGGGGACACCAGGGGAAACCTTTTATAAGGTGTTCACAGAAGCAAGGCAAAGAAAATATTTGCTTAAAGTGAGACGCTTCTAGCTGATGATTTCTGATTAAGCTTACATTTCATTTTCCTAGACTTTGACCGTTCATTCTGAGTTGGATTTGTTTTCTAGGTAGGAACTCCAGGCACTGGAGTCATTTCAGCTTGATAGCCTCCCATTTATGATCTTAAACCCTGGTTGCCTTCACGGAGCAGACTGCTGGGAGAGATGGTGGTTAATCAGTTAGCCCAAATCCACCTGATTAGCATGTCATAGGGCTGAGGGGGCATTCATCAAAGAGCATTAAAACCAGGTGGTCGGAAATTGCTGCTGTCATGGAGAGGAATCAGTGTGTGCAGAGGTCCCGGGGCAGCAGTGAGTAATTTCAAGAAGTGACCTTGAAACAGAGCACTTGGAGAGTTCTGCTCATTTGGTTTTGTCCATGTTGATTTGTCTAGACCAGGCCCCTCAGAGATCTGTCTTGTGTGTGTTGCAGGGATTTCAAGGGGATCATCTTGACCCTCCTCTGGGAGAGCAATGAGATCCTGCTAACAGTCGCAGAGGTGAGGACCACCACCCATGACCTGTGCCTGGCCTGGAAGCCACCCCTTACTTCTGCAGTCTACTGATCAGGCCACTTGGGGGAAAATGAGGAAGAGAGGATTCTACCCCCGCCATGACCACAGCATCCCAGCTTCTGTTACCTCCTATGACTTTTTTTCTTCTAGAAACTAAACCTCATTCATTCATCTAATTGATCACCAAACATTACTTAGACACCACTCACATGTCAGGTACTGTGTGTGCCAAGAGGAACAAGCCCAGCCTCTGTCCCCAAGGCACCCAGGCCCAGTGGGAAGCTGACAGACATGGCAGGGGCACAGAAAGAGGTGGGGCAGTGGGAGCAGGCACCAGGCAAGCTGCCCAGTGCCCTGTTCCCACACACCCTGCACTCACACATCCTGCACCATGGTGTGGGTGCATTCTCCTGTCTGCCTCCCATCGGGCTTCTGCCTCCTTCAGGGCAGGGTCCCTGGCTCGTCCATCTTTGTGGCCTGCAGCCTATACCCAGCTTGGTACTTCCTTGTAAGCTCCCAACCTGGTCACCAATCTGAGATTCCATTTATTTGGGTCTTGAAGAATAAATAGGATTCTCGCCAGTCACTCACTCAACAAATAACGAGGGCTGGCCACGGCCCCAGTCACTCTAGGTGGGCCCTTGAGAAATAATGAGGGCTGGCCACGGCCCCAGTCACTCTAGGTGGGCCCAGGGAGGTGACATGGGCAGACAGGGAAGGAGGAGTGTCTGCCTGTGTCACTTCCACAAGGGAAGGCATGAGCAAAGGCTGGGGAGTGTGGAGGCGTGGGCAGGCTGGTGGATCCCAGGAGCAAGGGCCAGAGTCCCATGGCATCCTCACCCACACATGGTCAACCCTCTCCGGCAGGAGTTCTACCATAAAGAAAAACGCCCAGTCACCAGGCCTGACTGCATGTATGACACCTTCGACCAGTGCGCTGAGAACATTGGCAAAAAGATCCTGGAGTACCAGAGCCAGGCAGATGAGTACCACAACTCCTGCCTCATAGGTGGGTATGGGTAGCAGGTTGGCACAGGGAGTGGGGCATGGTGAGAAGCCAGTGGTGGAGCTCAGCCTTGGCCTCATGGCCTGGATCCTCTCATCTGGGGGAGGCAGGGGAGCTTCCCTGTGAAAAGCTGACCTCTTACAATTAGGTAAAAACAACTATCAGATTTTACTGGGGAAAAGCGACAACGCAAAAAAAAAGTTCACTTTTCTTGAGAAATACAGTGATTTGTACCTCTAAAAATATTTTGCTTCTTCCACAGGTATTTTTGACAGCTTTATTGAGATACTTGCGTACCATAAAATTTACCCATGAAGTGTACTCTGCAGTTTTTAGCTTATTTACAGAGTTATGCAATCACCACCACAGTCAATTTTAGAGACCCCATCCACCAACCCTCCCCAGCATACAGCAACCACCAATCTACTTTCTGTCTGTATACACTTCCTTATTCTTTACTTTCACGAGAATAGAATTGTATCGTATATAGTCTTTGGTGACTGTCTTATTTCATTTTGCATAAATTTTCAAGGTTTATGGATGTTGTAGATGGTAATAATACTTCATTCCTTTTTATCAATGAATACTACTCTATTGTAAGAACCTGCCACACTTTGCTGTGGTCTACTGTGCTGTGTCAGAGGCCTCCTAGGTAGAAGGAGGAGAGTTTAGGGTATAGCCAGACCTGGGCCAGGACCCAGCACTGCCACTTTCCAGCTATATGAACTTGGCCAAATGATTTCATCTCTCTGATTTTTTTTTTTTTTTTCGAGATGAGGTCTCACTCTGTTGCCCAGGCTAGAGTGCAGTGACACAATCCGCAATCTCGGCTCACTGCAATCTCCATCTCCTGGGTTTAAGAGACTCTCCTGCCCCCAGCCTCCTGAGTAGCTGGGACTACAGGCACATGCCACCATGCCCAGCAAATTTTTGTATTTTTAGTAGAGACAGAGTTTCACCATATTGGCTAGGCTGATTTCAAACTCCTGACCTCTGATGGTCTGCCCACCTTGGCCTCTCAAAGTGCTAGGATTACAGACATGAGCCACTGCGCCCAGCCAGTGCCTCGGTTTTCTTGTCTGTGGACTGCAGATATTACTAACACCTACTACAGAAGGCCTTCTTGAGGTTTAAGTCCTTCCCTCACACAGACGTGGCCTGTACAGGGAATTAAGCAGCTACAGTACTCATAGCTGTGTCTGTTGAATGACCGGACTTGAAACTACAGGCATTGTTTTGTTTCTCTAGCTCAGAATTTCCCCCATGTAAACTCTGTGGGATCCCATCCTACATGATTGTCCTCAAAACAAAGGTTCCATGGTCAAATGCACTTGGAAAATGCTGCCAGACTGCATCCCTCTCTGGGAAACTCACAACTCACATTAAGTGAAGACTTCTATTTCCTGCAGCTTGGCAGGCTAATGGAGGATCCACTCTCCCACTAAAAACATGTAAAATGCTACATAAAATATTTTCATAATAAAATCTTTTACATGCGTTAGAGACCTATTTGTAAACTGAAAAACACACTAAAGCAAAAAATTAAGTAAAAATGAAACTCTGAGGATAAATTGAGTAGGAGCCCTGGTTATTACCCTAGGGGCATTTGCTGACTCCCAGGTAAACTTGAGCCTCTATTTTCATGGCCTCCAGAGTATTAAAAACAAGAGACAAATCCACAGACCTCCAAGGTGGAAAGTCTAAAAGGAGCAAGCTACTTAAAGGTGGAACCCAACAGGGCTTCCAGAGTAAGGCAAATGAGACAGAAACCAAGCTCTTCCCTTTCTCCTTCCAGCAACGAGAAGGAAACTGTCTTATCAAAAACCGTGGTACTGGGTGAAGAAAAAAAACTCCAAAAAGAAATCCAGAACTATATGCCAGCCCTTGTGTGGTTTCTAAATTTATGTTGAGAAAATTTACACTTATCTAAACATGAATTCAGTTTTGCTTTTGTGGATCATCCAAAAGACCTCAAGCTAATACCTGAGCTTAAAATGATCTTGAGTTGGTGGTGTTCAGAAACTTGCTTATTAGCAATATAACAAATTCTCTCTAGGAAAACCTACCTTCAGTTCAGGCTTAAAGGATTCCCACAGATAAAATGCCCAGGATAATAACTCGCGGTAATAAACAGAGAGCAACAAAATTCCCATAAACACAAGGAAACAAATTGCCTTGAGCAAAAGGCAGCAGAAGGAGACCAGCAAAGATTTCAGATGTTAAAGTATTGGACACAGAATATAAAATAATAAACTTCCAGTTAAATAAAAGAGGGAGTTGGAAACATGAATAAGAAGGAAGAGACTTATGAAAATGACCAAGTAGCTATTAAAGAGAATAAATTAGAACTTCTATGAAGGAAAAATTAAGAATTGAAAATTTAAAACTATGCATGACTTTATTATCAGATTACATACAGCTGAAAATAGAATTGGTGAACTAGAAGGCAAATCCAAAGAAAATAATCAGAATATAACACAGAAAGATAAAGAGATGAAAATATGGGAGAGAGATAAAGAGATATGAATGAAAGAGCAGGTCTAACATATGGCAATTTGGAGATACAGAGAAAGAGGGAGACCTAGAATCAAAGCAATAGTTGAAATAGTAGATGAGAACTTGCCAAAAATGCTGAGACATACAATGCATTTTAAATGAGATGAGAAGTCTGAAGAGTATATAGGACCCTTTGAATTTATTTAAGCCACTATTTTATTTTATTTTAGAGACAGGGTTTCACTCTGTGGCCCAGGCTAGAGTGCCGTGCAATTATAGTTTACCACAGCCTGAAACTCCTGGGCTCAAACAATCCTCCTACTTCAGCCTCCTGAGTAGCTGGCATGTACCACTATGCCTGGCTAATGTTTAAATTTTTTTTTTTAATTTTTTATTGCATTTTAGGTTTTGGGGCACATGAGCAGAACATGCAAGACAGTTGCGTAGGTACACACATGGCAGTGTGTTTTGCTTCCTTTCTCCCCTTCACCCACATTTAAATATTTTTTTAGAGACAGGGTCTTGCTATGTTGCCAAATTGGTCTTGAACTCCTGGCCTCAAGTAATACTCCCTCCCAAAGTACTGGGCTTACAGGTGTAAGCCACTGTACCTGGCTATCATATTTTCTGTACTAGTTTGACCTCAGGACCCTTTTTTGATGGACTAGCTGTTACCACATTGAAACCAAGATTTTCTCTTTGGGAAGCTGCTTTGGGCCTTTGTTGAAGAGATGGCCTCCATAACTTGATTCTACTCTGTTCCCTCCCTTGACCTCCTACCTGCAATTCTGGCAGAATTACGAATCCAGATGAGAAGATTTGAGGAGCTGCTGCCCCAAGTGTGTTGGTTAGTGATGGAAAATTTGAAGGAGCACCACTGGAACAAGTTTTGCATCTCCATGAAGGAGATCCGAGAGCAATTGGAGGAACGCCACAAGCAGCTAGAGAAAAGAAAGGTGAGGGCCCCTGAACCAGCCCTTCCACTCCAGGACCAGGGGAACTGGGAGTTCAGAAATGGTGGCAGGTGGTGGGCAGGGCCACGTCCAAGGGAAGAAGGTAAGCTGGGCTTGGGATTTTTGGATGGGGGATGAGGGACAGGAGCCACTGGAAAAATAAGACCTGAGCCAACAGCTTTGATATAGAAGGTGTTCAATAAACTTCTTGTTGGCTATAATGGGTGTGCTGGGTTCCATGGGACTGTAGTCATTGAGATAACAATAATTGTCCAAGGTGGTCCTTGGAGCTGTGGAATATAGGTGCTGCTGATTTCACTGGACTAAAGCTCTGATTGTGCTGGGCAGATGTTCAGCCTTTTCTCTTCCAAACCCCCTGAGTCAGCTCCAACCATGCCCCCCTCTTAACCCCTCTGCCACTATTCTGCCCACCCATTGCCCCCACACATCCAGGTCAGAGGACACACGAGTCTGGCCATAATCATAATTGACAGAAGACACAGGCCAGTGACTTTTGGTGGGTCAACATCACTGCTGAATTCTGGATTGTTTGATTAAAGGACAAAAATGCCCAGAAGCTCCATCTAAATCTTGGACACCCCATACATTTCCAAGAAAAGGAGTCTCTACAGTTAAATGAAGACAAAAGGCAGGAGGAGCTGGACAACATGATTAGGATGAACAGGGAGAAGCTGCAGGTCAGTGATACCATTGATTCCCCAGTCCAGGCACGCTCCAAAAATGGCCCAATGGACAGCCACTGATGGCGCTGGGGGCAGCCCTTTTTGGTGTCTTCGCCAAAGAAGGCATGAGAGTAGGTGGTTTTTGTAGGTAAAAATGGCCATTTTGGCTGTTGTAACTTGTATCGTTTTTGACTTCTAAATTAATCAATTACAAAATTACTGATGATAAGTTTTGTTTCATGATCCATGTCTAGTTTTATTGCCTCTTCTGTGAATTGTCTGTGTGTGTCCCTTGGCCATTTCTGAATCATTTCTTCTCTTTAAACCAGACCATGTCTTGGGAGAGGCCTCCTGGCTGAGGGCCAGATGCTGGTTACTTGGACACAGCGGATATAATGGCTTGGGTCCCCAGATCTCCCTGCAGAGTCCACCCAGTCCCTCTTCAGCTGGCCTCCTCTCCCAGCAGCACTGTGCTCACCATGTTTTTTCCAGGAATGTACCAGAAAGAATGGCCAGGTTTTCATAACCAACTTGGCCGCCTTCACCGAGAAGCTCCTACTGCAGCTGGATGAGGTGGTCACCATTGACGATGTCCAAGTTGCAAGTAAGAGAGACCGTCAGCCTTGTGCGATGGCCCGGGGCATGGTGAGGGCTAGGTCACGCAGGGCTCTGCTTTCCCCTGCTCCATCACAGTGAAAACAGGTTATCCATTGAGGGAACTGATTAATTTTTGTTTTCATTAAAAATGATTTTTTGATTAAAAAGCAAATGCCAGATGGCTAGACATTTATCTATTAAAAAATGAAACCCTATTAAGTAAACATTTCCATACTTTCGGGGTTAGGGACACCTTTTCTAGGTCTGACAGGAGAGCCAGGAGCTGTAGAGGGAGCGGCTGGCCCTTCTCTGTAGCCAAAACAAAAACGGAAAATTGTCAAAAGATGGAAAGACAAACCACAAACTGGAAAAGTATTCCTCTCAACCTATAGATCAGAGAAAGGGTTAATATCTCTGTGGTACAAAGAACTCTCACAGGTCAGATTTTTAAAGAGTCGAAGGACAAACACATGCACTTCAAAAGAGCTGCAGTTCCTATGGCTAGTCACTGTAAAACAAGCGAAATTTCACTGATGATGAAAAATGAAAATGTAAGCGTGATTCAGATATCATTTCTCACCAATAGCCTGGCAAAGTTTTGACAGTTGGTAACATTGTAAAAGAATGTCAAGAAACAGAGACTCCATAGAGACTCTTGGTAGGAGTGCACGTGGATACCACGGTGGTGGAGAACAATGTGTTAGTCCCTTTCAAAATTCTGAGTGTGTAGACATTTGGCCTAAGAGTTCTAATTCTAGGAATTTACTTGAGAGTAATATTGGACACTTTTTCAAAGGTGTATGCTCAAAAATATTCATCACATCACTGTTTGAAATAGCAAAGAATTGGAAACAACACTAACATCAATATACAGAAAATTCGATGGGCGAGGCATGGTGGCTCACACCTGCAATTCCAGCACTTGGAAGGCTGAGGTGGGTGGATCTCTTGAGCCCAGGAATTTGAGACCAGCCTGGACAAAATGGCAAAATCCCATCTCTACTAAAAATTTAAAAATTAGCTCGGTGAGGTGGTGTGCACATGTAGTTCCAGATCCAGCTCCTGGAGATGGCAGTGGGGTTGGGAGAGTGCTGAGGTGGGAGGATTGCTTAAGTCTAGGAAGCCGAGGCTGCTATAAGCCTTGATCACACCACTGCACTCTAGCCTGGTGAGAGAAAAAAAAAAGAAAAGAAAACAGATAATTGGATGATGTGTCATTGAGGTGCCAGATGTGCGGGTAGATACCAAGCAGCTGTTAAAGTAGGTCTGCATGTGCTGATGTGGAAAGACGTGAAGGAGGACTGTTGTGTGAAAAAACAAATTGACAAACAGAACATGCCTATGATCCCATCTTTTAAAACACACGTGTGATATCAACATGCATACTCACATCTGTTTAAATGAATCTGTGTGAGAGACAGAGACAAAGAGACAGATACCAAACTGCTGATGATCACCTCTGCTGGGTGAGATGGAGAGAAATCTCCCTAAAACCTTTTTTTTTCATTATGAAGTGATATTTACTTTTTTAATAATGTACGTATTTTATAACTATAAAATTAAAATCATACATTAAATATCCATTTATCACTGATCTATAAAGTAATTAAAATGTATCCTTTTTATTTTTAAAGGGTTTTATTACAAAAACAATGAATGTTCATTCCAGTAAAACAAGGAATTTAATCTAAAACCAAGCAGCAAGTGAAGAACACAGTCCTTCCGCCCTGAATGCAGTGCTCCTTGCACTTGCTCTTTATCCTTCCAGACCTTTCCCTTTGGGCACAGGCTTGTGTGTCAGGGTGTCTGGGGAAGGTTGTAGGGCCTGGACACTTTTGTGACCTGATTTCCCTGCAGGTGCCTGGATGCTTTTGTGAGCTGATTTCCCAGCAGGTGAACCTTGGCTGGGCTGGCCAGTCAACACTCCTCTTCTTCAGCATTTTCAGTTGCTGCACACCATAATTTAATAAGCATTGTAACTTACTAATTTGTCCCTTTGCTATTGAACTTTGGATCATTTCCAGTTTCCCACTCCTGTCATTGTGCTGAAGAGACTGTCTGCATCCATGCATCTCTAGGGCAACAGACTCCTAGACGTGCAGTGTCTGGGTCAAAGTGTATACACATTTTTGAAGTGCTGGCCACTTTTCTGTATCAGAGGTCTCTGTCAAGGGTGAGCCTCGCTTGGGAAAGCAGGGCCTTGCAGAGATGCTAGGGTCGAGACCCTAGGAAGAACAGACAGGCAAACTGGCAGTGGAGCAGGTCACAGTCCCTTGCAAGGAACCCCTGAGCCAGGAGGACTCCCTGCACCAGGCCCTAGGAGGCCTCTGCCTGCTCTGTAACTTGACTTCTGAGCCAGGCCACAGGGCCCTGCCATGCATGGCAGAGGAGTGTACAGGTTGCCTGCTGGCTCTCTGCACGCAGAGGCCCCCAACCCCTCACCCCCTGATTTAGAAAGAACATCAGAGCATCAAAGATTGGATTATTGAGCTAGATAGTCAAGGGACAACCCTGAACATGTTTGTTCCAGGGGAGATTCTTAGTTCAGCACCCATATGAGCTAGTCTAAGCCGGAGAAGGCTCTATGAAGCATATCCTGGGACTTACGGAAACTGCTGGAATCTCAGAGCATCAGGCTTGGATTTGGAGCTGGGAACAGCACCCACACCACTGCTCAGATTCCTTCAGCTGTGACCTCCTGCCCCCACCACCACCCCGAGCTGCATGGCTGCTGCAGTCAGCTTCTCCATGGAGAGGGCTCTGCCTGCCGTAACTCCAAGTGGGGAGGAGAGGCACCATCCTGCCTCCTTTAAATGTAATGCCAGGGGTATTCCCTTGATCTCAGGCTGTCGGTGAGGCTGCAGTCAGTAGCCTTTCTCTCGCCTCTAGGAATGGAGCCCCCCAAACAGAAAATATCAATACTCATACGAAGAAAACTTGCTGGGCTCTCCCTGAAGGATGAGAGTGAGCAACCCCTGATTGAACGTGGAAGCAGGTAAGAGCCAAAAGCAGCAAGGACTACTGTAAACAGCTGTATCTGCTGGGGGTTGTACACTGTAATGGTTAGGGGCTTGGGCTCTGAACTGAGACAGACCTGGGAAAGGCACTGTGTTCTGAGCCTTAGTTTCCTCAGCTATGAAATGGGCATGGCAGTCTGCCTTGATATTATCCCGAGAAAGTTAAATGAGGTAGTACACAGAGTGCTGCAGCACATATGAACAGCTCAACAGCTACATGAGAAGGACCCATCAAAGGGTCCCATGATGGAGGGAGGCCTGGCTCAGTGGGAGACGCTTCTTGGGTCATTGCTGCCATTGTGAGCCACTCCAGCTGTCTGTCATGTGCGAAGAGAGTTGGCAATGTGCCTGTCCCCTCTGCCCCAAGAGTGTGACTCTGTAAGAAGAAGCAGAGCAGCTGTGTTCTCAGAAGTGGTCTTTAGAGCATAGTAAGAAAAGCAGATCAATGAGTTAACTGAGGCCCAGAGAGGGGAAGCAGTTTGAGCTGTGGCACTTCCCTGCCCCCACCAGAACCCAAGGCTGTGCACAGCGATTAGACTAGTGTGGGCTAATACGAAACAGAGCTTGAAGAAGCGCAGCATTAATGCTCAGTATGTTTTTTTCTTTTCATTAAGATATTTAAAGCATTACAATTTTTTCAAAGAAATGCTAAGCTTTTCCAACAGGGTTGGTAGGTAGATTGTGAATGGTGAAAACAAGCCTGTGAGATTTTCACATACATTTGTTTGTAGGAAGTGGCCAGGAATCAAACCCACTGAAGTCACCATCCAAAACAAGATTCTTCTCCGGCCAACATCATCGATATCCACCACCAAAACCACCCTGGGCCACCTGGCAGCTGTGGAAGCCCGAGATGCTGTGTACCTGGTGAGACGGGGTGGAATGAGCGTGTCCCAGGGAGCACAGCTCAGGCCAGCTGCCTTGGGAAGGGGGAGTGTCCCATCACCCGGCACCCTAACATTTGGCTGATATAGCAGGCAACACATCAGTGCACCCCAGAGCTGCAGGTCTCAACACTCAGGACAGTTGCTGTGCACAGGCATGGGGATGCAGCTGTGGGCCATCTCTTGTCCCAGTGCTAGTGTGGGTCTGAGATGTGATCCCAATGCTGCAGGAGCCCAGCTGAGGGACACCCCACCCAGACTGGGGATGAAGAAAGGCTTTCCAAAGGCACAGTAGGGTCAGAGCTAGGGAACGTTATCACCAGGCATGGAAGTGATGGCAGCAGTGGACTCAGGTGGGGACACAGCAGCAGGAGCAGTCACAGCTCCTGAGAACTTACTGGGAAGTACTTACTGGGAGCTTCTGCTCTTGACATGAGGCATCTCACTGAATCCTCCTAACAACTCCACAAGGGAAGTAAAATTATTTTACTAATTTTAGTAAAATTATTCGATGAGGACACTGAGGCTTAAAGAAACTTGTCCCCTCTATACCACTACAGAGTGGCAGAGCCAGAATTTGATCCCAGTGCCTGTCAGACCTGCTGGGGACAGCCTGATGAGGAGGCTACACCCAGATGCCACCTGAGGGACCTCTTGGCTCTGAAGATCTGTGGACCTTGGTCCTGATGCCCAGAGAGAAACCTTGTCCTGCCCAGAGACCAGCTGGCCCCCCTATTGGGAGAGCCTGAAGTACCCAGGGTCAGCCTTCCCTAGCTTCCCCTGCCTGCTGAGTTCAGTGCAGCTCTGCCTGCTGAGTTCAGTGAGGGTGGGAGGCCTGGAAGACCCAGCCTACCAAAAAACCAGGACCCCTTAGCTCCCAGGAGGCTGCAGTGTGGGACAGAGCTTAGGAAGGAGTGCTGAGCCTAGAATCAGATAGAGACAGGTCCTAGTCCCTGCTCAGCCTCCTTCTAGCTGGGTGACCCCAGGCCAGGCTCTGAACCTCAGTTTCCCTGCCTTGTAAAATGGGGGAAACAACTAGGCCTACCTGGTTTCTACCTGAGAAGTGACTTGTGGAACTCTTGCCAGTGCCTGGAATGGGTTAACAGCCACCTGCCAGCAAGTTACAGCATTGCCCTAAGGGAGAGGGTCCAGAAGCCTCTCCTCATGTGGATCCCTACTGCTACCTTCCTTCTAGAAGTATTTAGCATCATTTGAGGAGGAGCTGAAGAGGATCCACGATGACTGCGTATCTCAGATGAAGGAGGCTCAGCGCTGGAAGGACAGCTGGAAGCAGTCCATGCACACCATCCAGGCCCTGTATGTGTGACCCTCCACCCCACCACGAATAAATGCTTTCTTATGCAGACTCCCTCCCTGTCTGTCTACCTGCCTACCTACTTTTGGTCCATCCCTCCCTCCCTTCGTCCATCCCCCAGTTCTGTGCTGGGCACAGAGTAGCTTTACCAGTGAACAGGACACAGCACAGTCCTTGCCCACGTGGAGCCCACTTCCCATGAGAAAGGTAAGCATGAAAGGGGAGGTCCATGTGGTTAGGAGAGAGGGTGAGTACCAGGAATTATCAGTCACTTAAAATAGACACCAGAACTTCAAAGGACATCACCTCCAAACAGCAGGCTTGGCACTTCATCTTGAAAAATGAAATAATTAAAAGTCATGGGAAAAGGATATTTTAATTTAATAAGTATGGGTTATAATTGCAACTCTGCACTGGTTCCTAGACCCAAAAAAGAACCATCCAATGTTGATTGGTATTTGTGCCACAGTTTGTCTGAGCAAATTGCAGTATTTTGACAAAAAAAATCTTCTGGGCCTGTAATCCCAGCACTTTGGGAGGCCAAGGTGAGCAGATCACCTGAGCTCAGGGGTTCAAGACCAGCTGGGGAAACATGGTGAAACCCCATCTCTTCTAAAAATACAAAAAATGAGCCAGGCATGGTGGCACACACCTGTCATCCCAGCTACTGGGAAGGCTGAGGCATGAGAATCACTTGAACCCAGGAGATGGAGGTTGCAGTGAGCCAAGATCACGCTACTTCTCTCCAGCCTAGGCAACAGATTGAGACTCTATCTCAAATAAACAAATAAATCAATAATAAAATCCTGGAATCTAGAGACAGCCACTGTCCATAGCATCTTTCCACATATGTGAGTTATTTTTACAAAATGGAATCGTAACATGCATTAAGTTGCATAAACCGCTTGGTGAATTTTAACTGGATAAACCCTATGCCATATCCTTAAGTATTCATTTACACCATCGGTTTTCACACTTTTCTGACTCTGACCCACTGTATAGAATAAACATGTTCTAAACACAGGATCCCCGCACACATATACACAACTTGGGGCCAACAGGTCACAGGACAGCACTTAAGCTTACTAGGAAGGCTGCTTTCTAGTATTTTCTCCCTGCTTTTTAAATCCTAGCCCAGTCCACTTAGTTCATGAAGGGGTCTTGACTGCAGTGTGGGACACTGTCATTTAAACAGCTGCAGAGGAGCCTTAGCAGCCTGAGGGCACCTCGGCCCAGAAGCTAAGCAGAGTTGTACTTGACTAAACAGCTGCACAGTGCTCCCACTGCCTGGGGAACCAGCTCACCTCCGTCAGGCAAGGGCAGCTCATGTCCCAGTCATGGGAGTGATCATTTAGCATCAGCCCATTTCACAGAGGAGGAAAGCAAGTCCCTGAAAGGTGAGGTGACCTGCCCCAGTCACAGGGCTATTCACTGATGGAGCTGGGATCCCAGTGCCAGCTGTCTGACACTCCGAGCCCACACTTAGCCCAAAGCTGCACTGAGCCCTGGGACAGTCTGCCCAGTGCATCTGGTCACTCACTGGCACCTGAGCTTGACTGTGGCCTTTTCTCCTTGGCTCTGAGGCCGTTGCTGGTTGACCCAGGCAGTGGTTCTGACTGGCAGGACTGATTGTAGCCACGGGGCAAAGTGGCAGCTCTGGGAGTACCTGGAGCCACACCTCAACTCTCCCTCTTAGTGCCTGCCCAGCTCCTGGAGTCTGGATGGCCCACCTATCACCACATACTAGGGGAGGATTCTGAACAGGAGCCACAGCTGCAGGCTTCCTGCTGCTGGCCACCAGGAAGAGTCCACCCCTGCTCTTACCCAAGTCCTGCCCCAGCCTTATCTCTCATCCTCACTGAGCTGCTCCTTGGCCTGGAACCAGGTTCCAAAGTCCTCGACTGGAAATTATCGCAGCCACCTGGGGCAGCTGCAGCTCCCTAATTACTGTGCATTCCTGGTGCCAGAGGGAAGAACAGCAGGGTGACAAGGCCAGGTGGGGCATGCTGGCAGAGCCCTGGTGCGGGTGGGGTGTGGGGCCAAGGGACAGTCTCTAGTTCTTTCTTTAAAAGGGCTCCCGCCTCCCCTCCAATCCCATCCAGTCCCTACCTGTTCGCAGAGATGGGTTCAAACAGTCCCGCCTCCAGGAAGTTGTCCTTGATTCCAGCACCTCCCTTCACCCTCCAATGGGATGGTTCCTCCTCAGCTCTGTATCAAGCCCTTCCTGAGTCTTAAGATGTAGAGGATGGGTCCAGGAAATGTCTGGTAAGTGGAGAGTCTCCGACTTCCACACCCCCAGCCTCCCGCAGTGAATGCCACAGCTGCTTACCTAACTCTTTTCCTGGAAGTTGATCAGATTCTCCTGGAAGGCAGATAGCCAAAACCCCTCAAAAAGGTCCCTGCCCCCTGACCACGTCCCGACCACATGCCTCTCACATTGTAGTACCACCGGGTTCCACCAGGGGGCAGGGCGTGCACACAAAACGGTACTTGGACTTGGGTCAGACTAAGCTCCAGAGGAGGCGGTCACGGGAGCTGAGGCTCAGGGACGTACTGGCCCAGCCCTCTCAGATGACAGAAGATGACAGACAGGGAAACTGAGGCCTTGAGCTGGAAGGGATTGTTCACCTACTCCGGTGCACCCTGACGTCACTCTCTTGCCACCGTGGACAGCGCCTGGGGAGCGTCTGACTGCAGAGCAGCCACAATCTCCAGCAGCTGGGCAGCGAAGCAGCTGGGCCGCTTCATCACGTGGGGAACGGGGGCTGGTGGCTCCGTGGAGCCTCCGTTCCTTCATTAGTACGGTGGGCGCGACGCCCGGCTCACAGGGGGCAGTGTGAGGACCGCCCGAGAGGAAGTGTGCCGAGAGCTCAGGGCTCGGTGACGGGCTCCCTTCTCCCAAGCTCAGAACTCTGGGCCCGCCCTGCCCCTCCCCAGGCTCACTTACATCCGGATAATTCATCATCAAGTGCCAAGCATCACCAGGTCAGGTGGAACGGGTCAAGGAGGGGGGCTCTGTGCCCACGGGGTGGGGGCGTTGAGCACTGGCTCTCGGGTATTCCCCTTAGGTTGATCGGATCAAACTATCTCAGCCACCTGGGGCAGCCGCAGTTCCCTAATTACCTAAGCAAAGTCCTCACACTCAGCTCGCCGACCCACCCAGGCCTCCTACTTGGAGCAGCCAAGATTTGCCTTCCCCACAGCCCCTCCCCACACCAGCCCTCTGCTTAGCAAACTTGCCAGAGTCAGCTTTGGCAATTACAAAGGAGGGGCCAGCCCTGCTCCTCCTTGCTCCTCTCCCACTCCCTGCACCAGCCCAGCTCTCCTTGGCCCTTGCTCTGGCCACTTCTGTTGGAGGCGTTTCAGGCACTGCTGGAGGACTAAGCCCCCCTCTCTCTTGATGTGAGGCCTCCACCGGGAGGGAGGGAGGAGCCCTGTCCTCTGATTCCCTGAGGCTCTCCCACCCCACCTGCATGTGGCCACTTCCTCTTCTGGGCTCTCTGGGGCTCCATCTCCAGGGTGGCCACCATGAAGGTCCCCTCCTGCCAGGGTCAAGGGCAAGGTCAGTGAGGACATTCTCCTCACCCCTTTATTCTCCTAGCCCCCTGACCCTGGGGCCCTGGACACACTCTAGTCTCTGTATTACGTGGCGATGATGCAGTTTTCCCCACATTTGAACTGGGTGATGGAGGTGCAGACAGTGGGTGACAGGGCTCCTTGGCTTTCTTGTTCTATTGTACCAGAGGGAGCCCTGGCAGTGATGGGGCAGCCCTTTCTTGAACAGCTTTTGGAGACAGGGGGACCGTCACCAGGCATAACCCACCTCAATTCAGAGTCCCAGTCCCCCACAGCCCAGGCAGGCGCCACTGGTCTGAGCTGGAGCTCAGGAAGCTGAGGATGTGGCTTGAGCCTTGTGGGAGTCCCTGAGCTTTGGTGTCTGTTCACTGAGGGCATCAGCACGTGATGACCCAGGACCCAATACTGGCAGGTGAGGGAGACTGGATTTTCACTTGGCCCTTTCTCACTAACTCCAAGCACCAGAAGGTGGCTCATGCCTGTCCCTCCTCAGGTGACATCTGCCTCCTCCTTGATCAGCCATCTAGTCTGTCTCCCCATTCGGGTGCACATCTTCTTCCCCTCACACCCCCAGGGGCAGCTTTGTTTGGGTGTCTGTCTTAGAATCCACATGAGGTGCCTAATAAGTGCTGAGGTGGGTGAGGTTTTTTGAGCACATGGGTGGGCAACCCATGCGCCTGGCTGCTGCTCAGTGAGCACCCTCCACCCACAAAGGGGTCTGGCCCTGTCCTGCCTTCCTTCACTCCTCCCATTCTGCACAGCCACTGTGTGAGGCAGGTGTTGTTATGTCCCATCTCTGCCCTCCACCTGTAGACAGTGAAGGCCTGGAGGTTAAGAATCTCATCCAGGCCACACGGTTGGTAAGAGGTGGTGCTGGGATTGGCCCATATCATCTGACTGAGGTCCCAGAGGGAAGGCTGCCCCCACCCTGCCTCAAGAGCCCAGCACTCATCGCATCCATCAGAGTCAATTGCTCTGCCACCAGCATGGAGGGAACCCACCAAGAGGTTGGGCACTTCCTCACCAGGCCAGTTCTGTGTGGTCCCAGGCTAGGAGCAGGAGGGCCCTGGGACTGACTAGCTTGGGCTGTCACTGCAGCAGACTCCTTCCATGGAGTGCCCTCAAGGTACTCTTCTGGCCAGGTGCCCAAGATGGAAGAGAACGTGTTTGAGGGTAGTGGGGGGTGGGGGCAGCAGAGTCAGAGCCTAGCCTTTCCTTCCACATTACTCTCCCGGTGCACCCTTGTTTGGATGCGGGCCCCTGTGCCTGTCCTGCCTGTCCAGAGATGGCTCCACCCACTGTGGCTGTGCTGGCAGAGACAGACCTGGTCTTCAGGCAGGGCAGGCACAGAATCTGCATGGGCCGGGTCTTGCCAATGACTCTTGCTCTGACGGGCTACCTGCCCGGGATGCTCAGGGTTGAGGGTTGAGGTAGAAGTGTGCGTGGGTTGCTCACTGCAGGTCCTCTTCTGGGTC